AACTGTTACCATAGTAACTATTGCCATAGTAACTATTGACGTAGTAAGTAACTGTTACCATAGTAACTGTTACCATAGTAACTGTTACCATAGTAACTTTTGCCATAGTAACTATTACCATAGTAACTTTTGCCATGATAAGTAACTGTTGCCATGGAATCGGTTACCATGTACGACGGACGGACGGACGCCAAAGCGAAACTATAAGGGTTTCGGCCCTGGGCCACGAAACCCTAAAAAATTAGTAGGTACGGAATATAAAAATCACCCTATATATGATTCCATATATCCTGAGTGCGGTGAAAGCAAAGATATCTCTTTTTAGGCACAAAAGAGGAACTAGAAAGGTTATTCATTTTTCCATTGCTTCATCCGGTTGACGTCGACATTGGAAAGTGAATCCTATATATAGTATAGTCGAACTGTCATGTAGAAATGGAATAAAGGACTCGGTAATATAATAGAGACGAAAGAGAGAAAAAGAGCGAAAAAAAAGTGAAATGGTCGCCAGGAAAAGAAAGTCTCTTGGCTCAAATGACCATAAACTTTCATCGCTTTTAATTCTCTTGTACCTATAACCGTCCCAGGGAAAGAGAAAGAGAGAGAGAGAGAGAGAGAGAGAGAGAGAGAGAGAGAGAGAGAGAGAGAGAGAGAGAGAGAGAGAGAGAGAGAGAGAGAGAGAGAGAGAGAGAGAGAGAGAGAGAGAGAGAGAGAAAGCAGTATATGCACCACACTGTCGTTGACTAATCGCGTAAGAAAAATGTCCACAACGTTCTTGATAATTGTACTCGACATTTTCTCTCTCGTCCACCTCTCATTTCGACCATTTTCACAAAAGTTATATTTTTCTTTAACATTTTTTTCACTCTGGAAAGAAATTTTTCAAGAAAAAGAAAAAAATTAAATATTTTTTATTTAAATCAAATAAATTGAATTCAAATTAATAAATTATTTTAAAACAAAATATCAACTAAATATTTAATAATAAATAGATTTATTTATTTCAATTGACTCAAATAATATAATTATACTAAATAAATATTTATTTAGTATAATAGAACAAATGACTTTGAATCAAATAAATTTATGTATATGAAACGAGAGCTTGAAAAAAAATTTTTAAATCCTTCCAAAATTATTTGGAAGGAATTTTCCAATAAATTTTGCTATAATAAAACATAAACATAAATTTACCCTTGGGAATGGTTTTTTGGTTTGTGAACCTCTGGAATAGTCATTCTGGAAAGACACACGATCTATTTAAGGGTGGCAAGAAAAAGCAACCCACCAAAGGTCGACCCTCGTTGTCCACCGAGAATTGGATTAGCAACGTCGACAGAATTGCGAATTTGTTTCAATCTTTCCATTCTTGCTCGACACGAGATGAAATCCTTATATATATATATATATATATATATACATTTCATTCTTAATTCTTCAATTAAGCTTGAAATATCTTAATAATTTTTTCAAATTATACCAAAATGTTTCATATTTTTTTTCACGCACTTATATAAATTGAAATAAATCTCTTATATGGAAAAAAGTTTTTCAATAACTTGAAAGTATTTGTTTTTTCAATTCAATTTTTCGCAGCTTTTACTTCACATCAATTTTTATGGACCGTTATCAAACAAAAATTTTGATTTATGACCTCTTTTTCGAACAAAAAAAAAAAAAAAAAAAAAAAAGAATTATCAGATTCTGTTGACATTTTATTACAATTATTTATATCTTAAATCATTTGACAAAATTTTTATTTCTTCGAATTTTTTATTAAACAAAATAGCAATTTTTGATTATGTAGTTTGAAATTTTTGTAATATTTAATTTTATATGCAGTAAAAGTAAATTTTCTGTCAGACAATTCGTTTTAAAATTTTTTAGTAAATTTAGTTTTCAGCTAAAGAAGCGCTTTTAATTTTTAAAAATTAATTTTCGCTACCGAAAATATTAATTTTTATAATAAAAATGTTTTAAAATAATTTTCAATAATAAAAGGCAATTTTTTGTCAGACACGGTACGTTGTAAATGTATTGTCACATTTAATTTCAATAGTAATAATAAGATTCGGTCAGACAGTGCTTTTAAAATCAGTTTAGTAAATTATTCTTCTTCTTTTTATTATTATTATTATTATTATTATTGTTATTATTATTCCTTATTCTTATTATTATTCTTATTATTATAATTAATTATTTTTATAAATTCTTCTAACTACAAATTTCAGTAGTAAAGTTAATTTCAGTCAGACCAAAAAAAAATTTAAAATTAGTAGTAATAGTCAGTTTTAGTCAGACGTTTAAAGCACATTATTGCAATAGTAAAAGTCATATTTAGTCAGGCAAAATATTTTCAAAAATCAGTAGTAAATATTTTCTGTGTTTAGACAATTTTAAATTACTTTAAAACTAATTTCAGTAGTAAAAGTTATTTTAGTTATTACTATTAGTTTAAAATTAGTTTACTAGTTTTCAGTTTCGAAGTTTATCATTAGTTTCTAAATTTTGTACAAAAACAAAAAAAAAATATGTAATAGCGAAACGTTTCACTGTAGTAGTAAAAGTTTTACTTGTTTTAGTTAAATCTTTCGCTATTCTAGTAAAAACCTTTCGCTGTTTCAGGAAAATTCTTTTTTTTCCATGATGTAATATTAATTTTCCATGTTGAAAAAATCAGTTTTCATTGTAAAATTTTTTTCAAAATTTTCACTTTGTTAAGTTCTTTTTGTTATTGTAAATTCTATTGTCAACGATCTAAAGACAAAATCTCTTTTGAAAAAGTTAGTAATTTAAATTTTTAAGTCTAATAATTTCGAAACTAACAAACATTTGGAATTTATTTATTTCTCCTGAATTATAATTCTATATATATATATATTGTTTTCCTAGCTGCGACTTCCCCAAGGCTGTTATTTAAAGTTTTCGGTATAATGGAACTGAAAAGTAGTTCTATCTATATACAATAAAAGTTTGTCAAGAGAAACTTCTTATTATACGAATGAAGTAACTATATATTCAAAACAATCTGAATGAAACTTTCTCTCTCTCTGTCTCTTGAATAAATGCATTTGCTTAGTTTCGCAATTGGAGTATGTTACACTTTAGTGACACGTCGATATTTATTTACCGAGATCAGAGGCACTTTGGCTTCTTGCTTCAGAGGTTCTATATCAAAAGCAACGTTCACCTTCACTGGTATATAGAGATGATAGTATATAACTAGATTCGAAATCCAGCCGGCCGCGTTAACTTGCTAATTATCTCATGCCGCTTTCTCGCCCTCAGCGATTCTCCATCCCTCTATATATATATATATATATAGTATATCCTCATTCTACACCCCTCGAGAGACACTATCGAGCTTCATCCTCCCTCCCCACAATTCACCAGGGCGCACTGATCGGCCAACCAACCGAACATTTCACTCACCACGAGATTACCTGCAAAGTTTTCTCGCCATTCGATCTCGGTTCATTTGACGAGTCATTTCTATCCACCTCCTTCTTTGTAATTTCATTTTACCTCTGTGCGCTGAGCCAGATGGCCCATTACCTAAAAGTATAAAACTCGAATATAATCTTTCGTATACGAAAAAGAAAAAAAAAGATTACGGAACATTTTATATAAGAAGGGAGAGGAAAATGTTCTTAAATGTCAATATGTCCCCTGGAGTGAGATCTAAAAGCCACTCAAGAGCATCAAGATTTTGCTACCATCAAGAAGCCCTTTTGGCGATGAAATTACTGCTTGAGGGTTAAAATCATTTGCGGTTGCATTTTTTTTTTTAAGGAACGCGTGAATAAGTTCTTTAAAATTTGTGGAATTTTCATTTAATAGAATTTTAATACAAAAAATATCATTGATTCAAGAAAATCATAATTTGATTCATTAATTTTTGTAATGGTAACAGTTGATTTCCGCAGCAACCGTTTCCATAGTATCCATAGCAATTCACAAATAATGTAATTATAAATTATTTATTATATTCAAATAAATTTTAATCTGAATTTAAAAAGTCCCAAAGAAAATGTATTTCAAAAAAATATAATTTTCTCTAATAAATCATTGGATTATCTAAAAAATAAAAAATAATTAAATAATTTTGATTTCTTATGAAATATCGGAAATAAAAAACGAAAAAAAAAATAATACAAAATCAATGGATGTTGTGAATGAAAAATACTATTGTGATCGATATGATTGGATGAAGAAGAGGCCATAGAAACGGCTGCTATAGGAACGGTTGCCATAGAAACCAACTGTTGCCATAGTAACTGTTTCCATAGTAACTTCTGCCATAGTAACTTCTGCCATGGTAACTTCTTCCATAGTAACAGATGCCATAGTAACTTCTGCCATGGTAACTGTTGCCATAGTAACTATTGCCATAGTAAGTAACTGTTACCATAGTAACTATTGCCGTAGTAAGTAACTGTTACCATAGTAACTATTGCCATAGTAACTTTTGCCATAGTAACTATTGTCATAGTAACTATTGCCATAGTAAGTAACTGTTACCATAGTAACTGTTACCATGGTAACTATTGCCATAGTAAGTAACTGTTACCATAGTAACTATTCCCATAGTAACTTTTGCCATAGTAACTATTGGCATAGTAACAGTTGATTTCCGCAGCAACCGTTTCCATAGCATCCATAGCAATTCACAAATAATGTAATTATAAATTATTTATTATATTCAAATAAATTTTGATCTGAATTTAAAAAGCCCCAAAAAAATGTATTTCAAAAAAATATAATTTTCTCTAATAAATCATTGGATTATCTAAAAAATAAAAAATAATTAAATAATTTTGATTTCTGATGAAATATCGGAAATAAAAAACGAAAAAAAAAATAATACAGAATCAATAGATGTTGTGAATGAAAAATATTATTGTGATCGATATGATTGGATGGAGAAGAGGCAGGATTCTTTATTTTGTATATACTATATATATACATGGAATTACTAAAAGTCCGTTCTTGCGTTTCAGTTGAGAGAGTACACATTGACGGAAACGTATCACGAGGACGAAGTCGAGATGGAATTTGTGAGCAACGAGAATCTACTGTCGAATAACCCGACCCCAAGAGGAATCGATCCGAATAGAGACCTGAATGAGGTCATTGCTGAAGAACGAGGGGAAATGGATACCCAAAGATACAGGTAAGTCATTCGGCTCTCTTTTTTTTTCTTCCTTCCTTTCCCCCATTAAGTTCTTAGTCAAACTAAATGGGGTTTAATAAAAAAAAAAAAAAAAAAAAAAAAAAAAGGAGACGAAAGGATATCAAGAAACCCGTATGTACCATGGCTTAATTAAATTTTGTGAAGGTTATCTCTAGAGGCAGAAAAAAAAGTCGTTCGAAATTATCAAAAGTCGAATAATTTTCTAAATAATTTATTAAATAGCTAATTTATTAAATATATTATTAATAAATAGATAATTTATTAAATAGATAATTTTTTTAAACGATAATTTATTTAATAAATGAAAATAATCCTTCAATTATTGAAAATTAATTATTAAAATCGAAAAAAAATTATAAAATTATTTATAACTAAAAATGCCTTTTAATTATCTAATTTTTTTTCTATATAATAGTTAATATAATTTTTTTTTAAATTTAAATGAGCCTATACGATATTTCATCGGAAAATTGAGAAAGATAGAGACAGAGAACATTCTCATTTTTCCAAAGCTTTGCTATTTGATTGACGTGTACATATATAAATCAAGATTTGCAATATTTCACAGAAAGAAACTAATATTTCACTATTATAATAATAATAATAATAATAATTTGAGCAAAAATTTTAAAATAATTTCAAAATTAAATTTTTAGATAAGAGATTTGTGATTAATTCCGTTGATATAAATATTTATATTAATATAAATTATTCGATGAATTATTCACAGTTAAAATTCAGATTTTCTGGAATTAAAAATTAAAGATTATCGAATTATTCTCAATATAGTAAAGTGTCGTGTGATTAGTATAAAATAAAGAAAATGTACGGAACAATTTTTTAATGAGTCATTTTTGGTTTTTTAAGTAAAAAAAATTATTTTAGTCAGACTAATTTTGGGGTTTTTTTAAGTAGAACAAATTAGTTTTGTCAGACCAATTGTATTTGAGGTAGAAAACGGTATTTTAGTTACACCAATTGTATTTTAAGTAGAAAAATTTATTTTAGACAGTCCAATTGGATTTAAAGTAGAAAAAATTAATTTAATCAGACCAATTGTATTTTAAGTAGAAAAACGTGTTTTAGTCAGTCCAATTGGATTTTAAGTAAAAAAAATTATTTTGGTCATAACAATTTTGGGTGTTTTTTAAGTAGAACAAATTAGTTTAGTCAAACCAATTGTATTTTAGGTAGAAAAAGGTATTTCAGTCAGACCAATTGGGTTTTTAAATAGAAAAAATTATTTTAGTCTGACCATTTTTATTTTAAGTAGAAAAAATATTTTAGTCAGGCAATTTTAATTCTTCTAAATTGAAAAAGGTATTTTGATCAGACAAATTTTTTGTTTTTAAGTTGAACAAATTACTTTACATTGAACTTTTTTACTTTTGATTAAGTTTTTATAATTCTTATAAGTAGAAAAAAATTTAGTCAGACCAATTGTATTTTAAGTAGAAAAAGGTATTTTAGTCAGACCAATTGTATTTTAAGTAGAAAAACGTATTTTAGTCAGTCCAATTGGATTTTAAGAAGAAAAAATTATTTTGGTTAGACCAATTTTGGGTGTTTTTTTAGTAAAACAAATTAGTTTAGTCAGACCAACTGGATTTTTAAATAGAAAAAATTATTTTAGTCTGACCATTTTTATTTTAAGTAGAAAAAGTATTTTAGTCAGGCAATTTTAATTCTTATAAATAGAAAAAGGTATTTTGGTCATACAAATTTTGTGTTTTTAAGTAGAACAAATTACTTTAGTCAGACCAATTATAATTCTTATAAATAGAAAAAAAGTTCAGTCAGACAAATTAGATTTTTAAGTAGAAAAATGTATTTTAGTCAGACCAATTGGATTTTCAATTCGAAAAAATTATTTTAGTCAGACCAATTGTATTTTAAGTAGAAAAAGGTATTTTAGTCAGACCAATTGGATTTTCAATTAGAAAAAATTATTTAAGTCAGACCAATTGTATTTTAAGTAGAAAAACGTATTTTTGTCAGTCCAATTGGATTTAAAGTAGAAAAAATTATTTTAGTCAGACCAATTGTATTTTAAGTAGAAAAACGTATTTAAGTCAGTCCTTTTGGATTTTAAGTGGAAAAAATTATTGTGGTCAGACCCATTTTTGAGTGTTTTTTAAGTAGAACAAATTAGTTTAGTCAGGCCAATTGGATTTTTAAATAGAAAAAATTATTTTAGTCTGACTATTTTTATTTTAAGTTGAAAAAATATTTTAGTCAGGCAATTTTAATTCTTATAAATAGAAAAAGGTATTTTGGTCAGACCAATTTTGTGTTTTTAAGTAGAACAAATTACTTTAGTCAGACCAATTATAATTCTTATAAATAGAAAAAATGTTCAGTCAGACAAATTAGATTTTTAAGTAGAAAAAGGTATTTTAGTCTGACCAATTGGATTTTCAAGTAGAAAAAATTATTTTAGTCAGAAATTTTTAATTTTTAAATAGAAAAAATAATTAACAATGAATAATTACATTTATAATTTTTTATTTTATAATTAGATATACTATTATTTTCTTTTCTTTTTATTAAAAAAAAGCAATCTACTTAATCCAATACAAAATTGATTAAGTTTTTTCATTTTGACTTTCTTGAAATACTCACGTGTATCTACAACTTTTTTCCATGATATATTTACTGCTACTGCTTGAAAGTTCAATACTGACAGCTCGGTAGATACGATTGAAATTTTCTATTCTCGACACACACAACATTGACAAAAAATAGAAAAACAGAAACAAACTCGGGATTAAAATATCATTCTTTTTCTGTACATGTCATTTGAAAAAAAAATAATAATAAAAAACTAATATAGTATTATTTTTTTAACATTTGTCAAAATTCTTGCGGAAATTGTAAAAAAAAAATTGAAATATTTAAATATTAATGAACAAATATTTATAAACTGGAATAGACAAGTAATATTTACAAAATGATATACGGAAGTGCTTGTTGCATTGAAATATTAATTAAAGAACATTGGTTTGCAGAGAAGTTCTAGCGATTTCTCGTCATTTCCTGCGTGAGAAATTCCCAGATGTACAAAACCGATTAATCCTTGTAACTACTAACTTCGAGAAATATATATCTATATATATATATATATATATAGAGAGAGATGAGAGGAGAAAAAAAATCTAAATTATGATTTGCCTGTGTCTTTGTTGCATATATTCAGTTAAATTAATTTGTTGAATTTAATCAAAGTCACATGATAAAAAAAAAAATTTCTCGAACTAGAAGTATTAATAATATTCATATATTATATACTAATTTTTTTTTTTTATTTACTCGAATTTTTCATTAAACAGAATAGCAATTTTAATGAATTTTTATTAAATAAAATTTTATTGTCTAGAATTTTCATTGTACCGAATTTTTGTTTGGCAGATATTTTATTCTATTTTTTATTTAAACTTTTTATTTAAAATAATTTTAATTTCACAGAATTCACATTCAAGCGAATATTTTTTATGATTCGAATTTTTAAATAACTGAAATTTCAAATTATCGATTATTTATTTGTCCTAATTTTTAAGGCGACGAATTTTAATTTGTCCAAATCGACGAAATGATTTTTGGCGCGATTTTCAAAAAGTAACCAATCACAAATTTATGGATAATTTTTTGACTTAAAAAATCGCGCCAAAATTATTCTATCGATTGTTTTCTTCGGACATTTTACAATTTCGGACAAATGAAAAATTCTACCAATTATAAAATTGTTTTAAATTGATTTTTTTCACAGAAAATTAAAAGGCATTAAAATAAGCTGCAAGGTTTATTATTTTAATCCAATTTTGTTTATTTTAATCCATTTTGGTATTAAAATAAGTAAAATTGGATTGAAATAATAAGCGTTGCTGCTTATTTTAATGCCTTTTAATTTTCTGTGTATTTTCATGAGGATTTTCTTTATAAACTTTTGCGCGCATATTTTTTTTTTTTTTTTTTGGTTTGCTCTATACATATAATGAAATTAGAATTCGCTTAGTTTTCTGAAAATAATATCATATAGAAAAGGAAGGTACTACACGATAGCATCGTACTGGAAAATACCGACTCAATTTCCGTAGAAATCGGCTCGATTTGAGATCCACTTCCGGTTGGAAGGAGTTTGTGGATCGAAAAGCGGTATAGCAGGTAAACGTGCGAAGATCGACCTCTGATGGAATAGAAAATTCCGTTGGATCGAACGATAAATAAGTCCTGCCTTTTATATATATATATATATATACTCCACCCATTTCTTGTCTTTCTTTCCGTCTTCCTTTCTCTCTGTCCTGCTTTTTCCGCACGGTAGACATGGCAACCGTAAATCAAGTCTTGAAATTGTTTTCGCGATTCAGAGTACTTCTCACACACACACACACGTCGATAAGTTTAACTTTTATTTTTTTCAAGAATGAAGCAAGATGTATTTTTTCTTATAAAATCAAAGAAGCTACGCACATATATATATATATATATATATGTATGTGTGTGTTTTGTAAAATGTGGGAATATATAGGAGAGAGAAAGCTGATCTTCAGAAAAGAAGAGTATGTTCATTATACTCATGATTAAATCCCCTTTTCTGTGAGAGTAGAAAAAATAATGGGAAAAAGAGAATCAAATAGGAAATGATATTATGATTTTATGAAAAGAAAGAGATAAAGTAAATTCAATGTAAAAAGTAAAAAAAAAAAAAAAGAGAGTTCAATTTTTTAATTATTAGATAATAAAAAAATTGGAAAACGATTTAAGAATTATCTTTAATTTAATGGCTTTTGGAATTAATAATTAATTACAAAAATTTTTTATTAACTCTTAAAGAATAATTTGATTTTTAAGTAGAAAAAGTAGTTTAGTCAGAACAATTTTATTTGTAAGTAGAAAAAATTACCATTGTCATGCAAACGGGATTTTTAAGTAGAAAAAATAATTTTTAGTCAGACCTATTGTATTTTAAGTAGTGCAAATTATTTTAATCAGACCAATTGGATTTTTAAGTAGAAAAAAGGAGTTTAGTCAGACAAATTTTATTTTAAGTAGAGAAAAAAAATTTAGTCAAACCAATTATAATTTTTATAAGTAGAAAAAGAATTCTAGTCAGATAAATTATATTTTAAGTACAGCAAAATATTTTAGTTAGAACAATTGAATTTCTAAGTAGAAAAAAATATTCTAGTCAGACACTTATATTTTGAAGTACGAAAAATTATTTTAGTCCGACAGGTTGTATTTTAAGTAGAATAAAATATTTTAGTCAGACAAATTTTCTTTTAAGTAAAACCAAAAAAATTTCGTTCAGACCAATTATAATTTGTATAAGTAGAAAATGGTATTTTAGTGAAATAAAAAGGATTTTTAAGTAGAAAAAAAAAATTTTCTCACACCAATTATATTTTAAGTAGTGAAAATTATTTTAAGAATAAAAATTGGATTTTTAAGTAGAAAAATGTAATTTAGTCAGACAAATTTTATTTTAAGTAGAGAAAAATATTTTAGTCAGACAAATTATGAATTTTTGTAAGTAGAAAAAGATGTTTTAGTCAAACAAATTTTATTTAAAGTAGTGAAAAATTTTATAAGCAGAAAAATTGGATTTTTAAGTAGAAAAAATGATTTTAGTCAGACAAACATAATTTTTTAATACCGAACACTATTGATACAAAAAAATTATTTTTTTAAGTAGAAAAAGGTAATTTAGTCAGACAAATTGTAATTTAAGTAGTGAAAAATTTTATAAGCAGAAAAATTGAATTTTTAAGTAGAAAAAATTATTTTAGTCAGACAAATATAATTTTTTAATACCGAACACTATTGATACAAAAAAATTGGATTTTTAAGTAGAAAAAGTTAATTTAGTCAGACAAATTATAATTTAAGTAGAGAAAAATATTTTAAGCAGAAAAATTGGATTTTTAAGTAGAAAAAATGATTTTAGTCAGACAAACATAATTTTTTAATACCGAACACTATTTATACAAAAAAATTGCATTTTTAAGTAGGAAAAGTTAATTTAGTCAGACAAATTGTAATTTAAGTAGAGAAAAATATTATAAGCAGAAAAATTGGATTTTTAAGTAGAAAAAAATGATTTTAGTCAGACAAACATAATTTTTAAATACCAAACACTATTTTAAGCAGAAAAATTTGATTTTTAAGTAGAAAATTTTTTTTAAGTCAGACCAATTAGATTTTTAAGTAGAAAAAATTATTTCAGTCAGACAAATTAATTTAGTAATTAAAAAAAATATTTTTTTACTAGATCTATAAATATCATTACTTAAAAAATAAATTTACTCAAATAAATCTGATTTTTAAGTAGATCAAATCATTTTAGTCAGACCAATTTTATTTTTAAGTAGAGTTAAATATTTAAGTCAGACAACAGTGAATTTGTTAAACAAAAAAAAGAATTTTTTTAATTTAAAGTAAAATTTAAAGTAATGAAATATTTTTTTTCTCATTTCTCCTTTTTTTTCTAATTTCAGTTACTGGACATCGGACAATTCAAAAGAGAAATTTATAACGAGTGAACCGCGCGACAACAATAAGGCAGCTATCATGAACAGTATTGCCTCATCTTATGCACTACAACGACCGAGGTTTACAGCGACATCGACGCTTTCACCGGAGAAAACGAAAGATGAAAAAAAGCTCGATGATATTGGAAACTGGTCATATTATCGACCATACCACAGTTCCTCAGACGCGCAGAAGGCGCAAATATTTGAGGATATTCAAAGGAAAATCACCAACGTCACAAGCGTACCAGCCACTAGTCATCCCTGGAGAAATTCTACCAATATCAGAGAGCATCAACATAGATTTAGGCCAAAGCATCACAAATACACCAAAGGAAAACGAATTCGTACACGTGAGTTTTTCTTTTCCAGTATTTTAACATTTGTTAAAAAAAAAATAATTTTCCATCTATTATTTTTTTATTTTCCATTTTTTTAATTTAACAATTCTCATTTAATCCAATTTTCATGAAATTCGAATTTTTAAATGACAGATTTTCAAATTGAATTTTAATTTGTCCGAATATTTATTTGTATACGAAATTTTAATTTTTCTCCAAATTTTTAAAACAACGAATTTTTATTTTTCCGTACAAAAAATCGGCAGAAAGATTTCGACGCTATTTTTAAAATTGACCAATCACTATTTTCATGATAATATTTTCTAATTGGTCAATTTTCAGAAAATAGCGCCAAAATATTTCTGTCAATTATTCGGTCATTTGTAATTTTGGACAAATTAAAATTCGGAGTCTTAAAAAATTCTATTAATTTATTATTCGTACAAATAAAAATTCGAACAAATGAAAATTCGATGAATTAAAATTTCTGTCAATTAAAAATTCTTATAAACAAAAATTCGGACAAATAAAAATTCGATGAATTTAAATTACTTTCAATTAAAAATTCGTACAAATAAAACTTTGTACAAATATTAAATTCGGCGCCTTCAAAAATTCTATCAATTAAAAATTCGTACCAATAAAAATTTGGACAAATAAAAATTTCGTGTATTTAAAATTCTATCATTTCAAAATTCGCACAAATAAAAATTCGTTCATACAAAACTTTGGTGAATTAAAATTTTTGTCAATTAAAAATTCGTACAAACAAAAATTCGGACAAATGAAAATTCGGTGTATTTAAATTTCTTTCAATTCAAAATTCGTACCAAATAAAACTTTGGACAAATATTAAATTCGGCGCCTTCAAAAATTCTATCAATTAAAAATTCGTACCAATAAAAATTCGGATAAATGAAAATTTCGTGTATTTAAATTTCTATCAATTTAAAATTCGCACAAATAAAAATTCGGTCATACAAAACTTTGGTGAATTTAAATTTTTATCAATTAAAAATTCGCACAAATAAAACTTCGTACAAACAAAAATTCGGACAAATGAAAATTCGTTGTATTTAAATTTCTTTTAATTCAAAATTCGTACCAATAAAACTTCGAAGAAATGAAAATTCAGCGCCTTCAAAAATTCTTTCAATTAAAAATTTGTTCCAATAAAAATTCGGACAAATGAAAATTCGGTGTATTAAAATTTCTGTCTATTCAAAATTCGCACAAATAAAAATTTGGTCATACAAAACTTTGGTGAATTTAAATTTTTATCAATTAAAAATTCGCACAAATAAAACTTCGTACAAACAAAAATTCGGACAAATGAAAATTCGTTGTATTTAAATTTCTTTTAATTCAAAATTCGTACCAATAAAACTTCGAAGAAATGAAAATTCAGCGCCTTCAAAAATTCTTTTAATTAAAAATTTGTTCCAAAATAAAAATTCCGACAAATGAAAATTTGATGTATTTAAATTTTTGTCAATTAAAAATTCTCACCAACAAAAATTCGGACAAATGAAAATTCGGTGTATTAAAATTTCTGTCTATTCAAAATTCGCACAAATAAAAATTTGGACAAATAAAACTTTGGTGAATTAAAATTTTTGTTAATTAAAAATTCGCACAAATAAATATTCGTACAAACAAAAATTCGGTGTATTTAAATTTCTTTCAATTAAAAATTCGAACCAATCAAACTTTGGACAAATATTAAATTCGGCGCCTTCAAAAATTCTATCAATTAAAAATTCGTACCAATAAAAATTCGGATAAATGAAAATTTCGTGTATTTAAATTTCTATCAATTTAAAATTCGCACAAATAAAAATTCGGTCATACAAAACTTTGGTGAATTTAAATTTTTATCAATTAAAAATTCGCACAAATAAAACTTCGTACAAACAAAAATTCGGACAAATGAAAATTCGTTGTATTTAAATTTCTTTTAATTCAAAATTCGTACCAATAAAACTTCGAAGAAATGAAAATTCAGCGCCTTCAAAAATTCTTTCAATTAAAAATTTGTTCCAATAAAAATTCGGACAAATGAAAATTCGGTGTATTAAAATTTCTGTCTATTCAAAATTCGCACAAATAAAAATTTGGACAAATAAAACTTTGGTGAATTTTAATTTCTATCAATAATAAAATTCGCAAAAATAAATATTTGAACAAATAAAACTTCGGTCAAATGAAAATTCGTCGCCTTTAAAAATTCTATTAATTAAAAATTCGTACAAATAAAAATTCGGTAAATTGAAATTTCTCTCAATTTAAAAATTCAAATCAGAATAAAATTTGATTAAATAATTATTATTATTTTTTTTTTAATATTGTATTATTAAATTATTATAATTTCCAGAAGTAAGTGTTTATAAATATATAAACTTGAGCTTTTTCTTTGTGAGCGCAAAAAAAAGGAGGATTTAAATTTTAAATGGATAAAGAAAATATTATGACTAATTTATTAATGAAGGATGAAATCTGGCTTTAATTGAAAGTAGTTAGAGAAGTGTACTCCGAGTTCTCTTTAGCCGATAATACATTATTCCTGAATATCTTAAGAACAGTAAGTCTCTTGAAATAACGAGAAAGTTTAGTCAGTAGAAGCTTTGGAAGTGAATTCCATCTCTAAATCACCAACATTCGTCAATTACGTAAGACAGTTCGAACAGCATTTCAAATAGTTTCTCCTTTTTCCATAAATTTTATACCTTTTTTTTCTAAATTTGGAATTTTTTCTTTTTCTCCCTGAAAAAAAACTTGTGTTTTATAATAAAATATTAATGTACCTACACATAAAAAATGCAAAAAAAAAAGATATTTACTCTTCTTCCAATATTTTTCTTTTTTTTCCTCTCCCTTTGAACTTTCGCTTTCAATTCGATTGTGAATGAATTTCAATTGGTTATTTAAATGGTGCTTTACGTCACGAATTTTCATTCAACCAAGTTTATATATACTAAAGTCATGACTGTTCATTGAGCATATATTTTTCGTGTGCTCGATCAAAGAGTCTTTTTCAATATATCCTTTTTTTTTAACCTCTTCAATTTAATTTCTTCATTTCTCAAGCGCGATAAATTTGCTTTTTTATATTTTTTTTTTAATAAAATTTAATATAATAAATAACTGTAATATTTCTCTATAATAAATAAATATTTATAAATAATTTGTAAATATTTATTAATATTTTACAAATAATTTATTAATACTTAATAATTATTTAAAATTTATTTATTTATTTATTTTTTTATTTATTTTTATTTATTTTATTATTTAATTATTTATTATTTATATTTTAAAGAATTTTATTAATATTTTACAATATTTTCCTAAATGATAAATTTTTGTTACATTAATCCTTGTAAATAAATATTTGAACCAAATTAAATTTTTTTGTATTTTAAATAATTTTGTTTTTTTTTTTTTTTTTTTATTTATAATAAATACGAGGTGTGAGATGCTGTAAAAAAATGTTATAAAATATTATAAAGAGTATAAAGTAAATTTCCATGTCTTAGATATATGAGCATAAAAAAAATGCAAAAATAGAAACTAAAAAATTGCACTGCGTAGGAAAAATAGTCAGACAAACAAATGGTCCTTTCATATTAAAATTCAAGTCTCTTCTCATACAATATGGAAACTTTTCTTACAAAGTCCAGGGTATAATTTAATTTATTTAAGCGCAGATCTCTCTCTCTCTTATTTATTTTTCACCACTCTTCATTCTCGTTTTCCTCTTCCTGTCCCTCGACACAATAAAAAATGAATGAAATTCGCAAACAAAAGTTTTGTGGTTTTGAGTAAAGAAAACCGGTTAGAGAAAGTGAATGAGAGTGAGCGTCTAGTCATAAAAAGATTAGAGGTCTGGCGAATGAAAAAAAAAAATAAAATAAAAAAAAAAAAAAAAAAACTTAAAGACGTGTATGTTTTAGGATTGCCGAGGGATTGCAAGGTCAGCGAATGGGGTCCCTGGAGCGCTTGCAGTCGAACTTGTGGTGTCGGCGAAACCCAAAGGACAAGAAAAGTTGTCATAAAACCGCGCAGAGGCGGAATTCGTTGTCCACCTCTTAAAGAAACCAAATGGTGCAGTGGAATCAATCCTTGTCACGAGAGTAGCCAATCTTTCGTTGACACTCATCGATGGTAGTATTTTGTCACACACACACACACATACAAATATATTTAAATATTTGGATTAAAAAAAAAAAAAATCCCTTCATTAATTTATTTTTCGAAAATTTTCAAAAATTTGAGATAAATTCTCAAAAAATAATTTTTTTTTTTACACTTATTCCAAAGACTATTTTAAAGAAAGAACAGAAACAAAAAAAATTCGAATCTCTCTTTGAAAAAATAGTCAATATATACCAAAGAGAAATTTTGTTTTTTGTATAAAAAAAAAAAATGTTTTTTTTTTTTTTGCAAAAAGATTATTTTCAATCGTGATTTTCTTTCTCGTAAATCAATTATTATCAGTGAAAATTTCTCCTTAGATGACAATTCTTTATCAAAAAAAAAGGAGATGTTTTTCTATTTTGCGGGATGAGAAAAATCACGAAGGAAAAAGGGAAATATTATCAAATAATCCCCCCCCCCCACGAGGGTTTAAATACTCACAGGACAATCTTTAAGAACGACATTAATCTGTGTTTCGATATCAAGTGTTTTCTACCTATTAATAATATAATAGGAGATGAGAGGAAAGTAAATTGTTGAGCAATGTTAATTTTAAAAAAGAAATTTTTTTTTTAGTTTTTATTTTTCTGTTAAATTTCAAAATTTTTTTTTATAAACAAAATTCTTAATGAAGAGAAAAGGAATTTTTAGCATTTAGAAAAAGTTTACCAAGAAAAAAAAAATAGTTAGAAAAGTATTCGACTTTAATTTTTTAATCTAATTTTTAATTAGAAATAAAATTTTTTAATTTAATTTTTATTTTAAAAATAAAATTTGTTCTAGGTAGACAAAAATTGGTTTTTAAATACCTACACTCGAAAATTAGAAATTTTTTACTAATTTGAATTAGTAACTCAATTTTTGATTTTTGAATTTTACTGATTCGATAGTAAAAAAATTAATTTTACTAATAATACTAATTAGTAATAAAATAAAACCTTTGATTTTGTAGTAGAATAAAATTTTTTATGATAAAATTATTTTTTTTTAGTAAAAAAAGAGTTATAAAATAGAAATAAAATTTCATAAAAAAAAATTTTTATTTCTCACTCTCATTCACTCTATCTAAATGTAATTTAATTTTACCTTTATATAACTTGACAAAGTTTTCTTGAAGAAAAAAAAAATCTCTTGAAAAATGTCCACAATCTTTGATAGAATTTTTGCTCTTACTTTTATATAAAAAAAAACTTTACTATAAAAATCCTCAACAATTCACTTTTCTCAAGTTAATGTCGTTTTCTTGTCTCATTGTAAAAGTTATAAAACGAGAAAAACATGTCTTTCTCGTAAAAAAAAAAAAGAAGTTTGTGCATTGGAGATTTTTACAAAAAAAAAAAAATATCATCAGGTATGTACTAGGTATTATATCTTAGGATAAAATTTAACGATAATAATAATATTAAATTAATGATTAACGCTTATTGGTAATTCGTTATACTTGAATAGAAGAAAAAAAAAACATGTAATAATCGACGCTAACAAAAGAGAAAAAAAAGGGGCCAGAAATTAGGTTCTTCGTTTAATATTCATTAAAAAAAAAACTGCCCTAACTTTTTATCGAATTGAAAATTAATTATTTTTTTTCCTTTTTTATTTATTAAAAAAAAATTAGCGTCGTGATTTATCGAGCTGTTACTCCTTTTATTTTTAATTATAGATATTATATTTCACCAAAAAAAAAAAATTGACATTTTTGTGAGAATATTGTTCAACAAATTTAGATAATAAGGACCTCTGTCCACAAAATATGTTTTTAATGGGTAACAGTTTCGACTAGATAATCCATTATTTATTTTTAATAACACACAAAAAAAAATTTCTAATTTATTTTTCCAAATATTATAATAGAAGTTAGAAAAAATCAATTTTTTTCGAATTTTAATATAATGATTCGAGTTTAGAATATTATGAGTATATAGTTATGGTGGGATTTAAAAAAAAAAATATTTGAAAAATTATTCTAATTTCGAAAATGACGATGACACTGTGCATTTTAGATTTTAAGATATCGAATAGGACTATAGTAATAAGTAATGTGTAGTGATGTATAACATAAGTTTATATTACATAATAAAATCTCTCTAAAAAAAAAAATTAAATGGTTTCTAATTTTTAAAATCGTCAATGATTTAATTTTTATAATTATTTAGATGGTTAAAAAATTAAAAATTATTATTATTATATTATTTTAATTTCACATTTATAACAAGGAACATTTTTCTTTTCGTTTCAGATGTTTTTTTTTTCATTCCTGCGGTTCAGTTTTGCAAACATTGGTGATTAAAATATTGTTGAAAAGCTTTTCTGAGAAAGAATTAACTGCTTTCATTTATATGGGTGTAGATTGTTCGGAGGCAAGCGAGCGAATAACGTGTCAGCCAATTTCTTTGGTGGCAGCTGGCTGTCGTCCGAAGTTTTTACTGTCGCCACATTAATAGTGTAAAAGAGAATGGAGAGTATATTCCTGAAAAAGAAGAGAAAAGAGAAGGAGCTATCGTCGCACAGAACATTACTTCGAAATAAAGACAATCAAACTGCAGTTAAATGCAAAGATTCATCCCAAATGAAAAAGTAATAAAAAAAAAAACAAAAAAGGTAATTTTTTATAAATTCAAAATTAATTACATCTACTTTTATTAATTTTGTAGCAATAAAATAATAATTACAATTTAAAAAAAAAAAATAAAACTATTAATTTTTTTTAAATTTATTTTTTCAATAATTTGTTTTAAAAATAAAATACATTTTCGAAATTTATTTTTTAATTAATTAACAATTAATTGTAATAATTAATATTTTTTTTTTTTTTATATTTATCAAGAAGAAAGAAAAAAAGGGCAAAGCAAAGGTCATCGCATTACTTTATTTTTTGTAAGTTTTTTTTAACAATTATTATTATTATTTTTATTATTATCCGGTATATTGAATGAATAATGAAAATAAATAATTTTTATTTATTTTTATTAAAATTATTAATATTATTTATCTAATGTATAAACGGGGGAAAAAAATGCCAAACTGATTTTTTGGTCATTATATATTCAAAGGAATGAATATTTTTTTTTTTTCTACATTCAATTTAAAGAAGGAATATTTACAAAAAATAAATTTTCATCATCGAAGTGGAAAAAAATAAGCCTAATAGCTTCAAAACCTTATATAGTATAAGGAGAGTGAGTCTCGTTTTCTGCTTGTTTGCATATGAAAATACGTTCGCAAAGAAAACCGCTTATTTCTTCTTTGATTTCAGCTGTTAACGTTTATACCCTTAAAACGCGTGAGTAGATAAAAGTAAACGGAGAATTTTTTTTATAATCAAAATTATGTTCGAAAAAAAGTAAGAAATTTTTTTGATAATATAATTAAGATATGAGAAAAAATTATTTTTTATCTTGCAATTAATACATTGTTAAATATTTAATAAAATTTAGTAATAAATGAAAATAAATATTAAATATTATATTTGTTAAATTAATAATTATTTATTATATTTATTTTTATATTATTATTATATTATATTTAATATTAAATATTTTTATTAAATATTTTTATTAAATATTTTTAAAAAAAACTTTTTTTGCAAAAAAGCGTTAATAACAGAATTTATGCGATATTATTTAGTCGTATAGGGATAAAATTGTGATCGATTGTGGCATACTTGAGTTCTTTGTTGGTTCTCCTTTGCTTGCCAACAAAAAAGTACATTCTTCTTGGTAGGGACAAGGGTTGTCAGAATCAGAACATCGTCAGGAAAAATCTTTGGAGCGTAACAGAGTGAGAGAGGGGTTCCTTTCGAAGAGCTTTTTGGAATTAAACCTACTTTGCCTTGTGACAAATAATTATCTTCTATAAATAAAAAAAAAGAAAAAAATACTCGCTAAAAAATTAAAAAAAAAATAATATTTATTTTTAATTCAAAATATAATATAAAAATATAATAATTATAATTTATTTCCATGGGTTTTCAACCTAAAAAAATATATTTCTGTTAAACAAATTTTTTAATCGATTTAGTGGATGAATTTTTTTTTTTTAATTTTCTAAAATCATTTCTGACAATAACGAGGGATTTTCTACTGGAAATTAACTAGGCTCTCTCTCTCTCTCTCTTTCTCTCTATCCAGTGAGCTCTTACTATATCCTGAAGAGTATGAAGCACGTTCAGCACTTCAAAAGAAATTTCCCCGATAACGGTTTCTTTAGTCGTTGCTAAATAAAAAAAAAAAAAAAGATAATATTACGACCAAATAATCATTTTTCCGTCCTTGATTTTTATTGTGAATTATTCTTTCACAAGAATATAACTTTTTTTTTCTCGTCTCAGTTTTATATTCTATAATAAAACAAAGAATTATTTTTCAACCACAAAAAAAAACTTTTTAATAATAATTAATTTTTTTTTTTTGCTAATTTCTGAAGCAGAAATTAGTTAAACTAAAAATTAGTTTTAAATTTTTACTAATTAAATGATATTTATTTCAAATACAGAAATTATTTGGTTCAAATAAATATTTATTTGATAATAGTCAAATAATCGAGTATTTGAATCAAATAAATTTTTTTTTTTCAAAATTCAGAAATTTAGAGAAAAATGATTTTTTTGTAATTACAAAAAAAAATTGAAGAAATCTAATATTAGTTTTTAATTCAAGATATACCTATCTTTCTGACTTGAATTCGCGAAAGATCAAGTATGCAAATAAAGCAATTAAAATTTTCCAAGCAGAATTAATTGACACAATTTATAGAAATTTTGTCTAATTTGACTTTCATCTTTCTCTCTCTCTCTCTCTCTCTTTCTCTGGTTCATATTCAGAGAGATGGGAGAAAATATATAGAATACTTGCTAAGAAGACTCGACCTAGATTCTATATACTTTCTGTGAGTTGCAAACGCTCCTTAAATATATACACACAGCTTGGTGGACACCTTCATTTCCTACTCAAGAATTATCATTTTAGGAAATTATATTCACTTCGTGAAATGTTAAATGTCTATATACAGCTTATACTCCGCATGTTGGCTAATTTATTTTTAATTTTTTTTAAGGACGGAAAAGTATTTTTTTTTTTTTTTCAAAAATAGAAAAAATTTCAGGAATACTTGAATTAACTTTATATAAGTGAAAAGTTTTGAAAATATAACGAAAAAAAAAAATATGAGAATTCTGAAGAATCACATTCAATTCAATTACCGTGAAGTTTTGCTTCATATCAGATCAATCATTTTTCACGATATGGAGCGTTTCATTGTTGTATATATAGAAAAATAGGAATCATGTCAAATTTATAAAATATAAAAGAAGATGTATTTGATCTCTGATTTTTCAAATCGAAAATCAAAATTGATAGAGTACATTCCAAGATTCAAAAATTTGTCTCATATTTTTTTTTTTTTTTAATTTAATACTTTATTTCTATTTTACACTATTTTCATTTTATTAATATATTTTTATTGTATCATGCAAAAAAATTTCACCTGGAACAGCGATAAGTTTATCTAGAATAGGGAAATTTTTTTGCTATTTTAGTGAAACATATCGCTGATTTAGGTGAAGATTTTTTTCCGTGTACAATGAAAAAAAAAAATTATTTGATTCAAATACTCGATTATTATCAAATAAATGTTTATTTGTATCAAATAATTATTTACTTGTATCAAATAATTATTTATTTGTATCAAATAAATATTTACTTAAACCAAATAATTACCAATAGAGTCAATTAAATGATATTTTGTTTCAAATACAGAAATTATTGATTCAAATAAAATTTATTTAATTGAAATAAAAATTGTTTGCCTCAAGTATAAATATTTATTTGATAATAAGTCAAGTAATCGAGTATTTGAATCAAATAAATTTGTTTTTCACTTTTTTTTTTTTTGTTCAAAACAAAACTTTTATTGGTTGAATTGTTCTGTTTTGTTGGAAATTTATCAAGTATAAATTATTTAAAGATTTACGTTTTAGTCTCTCTAACGTGATTCTATGTTACAAAATAAAAAAACAAAAAAGTTAAAATAACGAATTCTGATTTGAAAGTTTTCTCTCTAGAGTTGATTTTTAATTTTCTTTTTTTTTCTCGATTTGCGATTCCAACGTGCATTTGTGTTTGTAACCGATCACAGCTCTTATTTTCGCGTGTATATAGTCTCTACTCGCAATAAAAGACATAGCCATTAGGATAGAATTAGTTTTCTTTATTTTATCGCTTTGGGGTCTTTTCGAAAGAGAGAAAGAGAGAAAGAGAGAGAGAAGATGCGCTCAAGAGCTACGATCATTCCCGCGTTCTTTTTCCACAATTTCATTTGAATAAGAAGAACCTTTTTGGAGAGATTGAGATAACGTCAAAATTGGGTGTCGACAAGTCGAACTTTGTGAATTTACCTTTAACTTAACAGTTTCTTTGCAATAATTTCATTTTATTTATGGATTTTTTTTTCCTTACACTGAAAAAAAAAATTTATTTAATTCAAATATTCGGTTACTTGATTATTATTAAATAAATATTTACTTAAACCAAATAATTTTTATTTCAACCACAATTAAATAGTATTTGTTTCAAATACAGGGAATTATTGGTCCAAATATTTAATTCAAATAAAAATTATTTGGTTCAAGTAATTATATTTATTTGATAATATTCAATATTTGAATCAAATAAATTTTTTTCTCAGTGTAGGAGCGGTTGCTGATTTTTTTTTTTTCTTTAACAATAGTTGTTAAGGTTTTTTTTTCGTTGTTAAAAATTTTTTTTTACAGTTACTAAGGATTTTTTTTTCCTTAGCAACGTTTTTTTTTTTTCTAAACAACGGTTCCTAAGGATTACTTTTTCCTTAGCAACGGTTGCTGAAAAATTTTTTTCCCTTAGCAACCGTTTCAAACAATAAATTATATATTATAATAATTAAATATTAATATTTTATTTTTTATTAATTGCCAAAATTATAATTATACTGTTGAAAATCAATTATATACAATTTAGATTTTACCGAATGTGAATTTAATGTTTTGAATTTTGCAGATACACATATTTATAAATAAATATATATATATGTGAAACTGAGAGGAAAAAAAAAGTGGAGAAATGCTCGTTAACAGTTTGCAGCCGTATTTGACGCTGGTTGAGGCGAAAGGTTTCAGTTACCAGGATATTAATTAGCAATTTAGTTGGACGATGAGAGGAAGGGTCGGTGGGGGGGGGGCAGGAGGGATGTGAGAGGAAAACAGATGAACTGATGCAGTATAGACCCCCTCTGGCGTATCAATCAAATATTTCGGGGATCGAGTTATAGTCCTGAATTTACGCATACATATATATATACACATGGATTTGTCACTCACTCTTGTATATGTGTGTGCCAGAGGGGTCACATTGCAAACATTCCATATTTCTCATTCTCGGCCGAGATCAGTAATTTGCATTTTTATCGACGACTATTCACCCCCAATATATATATATATATAGTCTCGCTAAACGTCCCCATCGTGCATATAAAACCTTCACTTCCCATTTAATCTATTGCATATTGTTTATTTTCTTATAATATTTTTTTGTTTTTTTTTTTTTTTGTCAAATTTTCAACCGAATTGGATGAAAAATTCATTTTTGTTGATAAAAAAAAAATTCACTAGTAAAGGTAAATTTTTGACATTTTTTTTTAATTAGTATAGTAAATAATCAGAGAATAAAAATAAAATTTATTCATTATAATTAATTAGTTTCAGTTTTTTAGTCAGATAATCGTTAAAAATTATTGTAACAAAGATTTTAGTATTAAAAGTTAATTTTAGGCAGACAATTTTTAAAAATTGTATTATTATATTATTATTTAACCAAATAATTTTTTTTTGAATTAAATAAACTATAATTGAATAATATTTCTGTTTTTGAAACAAAAACATCGTTTAATTAAATCAAATATAATAATTATTTAATGTATAAATAAATATTTTTTTGAACCAAATAATTTTTATTTTATCTAAATAAATTGTATTTTAAATCAATAATTCCTTTATTTGCAAAAATAACATTTAATTTAGTTAAATAATAATTATTTAATAAAAATGAATATTTATTTTTTTTGAACCAAATAATTTTTATTTTATCTAAATAAATTGTATTTAAATTAATAATTCCTTTATTTGCGAAAATACCATTTAATTTAGTTAAATAATAATTATTTAATAAACATAAATATTTATTTGATAATAGTCGGAAGAAACTAATTATTTGAATGAAATAATTTTTTCCAGTGCAAAAAATGATTTGTTTAAAAAAAAAATTAGTAAAAAAAAAAAATATATTTACATAGAAGAGTGAAGCAATTGACTCCCGTTGGCTTCAAGCGTTGATCATGAGAGGAATGGAATATAGAAGAACCTTAGGCAAGGGCATCTACGCAATTTCCTTCATTAGCATCAAATTTCCGCAGCTCTATCCCCTAAACCTGTAATCTCTATCCTTGATAAAGTATCATATTGCTTATTATTCAATTTTTTAACATAATCATACTAATTAGCTACCACTTTAATAAATATAATTAAAAAGGGCTTATTTTCATCCCTTTATGAATCATCAAACGCAATTTGTTTTTTATTTATATTTATTTTCTAATTTTTTAATTTTATTTATTTATTTAATTTAATATTTAATTTAATTAATTTAATTTAATTTAGTTTATTATTTAATTCAATTAATTAATTTAAATTAAAAATTATATTATTTAATAATATAATTATTATTTACTATATTATATTATTATTATTATTATTATTATTATTATTATTATAAATAATAAATTATAAATAAAAAAAATATATTATTGGATATTATTACAAATTCTAAAATTATTATATTAACTGCAAATACAAATACAATTTGTACTAATAGCTCAGTAATTGTAGCTTCACTTTACGTTGAATAAATAATTTCTATAATATACACACATATATATATATATACGTTTGCATATAGATTTGTATCAGATAGACGTTTACATATGCAAATCAAAAGCTATCAAATTATGTTCAATTCAATCACAATTATAATTTCAAATAAACCTCAATCAATGTATAACAAAATTTAATTTTAAATCTTATTTTCAATTTTAAAAGGAAAACAAATTACACAAACATTTAATAATTATCTAAAATTTAAAATAACAATACTACTATTATCATTACTAAATAAAAAAAAATTACCGTTTTTAATTTTAAATTTAAAAAAAACTACCGCTAACAGTTAAAACAGTATTCTACATTACCATTTGAATTACCATTATCGACTGTCGAGATTAATAGTTGACCGATTGCGCATGCGCCTCTCTATACCGGAAATTCACAGCATCGCGAAGTGGTTCTCACTGAAACCACGCCGTAATAAATTTGGCGGTTAACCAGTTGCATGCGGTTGTGTTAAACGGTAGCTTCGGTGAATAGAAAAAAAAGAAAGGTTATACAAATTTGTTTCTTGAATTGAAGGCAAAAGTTGACATAAACTCAGTGTGTTAGTGTTTGATAAAGGTGTTAAAGTGTCTATAAAGAAAATTAATAATGGCACTTCATACACCGAAGCGTACACCTCGTGCCCTGGCAGAGATGTTACCTTGTAGCCCGCCCATGTGCGACACGATGCTCTATCCCTGGAATTGGGGCGATGAAGCGAGAAATCTTAATTTAAGTCCAGGAAGTTCATGTTCATCGCCAGAATATATTGCTGGGACAAATGGAACAAATGCAAGAAATCACAGCTCCGAAAATCATCGTCGAGGACGTCCTCGCGCAGATGCTCTCTCAAATTTAATGATGCAAGGAAGCACAAGTCCAAGCAGTATTAAATGCACCTTCTGCAATAGAGTTTTTCCAAGAGAAAAAAGCCTACAAGCTCATTTACGAACTCATACAGGTAAATATAGAATGCTCTTTAAATAATTTAGACAGAAAGTTTTTTTTTCCATTCGAGAACAAAGAATGTTTACTGAATACACTTTTTCTAAATACAATTATTATTATTATTAAAGTAAAGATTATTTATAAAACGTAAATTTTCCAACTCATTTGAGATATGCACGTTTTATAATAATATTTATTTATCCTAATACGGGTAAATGATCATGATACATACATATCGCGTGTTCGCGTCCCGCCAACCGCCATTATGCGTACTTTAAATTCCTTTATTCCACTCCAAACACGAGATCTTTGTTTATTTTCCGTGTATGTGGAGGGAATGTTTTTTTTTTTTTTTAAATGCATGGGTATTACAATTTTTGAAATTTATTAAAAATTTGTTTATAAACATAGAGCAGTGTATTTTATAAATTTACAATTTTTTAAAATTATTTTGGTTATTGGTGATTTATATATGTATATCTGATAGAAAAAGGGATGTAAAGATGTCTGAATTGGTGGGGACGCGCACGTGCATTGTTTGAATCCTTAAGAAAGAAAAATCGAATTTAAAAAATATTTTATTTCACATGCAATTGAAAATTTTATTTTGATTTCTTTGTTACGCATAAATGAGTAAATTTGTAAATCTTTTTTAAAATACATTCAAAATTGTTTCAAATCATAAGAAAAAGAATTTATTTAGCCTTATTTCGAATAAAATTATATATTATTTATTTCTTTTCAAGATATTAGAAAATTTATTATGTAATAACTTGAGATTAGATAAATCTTCCTAAAGCAATAAATATGACGAATTTTTAATTTTAACATAAAAATTTGCTTTTAAAAAATTTATCGCAAAAAAAAGAATTTTTTTATCATGGTTAAATAATAAAATTTTACTTTCTATTACCTTTTTTTTAAATATAAATTTTTTTTTTAAGAATATTAAAATAATTAAAAAAAAACATTGGATGGAAAATACTTATTATTTATTGTTAAAATGTTGATAAAATTATCAAAAATCGTGTAAAATAAAAAATTTTGTACTTTATTACATTCACTGATATAAAAAATTAAATATACAAAAAAAAACTATATCAAAGATGAAGATTTATTAAATTATTTTTTGCAATGAGTCTTTGTCTAAAATTGAATAATTTTAAATTATTAATTTAGAAGAAAAGAAACTAATAGTTGTGATTTTTTTTTTCATAGGTGAACGTCCATATCCTTGTGATTATCCAGGATGTATAAAGGCCTTCACTCAATCGGGACAATTAAAAACCCATCAACGACTACACACTGGTGAAAAACCATTTCTTTGCACTGAACCAGGTTGTGATATGCGTTTCACTCATGCAAATAGACATTGTCCCGATCATCCCTATGCAACATTGACACGTTCCGATGATTTTGTTTTAAAGCCCGTTTCGGAAAATAGTGAATTATCACAAGAAGTTGCTCGCTGGCTAGAGCGCTATAGATTATCACGTGAACGTGAAGATAGAACACCAACGGGCAAGAGTGATCAAAAAATGTTAAAAACCTGGAAGGGTAATAGCGAATATTTTCGACGTGGTGGAAAATTTAAGAAAGGTTTAATAATGGACGCAAATGGCGAACAGGAGAATTTAGATCGTAAACCATTAAATAAACGACTTTATTGCGCTGAAAATCAAGACAGTCAAGACGATAGTCAAGAAGATGAGGATCCAACTGAAACGTGTACAATGTTACATATGTCAGAGGATGATGAGCCATCGACAATGAAATTGCCAACAACACCAAGACGACCACTTGATCGACTTCAGCCAAAGAAACGATGGCTTCGCGAAGCATGTTTGGAACAACAACTCGCTAAACCTCTTAGATGGGACGTTCATTCAACTGCAATTTCGCCTCATTCAACGAGTGAATTAAATTTATTACAACGCGCGGAGGACGCGTCTAATCTCTCAAAAGAATGGAGTTTATCTGCCTCAAATTCGCCTGTAATTCCAGGTTTGTAATTACTAATTCACATCTATTATCAATCAAAATTTCTTTAACTAATAAAAATTTCTTTTTTTCAGAAGAAAAATCAAAATCCGATACATATATTGAAAATCAATTATGCTGGGATTTGGGCGTCGCATCAAATGTCTCCGTAACTGATGTAAATACAACAGAAAGTCGTAATGTTTCATCAACATCACGTAATTTAGAACGTGAATTTTGGGATCCATCTTGTGAATCAATGATTTGCTTGACAAATAACAACAACAACAACAACAATGGTCCTGATTCTATTATTCATGAAGAAATTAATAGCGAAGTATCAAGCTCATGGAATATGAATATATCAAATGATTTAATTGATTCGCGAACAAAATCAATAACACGCACTGAAAATGAAACAAGACCAACTGTTTTAATGCTCGCTGGTTCTAATAAAAATAATTCACAATCACCAACAACAAGGTTTAATAATAATGAGGCAAAAGTTGTTGTTATTCCACAAGAAGAAGTTGTAAAAATACAATTTCCTGAGGATAATCAAAAATGGCTTGGCGCATTGGCACTCATGGAATTAGCGAAAGCACAAGAAGAAGAAGCTGTTCGTGCATTAACAAAAATTAAAAGAGACAGAGAATCCTGCGATAATATCAATTATACCAATTTATAAATCGTTAACTGTGATTCTGATTTTTAAGTCATTTTAATTTTTTTTTTTTGTGGTATTCGTATTATGAATCAACGATTTTCAAATTTGGGTCGTTTTAAGTCTTTTAAAACATTTTTTTATGAAAGTAGATGAAAAATATATATATTTATATATTGGGCACTAAATACGCGAAGAATTTATATTTTAATATAAAATATAAAAATGAAATTACTTTAAAAAAAATATTTGCACATAATTGTGCATTTATATTTAAAGCCATAATTTTTTATTTTTACTATTTGAATTGTGAAATACTTTTTTTTTTAAATTAATGAGCAACTTATGACATTTCTATTATATTTGTTCTTAAAAATTTTTGTGTGTTTTAAGTCATAAAACGACAAAACGTGTAAAAAGGACCTTTGTGTGATACTTAGTAATATAAATAATAGATGGAGATTTCATAAGAACGGCAAATTTCGCAAATATGAAAACAACAATTTTGAGTTTGTAGAGTATTTAAATTAGTCACTATTTATGAAAGGTTTTGTTTTTGATAAATTGAATACCTTTTTTTTAAAAAGAAAAACGACCTCTAATTATTATAAGTAATCAATTTCTTGATTATAAATTTTAATGGTAGCTCTTTTAAATATAGTAACTACAGTTATTGTAATAACTTTTCTTTTACGACGAATGTAAATATCTCGTATTTTAATAAATATATGCTATTAGAAATAAATTTGTTTTTAATTTCCAAAAATTATAAATTTTTTCTTTGAGAAAATAATTTATTATAAAATTTACATTTTTAACGTATAAGAATAAAAAAAAAAGTAGAAAACATTTGAAAATGTGTTTATAATATCTTTTTAAAATCTAATTAATTATTAATGTAAGAAAATTATTACAAAATTTTCTAATACTAAATTATTGACAGTCTTGCTTATTTATTTACAAAACTTAAATAAAAACGAAATTTGTATATTAAAGTATGTATTTACATTACTTCACTAAAAATTATTTTATTCCAAAAAAAGTGGATTTATTTTTTTTTCAAACAAAATTCATCATCCGATGTAAAAAGTTCTGGTGACGAGCATCTATTGGGACTTAAACTTTTTGAATTTTGCTTTGCCAATCTTCTACTTCTTCTATGTGATTTTTCAATACCCGAGGAAGTGGAAGACATTGAATCGTCTGAATCTTGTGCTTTATCAATTGATAGTATTTTTTTTGTCTCTGATTTTGTTTTTACTGATTCAGTTCTCGTTGAAGTTGTAGCTTTATTTCTCGATGACAATCGTTTAGTCTGTGAATTTTCAACATCTGAAGAAACAGTTAATGTTTTAGTTCTTGATGATTGTCGTTTAATTTTTGTACTTTCAACACTTAACGAAAAAGTTGAATCGCCTGATTCTTCTGATTCATTAATTTTTTTCGTTTGCGTTTTCGATTTCGATGATTCACTTTTCACGGAAGTTGTAATTTTATTTCTCGATGACAATCGTTTAATCTGTAAATTTTCAACATCTGAAGAAACAGTTAAAATTGGCGTTTTAGTTCTTGATTGTCGTTTAATTTTTGTACTTTCAACATTTAACGAAGAAGTTGATGCGACTGGTTCAATATTCTTTTCTCCCTCCAATTTTGATTTCGAAGATTCACTTGTTTCATTCTTTGTAGTTTCATCATCAGATAGAATTGAAACTTTTTTCAATGAATCACCAATTGTATCAATTTCGTCAATGATAAGTCGTTTTCTACAAGGTTGTCTTCTGGTTTTTTTCGTCGTTGTATTATCTTCTTCGTCTTCACTTTCACTGAAGATCATATCAACTTTAGTTTTAGGCAAAGGATATGGTATTTTATCTTTATGTAGAATCTTTAATGGAAGTTCTCCTGAATGTGATGGTGTCGCACAAGATTTTAATGGAAATGCATTATCAGGAATTAGGTCGGTAATTTCCACATCATTGACATCAGGAACTGTGAAAGCTGCAAAAGAAAATAGTTATTAAAATCTCAAATTTTTTTTTTTAAATTAATTTTTTTCTCACCTTTAAATGATGGATTGATTTTTTGCATTCGATATGAAAATAAAAGTTCATTAGCTGCAGTAAATACCGGATGAGTTTGTAAATTATTTATTTTACAAATATTAATTGCTTCGAATGCAATTTGCATTGCATTTTTCTCATTTGGTTCTGTTTCATGGTACATGAGAAATTTACTAAAATCAATCATCATTAGAATAAAATCGACGGTGGTGTAATATTTTTTCCAAGAGTAACGCTTTTCTGTAATGTTAGTTTCGTTTAAAATTTTTTCCCTCGTCAATACTTTTGTTCTCACATCCAGAGAGCCTTGAAAATGTTGAACAGCAAGGGAAGAATAATTTTTAAGAGAATACATTTGAGCTCGAATATAAGTACATGAAAATATTAAATGCTGATAGGGAATATTCAAACAACGATAGCATTCACATTTATCGTGAAGCATAAATTCAGGAGGTGAAAAAAATTTCTTTCGTAAAATTGGCGATGCATTATTCTCCATTACATCACGAAGAGGATCATCGACGTCCATTCGACGTGATAATATTATATTTGTACGTTCATTGTGTAATTTGGACGTTTTGTTATTCATTGACAATCCAAATCCTTCGATGTCGAGAATTTGTTCAATACCCTGGAGTTTTATTTCACAATCATCGAGTTTAAATCGTGATAAATCAATGTAAGATAATGACTTGAGACATTCGGCAACACGTAAAGTTGCTCCAAGCGATTGGGCCAATTCAAGTCTAAGCGTTAAATGAACCGATATTTCTCTAAATGAAATAAAATTGAACATTACTAGTGACATATTATTTACTGCATCCAACAATGTATTGAGACCGTAGTACGTTTTTCTTCCTGTAAAGAAAAAAAGAGGAAATTAATTTCTCATATAATTTAGTTACTTAATATTTATCGATAATTTACCTCCAATTTCAAGAGATCCATTTACAGTAATCATTGCGTACACATGATTAACAATTAACTCGGCATATAATTCCTGATCCGATGTTTTAGAATAAAATTGATAATATCTTATAATTGTATCTAGATAATCTAAATAAAGTGAAGTATTCTCTTTAAGGCTTACTGATTCCAAATCCTTTACTTTATCTAATAAAATAACTGCCTCTTTTATCTGCGTACAAATAAAATATTTAATTTAAATCAAATAAATCATTTTCTCAACAATGAAATTTACCTTTCCTGTTTCAAAATAAAAATCTGATAAACTCGTCCAAAACATGCCAGCAGCATTTTTATCCTCAATATCATCAGAAGTTTTCAACGAAACTGCGTAGTTATGAACCTTATCAATCCAATTATTGTTAATATATCGAAGAGAAATAATGCGAGCAGTCACTGAAAAATTAAAAACAAAATGTAATAATCTTAAAAAAGAAAGTAATAAAACTATTTTTTATTCCCTTTTTAATAAGTTAGGGAATTTTTTAAATTAAAAAATAATAATAAAATAGAAGATAGAATGAAATTAGCGAAATAATAATAATTACCATATAAGCATGAAGAATGATCTTCTAAAACGGAAGCTAATTCGTAAGCAAGTAACCAAGCTCGTTTTTCATTCTCTTGTGATAAATGCAATCGTGCGACTTCTCCAGCAATAATTATAATATCAAGAGTAATTTTAGGCTCCCAACAATTAATAATTTCTTTCTGTAACGAAAAATATTTTCAATTTTTTGTTTTTTTTTTTTTTTTGTTTTTTATTACAAAATAATTTCAAACTTACCGGATCTTTGGCAAAAATTTTTTTCCATCTACGTAGAATTTTCCTCAAATCCAAAAAAACTTGTTCATTATGCTTCATATTAATTGTCCTATAAACAGGAACCACTTCATCAGGTTCAATAGTTTCATCATGAGTTTGATTTTTACGTTTTTGCAAAATATCTTTTGCATTTTTAATATCCTCTTTAATTTTCTTGCCAGTTGTATTACATTGATCCATGAATTTAAAAAATTGTATATTTGCCTTTAGACAAGAATTATATGTAGAATCTTTATCAACAATTGATAAATAATATTCAGCTCTCTTTAAATATTCACTAATTGTACAATCATCACGAAAATAAATTAAATGATAACCAAGATATTGAACACCTTCGACATATTCAATTGTATTTTTTTTCAATGAATCCAATTCTTTTAAACATGCCTTAATCGCCCCAGTGAGACATACTTTTGCCATTTGTAATCCTTGTATTTCCTTTATGCATAATTTAATTAAATTATAATCATTCAATTCAATTTCAACTCCAAGTTCCTTGATTGCAATTTTATCTGCTTTTAAACATTCAATCATTGTTTGTTTAATATCTTTCGATTCAGTTTTATATTTGTGTTTTATATTTGCCCACATTTTAAATGCTCTCGAATCATTATCATCATAACTTATTAATCCATTAAATGCAGTGACAATCATTGCTTCTCTATATTTTTCAGCACGATAATAAACACCGCTTAATTTATGTAACACTAGCGATAATGGATTAGATGTGCGAAGAAAATTATTTTTACATTTTATTCCATCCTCTTGAATAATAAATGAACAGAGATTTGATAATATTTCTGCACTATCATCAAGATAATCTATACTTGTTAATAGACCAAAATTGTACATTACTTGACCGCACGTTGACCAAAGATGTGAATATAATCCACATTTTGTTTGTTTATATTCATAAATTGATATAATTATTTCATTTATAAAATCACGACTGAAATTTACTAATTCTTTGGATAATTCTTTTTTATCAATCATACAAATAAATACTCCACATTTTAGAATAATATTTATTTGTTCGTAACTATTGTATTTTACTGTGCATGTTGTTAAATCACATTTACAATTTTTTAAACGTTGATCAGAAAGAAGCATTGCCGCATGATTAATAAGTTCAACAATTTCAAAAAATATTTTATTGAAACATTCCGTTTTACATGAATTCAAACATTTTAGCCAATAATTGAAGAGAGAAGTGAGAATTTTACTAATTGCCAATGAATTTGCTTTTAGGAGATTTTTCTGATTGCTAATTTTTAATCTATTTTCAAATTCAGATTTATAATTGCAAATTTCTTTTAACATTTCTTCGTCGAAATTTGTAATTGGCTTTATTAGAATTTTATAAAAATCAAGTTGAAGTTGAAATGTTTTTTTTGCTTCAGAATTTATTTCAAGAAAAATTTCAAACTTTGAAGCACATTTATTTATAAAATTCCATACTTCATTTATTTTATTCGACTTAATCATTCTCATACTTAAACAATGCATAATATCAATGATTTCATCATAAACTTTTAATGGATTAATAATTAAATTTGAATTACTTTGCAATGTTTTAATATATTCAATCATATCATTAATGAACGTTATTATTCTATTGTTCGTCCATTCTTTATCAGAAATAATTATTTGATCAATGTACCTTTGTAATCTTCCAAATAAAATTACCGAATAATTCTCCAATTTATCGGCGTATTTAAGAAGTTGAAAATCAAATTTTATCATTTCCAAAAGAGAATTATATTTTTTTAAATCAAATTTTGTTGATGAAAGGGATTTTATTTCCATATCGATACTGTGACGCCATGCGTGAGAAAGTTTTAAAAAATATTCATTATCTTGTGAATCGTGAGAAAATATTTTTCCTGGTATTATATAATTACATAATTTTTGTGATTCCGAATAAAGTTTTAATTCACGAAGACATCGAGTAATATGATATATTCCAGAACGAAGTCTCGATGGATTACTTGATTCTGTAAATATTTCACAAAGACAATGGGTTAATTCATAAATTGTTAAACCCATTGCAATGTCTCCTTTTTTTGAATCATGGTAATTTATATATGATCGTGTTAATCGTGTTATTAAACTATCGATGTGATTATTGTACTTTGGATTTGACAATGGTAAAATTTTCTGTGAAAATCAAAACAAAACAATTGTTTTTAAAACTAAAATTATTGTAAAAATCAATTTATTATTTTAAATTTACTTATTTTTTAAATTCAATTACTATAAAAAAAAATTTTAATTATTTTTTATAATGCGATATTATTTTTTAGATGAAAAAAAAAAGTTTAAACATTGCTTTTTATTATCTTTTTTTCATAATATAAAACTGACAAAAAAATTGGAGAATTTAATTTAAAAAAATTAAAACGCTCAAAACAAAACATATTTATAATAATTTAAATACTTTGTAAAGTAAATAATGAAAAAAATATATATTTTATTTTCATTGACCTTTAATTAATAACGAATAAACAATTTTTATTTACCTTTACTTCTTCCGCTATGCCATCAAATTTTTGAGATTCGATTGAAATATACCATTCCTTAATTTTTTTCGAAATTGACATCTTAAAAATCTTCTATTACAAATGTTCATTAATTAATTTATATTCTTTGGTTTCTAAAACAAAAACAATATTTTCATTTTATAATATATATAACGTATATAAACAAGATTTTAAATTCCTAACCTAAATATGTAAACATTGGTTAGAACAAAATGATTTTCTTTAATTTTATAAATACAGACAAGTATTTTTCATTTTGAAATTAATATAATGTAATAGAAATTAATTTTCCTTTTAAAAATTTCTTACCTTTTCGATAAATATTGTTTTTCTCAGCAAAAAATAAAAAAAAATGCAACAATGTCACTTTAAACTCCTATAAGATAGCCTTAGGTCCTGTTCACAGAGAACATAATGGCAAAAGCAAGGCGACCAATCAGGCAACGACAATGATGGACAGTTCTACGCTGATTGGTTAAGGAAACAATGTCCATCTTGTTTCGGATATAAATTAATTTCGCAACGTGGCGCTGTAAACGTGAATTTTTTTTCATTAACGTCAATTCTATAATTTATATCTTTTCAGTTAAATCGCGGGATTACGTTTCAAAAAATCGTTCGCGCAACGATTTTAACGGAATTTTATATAGAGTCATGTACAGATTTTGAAGGCACAATAATTTAAAGTTTTATCGTTATTCAGTGAACGACATTCATTAACCGAATGAATTTCGGTTAAATATTCAATTAAATCAGTATTATTTATTGATAAAATAAAGTATTAATATATAGTTTACAATTGTGTTACACAAATCTCTTTCTCTCTCTCTCTCTCTCTCTGTCTGTGGGTGTGAAGCAGAAGATTGCCCAAGATGGCAGCAAACAACTTTCCGCATCAACGGTGAATAATGACTACAGACCTTGTGTTGAATTAAATTAACATAACATCATCGACTTATGCATCACAATAATGATGACAACAGGTTGACTAAGTTGAACAATTTACAAGAGCAATGCATAATAGATAGCGATCTTTTAAATCTCCAGCGCGGCCGGACGTTCATTTTGATATTTTAGTATTTTTTCCAAAATTTTTTAAAAATATCAAAGAGTCTTTCAAGGTATGTTTAAAATTATGTTTTAAGTATAGTTATTTTAACATTTCATTCATTCTTGGTGAAAGTTGCAATGACGATTTCAAGTAAGAGAAAGGTTGTTTGATTTCGAGTCAACGGGAAGTAATTTGAATTTTTTATAGCGTCTGCTATTACTTTTTTTTTGTTATTATTCCTGGGCCTATAATGGCTTTAGAATTTTATTGTTTTTAATTTTTTACCTATTTTCAGGTATATAGATTTTTTTTTAGTTTTGTGATGTTTTATTGTTTTTCATTTAAAAATTTTAATTATTGTACTTATTATTTCGTTTTTATTTCTCAATCTCGATTGTTATGTCCAAATTCATTATTTATGATATTGACTACAGTTTTTCGTGCGTGATCGCGTGTTCTTTGATTTACATATATATATATATATATATAGATAAACCTAGCGTACAATATCTGTTATGCTTTACTTTTAGTTCTATAAGATTAGATTAGATTTATTTATTAACAACTTATAAATCAAGATTAAATTTTACTCCATCAACAAGAAACCATTGAATTCAAAAAAAATTTCAAATTCAAAACATTTACATTTAAATTTTAGGACTACATTCTTCCAAATATAGAATAGTTGAAACAATTATTTTCTTGGCACAATTTTATAAATCCATAATCAATCATGGACGAGGTGAATAAAATTTTAATGGGATCTGCAGAAATTATAAAAGGTAAACTATTTTAAAAATATTTTCTTTTTTTTTAATTCTATTTTTAATTGTCAAATATAATTTCTGTTATATATTATTAAAAATATATTTCTTTTTGTTTCAGATCGATTTTATTTTAAAACAGTGCCAGATAGAATTAAAAATACACCAAGTATTCATTGTTTTAGTATAGACGATGAATTTGTTTATGAGAAATTTTATGCTGATTTTGGTCCTTTAAATTTAGCAATGTTATATCAATATTGTCAGAAAATAAATTCAAAATTGAAATCGGCTTTTTTTAAAAAGAAAAAAATTATTCATTATACATCGATGGATCCTGAAAAAAGAGTGAACGCTGCTTTTCTCGCTGGGAGTTATGCGGTAAGTTTTTAAAAATAAAAATTATGTATTATAAAAATTTTTAATAAAAATTTTAATTTTTTTAGGTAATTTATTGTAAACGCACAGCTAATGAAGCTTATGAACTTCTTACAAATATACCTGATTTTCAACCATTTAAAGTATTTCGTGATGCATCATTGAGAGAGCCTTGTTATAGAATATCATTGAAATCATGTCTCAGTGCTGTTTATAAGTGCCATCAACTTGGATTTTTTAATTTTGATGATTTTCATCTTGAAGAATATGAATATTTGGAAAAAGTTGAAAATGGTGATTTAAATTGGATTGTACCTGGAAAATTTATAGCCTTTTGCGGACCTCATGCTACATGTAAAATTGAAAATGGATATCTTTTACATGCACCTGAATCGTATTTTAATTATTTTGAAACAAATAATGTATCAACAATTGTGCGATTAAATAAAAAAAGATACGATGCCGCAAGTTTTATCGAAGCTGGTTTCGATCATAAGGAATTATTTTTTGTCGATGGTTCAGCGCCAACAATGGAAATTGTTCGACAATTTTTGAAAATATCAGAAAAAGCATCGGGTGCCATTGCAATTCATTGTAAAGCTGGTCTTGGTAGAACAGGAACATTAATTGGCTGTTATATTATGAAACATTATCATTTAACAGCACACGAGACAATTGCTTGGATTCGTATTTGTAGGCCTGGCTCTGTTATTGGTCCTCAACAACAATTTCTCGAAGAGTAAGTAAAAAATAAAATGATTTTCGTTTCATTTACTAAAGTTTTGAAAATTTTTTTTTTTTTAGAAATGAAACATATTTGCATTTATTATGCAAAGAACCACTTCGACCGAAAAATGGAAATCCTGTTCATGAATTTGGAATTTATTCAAAATTAGCAAAAGTATCGCGGGACAATATTAATGGAATAATACATCGTGTTGATGCAATGAATTTAGAGGAACCTGCTGCTATTGCAAGTACAAGTGGTCCTAAATTGTCATATTTGACACAGGGTGATAAACTCAATCAAATCAAAGCAAGACGCACTGTTAATAATTCATCCCGATCAACACGTATCGTACAGTATGTATTCAATTTTCTTTTCTTGTTTTTGTATTTTAAATTAATATTTCATATTTTCTCTAGACCGTACATAGAACTTCTACTTCATCACAGGAGTATATTTAAACCTGATACGAGAAGGTTCGTAGCTAAATTATTTCTCTTCTTCTTCTTGCTTTTATCTTTTTTGAACTTTGTCTAAATTGGTGCTTTGAAATAGAAAATAAAGGGGAAAAAAAAAGAAATTATCTTCTCATTTAAAAACAATTTTTAAGTTGCGGACAAATCGATCTTTACTGATTTAATTAACCTTTCATTTTAACAATTTCTTGCGTGACAAAAGCTCTTCTATTTATCACGATTTCACACGCAAATCAAATAATATTGTCACTTTCACGAGTCTAGAATACATAAAATTTTTGAATTCTAAATTTAAATACAAATAAAATTTTTTAATTATTAAAATATAAATATTATTAATATGAACAAAAAATATTTACAGTACGCAACTTTAAAATTGTAATTTTTTTTCTAAAATTTAAAAGAAAACACTGCTTTGAGTAATGTCTTTTCTTGCAAACTTTAGACGGATGGATTACGTTAAAATTCGTCGCGAAATTCGTAAACCAACTACACAGATTCATAACAATAATAACAATACCACTACGACACATTCTGTCACAAATTCAATATCCAAACCACTTACGAGGAATAGTCCAAAAGTTGAGATGCAATCGACAATTTCCTCAACGAAACTTTCATTAAACAAGAATAATTTGGATGAACGCATCGCACGTCATCATTCACTTCGACAGTAAGTTTTTTTTCCAAAAAAAAAAAAACAATTTAAAAATTTTTTTTACTAAATTATTATTTTAAAAGATCATTTTTTTTAAATAAAAAAACATTGCGATAAATTTTTATAGAAATGGCGGTTTGGCGAATGTAAAAATAAGTGAAAATCCTTCCCAACGAGTAAGATCCAAACCAACAACAACAACAACAACACAATTTCATGAAAGAAATACAAAAAAAGTAATTCCTGCTGTTAATTCCATTTCCACAACAACGAAACCAGTAACAAGAAGCAGTGTGAGGACATTGCGAGTGGATGAAACCCACGTCGTTCCAGCCTCACCTGCTACAACAATTCCATTAAACGAACGTAATCTCCGTTCTTCTGATCGAATTAGCCGATATTATTCCCTCAAGCAGTAAGTTTTAATATGCATTTTTAACATTTTCGTTGTTATATCTATTATTCTTTTTACTAATTCTTAAATACCAATTTTTTTTATTTTATTTTTCTAGACTTTTTTTTTAACTTTCTAAGCTTTTCAGTTGCTTTCCCACCAAAAAAAAAGAAAATTTTTATTTTCGCTTACTCTTCTGCACTCATTTTTGTGTGTGTGAGTGTGTGACTAATGTTGCTTGATAGTGGGAGGGCTAGAACTCGATCAGAGTTCACTGATTACAATATCGTTGATAATTTAATAGTCTATTGTTATAATTAATAATTTGTTAGCAAAAAAAAAAAATGTTATAACGTTCCAAAACGTTTTAAAGTATTAGTTTTATTTAATTTTAATTATTTAATTATATTGTAATAAGTAATTTGTGGACTTTGATGCTTAACAATTCTTTGCAGGACTGTTTTTTTAAATCTCAAAAAAATGTTAATTTTATACGTTTTTAAATTTATAAAATAATATTTGTGTCTTAGACAAATATTTTTTCTTTTAAAAACCGAAAAAAAACTTTCTTTTCAAGTCCTATAAAGAAGTGAAAATGTACGGGGTAAGGTACCGACGGCACGTTTAAAAACCGCATGTGTTTGCGATTTTTTTTTTCATTTTGTTTCCTTTTTTGATGAGAAAAAAAGAAAATAATAATAATCGTGGCGTTTTATATTGAATGTAGGGATGGGCAACTTTTTTCAATTTAGTGATTAATATTTTTTAAATAAAAACAAATTCAAATTAATTTATTGATCATGAATATACAAAAATTCAAATCTTTAATTAATTTCTAGTTAATTTTTTTTTTTTTTTTATTACCTTTGAAAATTAATTAAATTTCCTGAAAAATTTAAAAAGAATTTAGAATTTTTAATTTTAATTAATTATTTGTATTCATCAATACATTTCGCTCATCCCTGCTCGAATTTGTTGGTAGCTTTTTTTGTAGTCTTATTTAATTAGAAACCAAAAAAAAAAAAAAAAGAAAAGATGGAAAAAAAATGAAATAGTGTTCAAAAAGTGGCTAACGTACCCGACCCCGTTTGTTTTTTCTCTAACTTGCAGTACGCGCACTACAAAAAGTTGCAAAAAAGCATTTATCAGATGACTAACCGATATTCTCAGTGGCGTTGAAGAGGGCACACAACTTACACCTCGACAATCTCGCCAGCGTCGAAGATCTCATCGCTTCAACCCCATCATTCAATAAAGTATAACACAATCATCGGATATCCTCTCTATCTCTCTCTTTTTTGGAGTTCACGTGGTTTTTTGAAGAAAAGAAAAAAAAAAGAAACATTTTCTTTATATATTTTTGCACTCATCGTAGTTAAATGAATAATTTCTAGAATTCTAGAAAAAAAAAATTTAACCACGTAGATCCTAGTGAAACAAATAACAAACAAAAAAAGAAATGTATCTGTAGTTTTTAAAATTGTAACAATCACTTTCTATTATTATTAGACAGATATTATTGTCTGACTATAAAGTGATATTACATTGTGCTGGTCAGAGTTATACATATATATTATATTATATATATACATATGTACATGTATTAACAATAGGTTGTAATATTTTTCGTGAAAAAAACAAATAGAACAGGTAAATAATTATCTACGCCTTATCATGCTAGATTTTTATTTTAAGTCTAGTTTTGCTTATAGTATATTCACATTTGAAAAAAAATAATTTCCTTCCAATTTAGAAAAAAAAATTACAAAAAGAATTTTCATCTATATAATGTAAATAAAAGAAAAAATTATTTCAATTTCTACAGCTTTTTATCGAGTCAAATTGGGATTTTTCTGAACTTTTTAAAATCAATTATTATGTAGGAAAAAATTTTCTTTCTTTACAGTTTTTAAAGTTCGATAAAATCTAGACTTTTTTTTAGAACATTTTTTTTTGTTGACTTTTTTATATTGACTATTCGTGAATAGAATTTTTCAAGTTGTTGAGTTATTAAATTTTTTTTTGACACCGAAAAAAGAAATTTGCAAAGCTCAACAAAATCAATTATTAATAAGGAACTGGAAATTAATGGCCTCTTAAAAAAAAACTGTAAACACCAATATTTTTTATTCTTGTTTAGCGTTCGAATGAATGTCAGATTTAAATGCACACTAAGATAAACGATTTCATTATTTTTACAATTTAAAATCTGAATTAATTTGATAAACATACAAATTTAATTAATTGTTTTCTGAATTAACGAAAGTAATTCAGTAAATAAATATAAAAATTAAAAATTAATTTTTAAATATAAATAAATTTGAAAAATCACAAATATTTCAATGAAATCTTTAATTTTAGTGTAAAAAAAAAATTGAATTTTCCCTCCGAAAGTACAAAAATGTATTTGTTAACATTTATAAAAAAAAAAGAAAAATAGTATTATTAATTTAAAAATAGAATGAACACAAAAATGGTAAATAACAATTATTATTGATTATTTAACTAATACGATAATCCCATTTTGCAATTAACTTTGGTTAATTTAATAATCTAATCAGTACGCATGTTGGAGGAAGTTATTAATATCTATATAATGTGGCAGGCTAACTTTATACCTTAAAAGTCTTAATTGTATGTAAATAATACAACAAAAATAATTGTAGAAAAATTATTCTTTTTTTTTTTGCTCATTAAAAAAAGAATTACAATATATATAAATATAGATTATGCGAATATAAAAGGTAAAATCAATTTAACGAGAAAACGCTTCTTAGAATTGCTTATGTGTGTAATTCAATTTTATTTGAATTAATTTAAATAGATAATCAAGGACACAATATGAAATTATAAATAATAATATTGTAGCTATATTTTTGTCAACTTGAAATCAATCACTCTGAAAGTTTCGATGAAAATAATGCAAATCGCTGTAGGAAAAAAAAAGATTTTTCAATATTTTTAAATTGAATATTTAATTAACAAGTTTTCTTAATGTTTTCCTAATTTTTTTTTTTTACTTTCTAATTTTACATTATTATTGTCTCTTTATTTTCAGTATTTTCTTTAATTTTTCATATTTTTTTTTAAACTTTGCAATTAATTCAATAATTATATTAATTCAGATTCTTTTTTTCTATATAGAAATAAAATCAGCTCTCTCCAATTTAAATATAAAAAAAACTGATTGTACAATCGATTGTCATGTGTCCAAAAAAATTTGCGTATACGAAAAAATTTATGCTTTGTTTTTTAGAGGAAAGATAAATTTTTAATATTAAATTTTGTTGTATTAATCTTTCTGCTGGTCAGACAAAGCGATATTAAAAGAATATTTTAAGTTTTATTGATGATAAATTGCACTTTCATTATATTCGCACTATAATGTCGAGAAATTATAAAACAATATTGATTTGCATGATTTTTACTTCCCATTATATTATAGAATCTAGTAATAAATTCAGAAATTTAAAATAATTTGATAATTTTCTCACTGATTTGTGTACTTTTTCTTTTCTTTTTTTTTTTTTGCAAAGAATCATCCAAGACTGTTATTCATTTTTTTAATTCATTAAAGACTGAAAAAAAAATCAAAAAAAAATGTTTTGTATTTTTAGAATCTACAGAAGAAAACAAATAGTTTAGAGAATTTGTATATTTGTAAAATAAAAATTTTACTCTAAACACAGAAAAATTTAAAAAAAAACAAACCAAATCTGTTGGAAAATTATCAAATTAAACAAATATGTATAAATATATTATATATATTTTTAAGTAAGATTTGTTGCAACAAAAATTTGATTATTGTAAATGAAATTTTTATAATAGAAATTTTTATCAAATTGATTCGATTGAAAGAAATTATATATTATTGTGAGAGAAAATTTTACGAAAAAAAAAAGAAATGCATATCGTAATTGATTCTTTCAATCAAAAAATAAAAATTAATTCTACGTATAACCATTTATACTCATTAGAATTAGAATTACATTTTGTTTAGCAATATAAATAATAATAATAATAAATAGTATTCAACTTTATATTTAGTTTTCATTTTGCGATATTTTGATATTTTTCTAAAAATAAAATTTAAATTGAATTTTTAAAAAATTAAACAATTTTTTCATTTTTATGTTACGATTGGTAACATAATTTTATTGTTACAAAAGTACAAATTTTTTTTTATACATGAAAAATTGTGTGTAATAAATAATCACAGATTTGCTTTCGTTAAATATTGAATTAATACTGTTATCTTATTAAAAAATATGCACAATAAGTAGCGAATGCAATCCAATGACTTGAGAATCCAAGTTTAGACCATTTTTCCAGTGTATGTAAATAATTATATCCCGTTTCTTGTGTTTCTGATGTGTCAAACATAAGACCCAAATAAGCTAAATGAAACATTGTTAATGCTGTGAATCCAATATTAACTCCCATTATCCACCAACAATTTAATGAATTTTTTTCATGTTGACATTGATTTTTTGGACATTTTTTCGATGATATACATGCATTAAAAGTGGATGCAAGTACAGCTCTCAATTGAAATTCAATATAAGTATAGAAACCTAAACTAAGTAAAACAGCAGCAAGTTGAAAATTTAATCCATGAAGTAGAGAACTTGCAAGATATGTCAAGAGAATTCCTCCAAATTTACCGAATTCTCTTTTTCCCGGACGAAATATGTCTGAAAACAATTTTTTTTTCTAATTCTATTAAATATTTTTAAATTTTTTTCTACTTACAAATTTTTAGCCACGTATGCATTGGAATATTCCATGAAATAACAACTTGTACAAGCGATCTGGGTAATTCAATTTCAATTGGTTTTGTAATTGTAATTAAATTTTCTGAAAATCCTCCTAATAGCAAAAATGACGATGATATACTTGAGATAAAATAATGAGACATTCGAAACGATAATGCATCTCTATATGCGAGAATCCATCTGTAAATTAAATTATTATTAGAAATATTAAAATAATATTAAATAATTAATACTTACTTTCCAGAATTTTCAGAAATAATCCAATTTGATCCACAGTTTGATATGTTTAAAAAAATAAGTCCCAGAATAAAATATCCAATTGTTTTCAATATCCATCGTAAATTCTACGGAAAATTAATAGAAATTTATTAATGATTTTGTTAAAAGTTGATTTTTTTTTTCTAAACTCACCCACAATTGTTGACGATGAAATTCCGCATAATCTTTAAATGATGTCCAAGGTCCAAATATTGAAGTAACCGGACAAAATAAATAACCAAAGTATTCCCAAAAAATTGGTTTCTCATTTGTCTCATTTTGATCGATAGCTATGCTAATTTCTTTCATCACAGCAATCATCAGAACACCACGAATCTTATGCCACGATACTGGCTCCAGGTATAATTCACTGTAATATTTTTAATTTATTGTTATTTTTTTGTTTTATATCATTTAAAATTTATTATTAAAAATATTTTATTAAATTAGAATTTCATTAAAATAATAATTTTTCTTTACTTATATATTATTATTTATTAATTAAGCTTCAGCCTTTCGGCCCAAAATAATTTTTCTTTACTTAATATCAAAGAAATATTTAGTTAAAGTACAAAAAAAAAAAAAAAAAAGAAATGAAAAAATGCCGAATATAATAAATAAAAAATGTATACCAATATAAAATGATAAAAATACTTGGTATAAAAACTCCAAATCCACGTCGATATTTTTTTGGCAAATTTAAATAAATATAAGAAGTCACAATGAATATTGATAATAAATGTAAACTTTCAGGAACATAATGACGAAGAATTAAAAATCCAATTATTATCGAAACACCGTGTATCAATTTATGTGGAATGAAAGCTGAAAGAAAATTCTTGTAAATTTAAATTTATAATTGAATTTCTAATAATTTATTCAATTTTTAGTGTTTATTAATTTTTTTTTTTAAATATAATAAAACAATTATACTTACAACATTGAGAAATTAATTTAAATAAAAAACAAGCTGCTAGAAGAGGAATAAAATGTTCTGCAGTATGAATAAATGTTGGTTTTAAACAAAGATCATATAATTCTGTTATAGTTTCTTGTTCATATTCAAATTCATATTCTTGATCCATATCTTGATCTTGAATCATATCATCTTCTTCATCATAAAATACCATAGAATCCATTTTTCTAAATTGATGAATTATATAAAAAAAAATATCACAGCTATTTAAAATACTAATTCATTTCTTTTTGATAAATTAACTGATTTTTATTTCTTAAAATAATGAATTATCTTTTATTATAAAATTATTTATAATTATTTATTTTTTTAATTTATAACCACGACCGTTTTATTTGACATTGGCAAAACAAGATGCGCGCGCAAGTCCAGAGATGGAAATGTCAATGTACAGGTAGAATATCTGAAATGTGACACTTTTATTGAAAGAACGAAAGTGTGAAAGTACCTTAATTTAACCTAAAAAAAAATATACTAAAAACAAAATCAACAAATCAAAATTAAAAAAACAACAAAATATTAATTTCTTCACTTAAATACGTATTTACTTTGTTTTTCTACTTTTAACGAAAAAAAAAACTTACTTGTAAACACGTGAAAAAAATGGAAGAATTTGAAAAACTTGACTGGTTGGTAAAATTAATGTTTACTTTTTGTCATTTAAAAAATATAAATAACTTCTTTATTTTTAAGGACACCTAAACCAGAGGATATATTAACAGATCGCTATGTAAGCGAGGAACGTTTAAGAAAAGAAACTATAACCCAAAAATTGTTATTAGGATCATTTTTAAATCCATTTGCTAATATTCGAGAACAAAATACATCTGACATAAAGAAAATAAATTCAAATAAACCAAAATCAGAACCAATAAATAATGGAAATTCAAAGCCAACAAACTAATTTTTGTCTTCGAAATTAATGTAAAAAATATAATTTTTAAAATAAAAATTTGCAAAATGGAATTTGAAAAATATTTATAAACCTCTATAATCAAACAAAAGTTTTTTTTTTTTTGCTGAAAATACAAAGAATTATAATAGAATATTACATAAACAATTTTATTACAATTTTATACTATATATATATATGGCTTTCATTGATTGAAAGCAAATTCGATGAAATATTAAATATATATATATATACGTAAATATAAACAGTACTTTATTCTTATGATCATAATTATGACGATTCTTATTAATTTAATTTCATATCCCTAGCAGATGTTCTGCTTACTAATTTTTCTCAAGACTTTCCACCAAAACCTCCCATTAAATTCCCTAAGCCGCCTGCGGCACCTTGCTGTAGTTGTTTCATCATATTTTGAAGACCAGACATACCACCTGGAAATTTTTTTTTTATTATATTTACCCTTAAATTCTATTTTCTCAAATAACCAGAATTTTTCTTTCCCCTTTTTTATAGTGAAAATTATATTAACTATATGACTAAGGGGTAAAATAGTTTTTAAAAAAAAATTCTATCTTACCCATTTGATGCAAGACTCGTGGATCCATCATTTTTGCCATTTGTTGATTAAGTTTTGCCATTTGTGTTGGATTAACATTTTTCGTCATATCACCACCCTTAAAAAGTCCTTTAATACCACCCATTTTTTTAACAACAGCAGCAAATTTTGTATACTGTGAAATTAATTCTTTCACTTCTTTCTCAGTTACTCCAGATCCTTGTGCAACCCTTATAATTCTTCCAGGTTGTTTACTAAATAATTTCGCTCCATCTTTATCATCTAATTCTATAATAAATTAATTCTAATTAATATTAAATTCAATTTTCTTTTTCATTTTTTTTTTTTTTTAAATTATCATTTACCTGCATCATTCATGCTGTCCATCATAGTCATCAATTTTTTTAATCTAGCCATTGATTCTTGTTCAGTTCCTTTTGTCATAAAATCTTGACTAAATCCAGGAATCATTCCCTAAAATTATTTTCTTTATTTAAATTCAATAATTATAATAATAAAGAATTATTTGAAATTTATTTACCATAATTTGTGAAAATGGGCCCATTTTCATGATATTTTGAAATTGTTCATACATATCACGTAACGTAAAATGGCCGTGTTTGATTTTTTCCAATAATCCTTCGTTATCATCAAGATTTAATTCATTAACACGATCGATTAAACCTTCTATATCTCCCATTCCCAAAAGTTTACTTATAAAAGGTTTCGTTTTAAATGGTTCTAAATCGTCAATATGTTCTCCTGTACCGACAAAAATCACAGGACTTTGTGTGGCTGCAACGCTGTTTTATAAAAGAAAATTTTCATTTAATTTAAATATTAAAAAAAAAAGAAAAAAAAAAGGTTTGGAAATATATTTAAAATAGAGAAACATACGCAGAAAGAGCACCACCACCTTTAGCGTGACCGTCTAATTTTGTTATTATAATTGCACCAATATTAACACGATCTTTAAAGGCTTTTGCTTGTGATTCACAAGCTTGACCTATCGTTGCGTCCATAACGAAAATAATGTTATCTGGTTTCTAAAAAGAATTATATAATTAATAATTTTACCCAATTAATTTACAGTATTGTGGAAAATTCAACTTACAATTGCATTTGATACTTGTAACATTTCTTCAAATAGTGATTCTTCCTGTTTATGTCTTCCACTTGTATCAACAATTATAATTTCGTAACCTTCTTTTTTAAACATATCAACACCATCTTGTGCTATAACTACTGGATCAATTTCCGTATAACTGAAATAATAATTTTATTATTTAAAACTGAAAAGTATTTAAAAAAAAACAAATTTTTTATTTTCTTCAAGATTTTTGATACCTTCCATAAAATGGTATTCTTGCTTTTGTGGCATTTTGTTTAATTTGATCGTATGCACCAGCTCGAAATGTATCGGCACATACTAAACAAGCCTTCCAATTTTTCTTTAAATAATGATATGCGAGTTTTGTACACGATGTTGTTTTACCAGAACCTTGCAATCCTACGAACATTATTATATTTGGACGACCTTTTACTGGTTGGTAAGCTTTTACTCCAGGATCAATAAGCTAAGGAAAAAGGAAAAGATTTTTATTAAAATTGGTACTTTTATGCGAAAACTTTTTTTTTTTTTTAATTTAAATATTTACCTTGACAAGTTCTTTAAACACAGCACTTTGGATCATTCGTCTTTTATTAAGACCACCTCCCATATCATCAAAGTCAATAACTTGTCTTACATTCTCTCGTAATTTCTTCACCAATCTTATGTTTACATCAGCTTCAAGTAATGCTGCACATATTTCTTTTAACATAGAATTCAAAACCTAAAAAATATAGCATAAAATGTATTAACAAAACAAAAAAAAACAATGTATAAATCTCTTTCAGATATAAAAAAAAAAAAAGTAAAAAAATATTACCTATAAAACAACGAAATTTCAATCTTAGTGCATGAATTAAAAAAACAATAATACAAACGGAAATATTGAATAAAAAACATTTCAATGGAAATAATTAAATAGAGTTAAAAAATGAGTAATATGACTTAGTTTAGTAATAAAATAAATAAATAATTATTTAAATTAATCCATCTGTTTATAAATTTTTCAAAATAAAATTAGTGTAAATTTACCTCTTCATTTATCACAGTTGCATTATTTAGTGAACGTAGAGCGGACGTAATTTTACGTCCTAAATCTGCTAACACCATCCTGTCAGTTTAATAAATATTTTTACCCTTAAAACAAATCTTATTAACAATTAAAATGATAAAAAAAAACTTCCAGATGGGGCAATATTAAAATCGTGTAGGAATAAATTAAAACCATAAACTATGGAATAACAATCAAATGTAAAACCATTACAGGATACTCAACAGGGTTGAGTTAGTTGTGAAATTTGTCCAACAGTACTGTATGATCGTACCGTAAGTAAACACACGTGATTGCAATTGGTGGAAATTTGTAAAAGTACCTTTATACGTCAATGGCCTTTTGAAATTTCGGAGCTCGTGTGGAATCAAAATAAATTTCTACTCAAATGGTTTGAAAATTATATATATTTTAATTAATTTCATATATTTGCTAAATTAAATAATTTTTTTATAATTTATTATTATACAATAATATTAATGACATAACCAATAATGTAATGTTTATTTTTACTCTCATTCTTATCAGCTTTCTGATAAGATTTATATTATTTATATTTATCATATTATTTTCGATTTCTTTTTTTATTTTTTAGAATTCTTTACACCGTGTATTTGTATATGGAACATTAAAACGTGGAGAACCGAATCATAAAATAATTGAAAACACAAACAATGGCAATGCAAAATTTATAGGTTCTGGAAAAACAATTGCAAAATATCCATTGATAATTGCAACAAAATTTAATATACCATTTTTATTGAAAAAATCGGGAATTGGTCATGTGAGTTATATTAATAGAGTTTTCGATATTTATACTTTTTTCTAAAAAAAAAATATTTCTATTTTTCTAATATTTATTATTTATTTTATTCAGCAAATAACAGGAGAAATTTACGATGTTGATTCTGAGATGTTGAAAAAATTAGACGAATTAGAGGAACATCCCAATTTTTATATTAGAACGGAAGAAAATATTCTCTTAAATTCACAGGATCAGAATATCGCAGATACAATTTTAAATGAGGTAATATTTTTTGTATTTTTATGTAGAAAATAGTAAATAATTATCAACTAATTCTGTAAATATATTATTATGTAACTAATAAAATTATTTTTAGAATATAGTAATAATTTCAGTAATTTTTTACGGTAATTTAATGAAATTTTTCATTTTTTAGAATACCAATTTAATAAAAGCGTGGATATATTTTTTACCAAATTTTAAAACTGAATTACTTGAACAAGAAATGTATTCCTCATACAGCAATGAAGGAAGTCACGGTTTAAAATATGCAGAAAGGTATCTACGAGATATTTCCTATAATCATCGAACAGAAGTTATTGCATATGACATTTAAATTTTTTATATTTTCTTATTTTCATCATTGTTCTTCAATTACATTTCATTAGGGTAATTTATATACACTATTAAAAGTTCATTAATTAATAATAGTTCTATTATGTTAATTTTTTTTATCTAATGAAATTTCTACTTTGAATTATTTTTTTTAAATCATTTTCCTATACGTTTTTTTAAACAATTATATAATTACAGTGAAAACGAGTTCGCAAAACCAGAAGATGTTTCCTGAAAAAAAAAATTTACTATTTAAAAAAAAAAGGTTTCAACTTGAAAAAGAAAGCTTTCAAATCAGGTTGAAATTTCTTTTAATAACAAAAACATTTACAGAAAATTAACCACCGTTTTTGTTTTTTTTTTTTGTCAAATGACGAATAATAAACTAAAAAATTTAATTTTCAAATCGATTTTTCGCTGAGCTAATTTATCCGAAATTTATATTATAATTTAAGGATATTATATAAATGTGCTTATTCGTTTTTTGTTTTTTTTATAAAAAGACATTATTTTACATTTGATAGTTTATTATTTGAGAATTTTTCGTCACATGCTTGCATCACATACACTCGTTCGCACTTTCTGTCATTCTGTCGTTTTCACTCAACAGGAGTAATTAAAATTAAAAATATATTTCAACAACTCCGTAAAAAAAATTATTATGTTCAGCAAACGACAATTAATCAGAAATTTCAATTCGAGAATGATCGTTTTTCTAAGAAAAGCAATATTGACAAATTCGGTGGATCGCAAAAGAGTACTGGATTTTGGAAAAAAAAAAAAATCTATTACAATAATTTAAAAGAGAAAAAGACATAGTACACAATACAATAATAATTTGGATTACAAATGCAAATAGTCGCAGGCAGTGAAGAACAATAATTTTTTTTAAACTGGGTGCAATTATTTTTTTTTTTTAATAGGGAAGAACTCCTTTTTGTTCCTTTATCAAGCACCGCGACGATTATCCAGTTACTTTTTTTTTCTCCCTTTATATAAATAGGCGCACTTTAAAGATTTTTCTTCATAAATAATTACAAATTCCTTTTCCTATATAAGAGTCCCAACCTTGGCCTGGCTTCGTACCCTTCTTTTCAATGTTCTATGTAGAATAGCACCCCAAAAATATTATCCATAAAAAAAATCTCTTCGCATAGTCTCACACAACACGTGCCACTTTTAAAACAAAGAAAAAAAAAAAGAAAATTACACTAAGAAGAATAATCAACAAAATTACAATCCTTTTATTTTCCCTATTCAATTAAAGACTTGTCTCAAAAGTCCTTTCATTGGTTTTCGAAGCCCAGCCTCGAATATTCGCATAATTTTTTTTTTCCTTTTTTATTTAACTAGATATAAAATGTTAACGCCGTCGCTATTACATTTTTTTCTTCTCCTTTCTTCTTCTTCTTTTTCCAGTACTTATCGAAAATAATTCAATTTGAGCTTCGAGAGTTTTTTGAGAAAAATTTCCAATGATAATTATAAAAACTTGGTTTTAACAATATATTTTTCAAAATTTTCTTTTTTCTATATAGTGATTGTTTCAAAAATGTGCAGAAATTCTTTCTATTTTTTTTTTTTAAAAGAATTCACGAAGTCGCAAAACAAAAGTGATTTTTTTTTCTCGGTCAATATAAAATTTTTTTTAAAAAAAGGAGAAAATCAATAAAAATCTGAAATTTATTCTTTTGAATTGCTTTTTCGTATTTCGAGGTAGAGTTAACTAATTCAAATTGCGATTTATACTCTCAATTTAATAAAATTGTCTATTTCGATTTCTCTAAGCTATTCGCATAAAAAAAAAGAACCGCAACAACACAACAATTTTGTAAAAAATATCCCAAGCAAGCAACAATCTTGAAATTTGACTGTGGCTATTTTTTTTTTTTAAAAACAGAATCAAACAAGGTTGTACATTATAGACAAGAGGTAATTGTATGTACATCCATGTTATAAAAATCGGGGGCGAGGGGGGGGGGAGAGAGTGTTACTGTTAAGGCGTTACACACGAAAGCTTAGTCTATGAAATTTATTTTTGTAGCATGACTGGGCCGCAAACTGGAGCGAGGCAATGACGAATTGATTGTTTATCGTGTAGTCAAATATATATTGTCACTTTCAGCTTTGATCTTGTGATAATGCTCCATATTTATTGCCCAAAGAAAGTTTTGGCGCTTGTGATTGTGTTTCATTAACGCTCAACGATCTGCTACTTCCTTTACTTCGAACTTCTTCAAATGTATTGTCCTCTCGTTTCCTGTAATTAATTTAATAATTATTTTTTTTGAAATTACAAAAGATTATAAAAATTTAAATTCTAATACCGTCTGCCCCATGGTCCGGTGGGTTCATTACTCTGTTGTTGTTTTGAACTTAATGTGGGAAAATATTCCTCGCTATTGATATCAGGTGCAATATTCTTTGCTCGTTGTCGTGGACTAGCTGCTGATGATGATTGATTCCTTAAATGTGGAGCTTTATAACTACTTGCGGTGATTTGCTGTGGTTTTTGTGGTACTTCAGGTTCAACTTCTGTTTGTGGTGGTAATTCCGGTTTTTTCCAAGGTCCACTATGTTTAGTGCCAGGTTCTCCTAATTCTCCATCCGAACTATTGTCACCTGTACCTCGGCCATCGTCAGATTCTGCATCTGTTGACTCTGTCACTTGTAAATTTCCAATTTTTAATCCTGAATAATCCTTTTTCTCCTCCTCAAATTCCCTCCATTCATCTTCCTCCTGTTATAAATTTACATAGTTAAAAAAATGGCAATTTAATTCAATATTTAAAAAATGTACTACAAACAAATCCAAATTTAAATTATTTGAATTGTGATTAATTTGCAAATTACAAAACTATTAAATACAATCTGTCACATTTACTAAATTTTCCTCTACAAAAAAGAAATTCAAATTCAATATCTATTTTTACTTTTTAATATTTAAGACATGTTAGCAAATTAAAAACATTGACATTAATTAAAATTTTTCTTACAAGAATTAATAATTAATAATAGAAATGAATTTTTCTTAATCAGATAAAATAAAATTTATCAAATACATAAAGTTTTAAACGGCTGAAATAAAAAATTAATTTAACTAAAATATTTCCTCCTCAACAAATCGTGTAAAATGAATTCATAAAAAAATTCAAGAATGCCTGTTGAAAGTCTTGAAACTTATGTAACAACCGGCTTTCCTGAGTATAAAATTTTCAATGATCATTCCGTGTGTTAATTGGGTCCTCTCTAAATTGTCGAGAAATCGACAGAATCAGAGTGACGTTTGCAAAGATCAAACATGGCAATGGCCGAACTCGTTAACTTTCTAATGATTATTTCGAAATGAGGTTAACAAAATTAAATACTTATTTTTTTTTTCCTTTTTCATATATAATATAAACTAAAATTACCTCAACTTGTTGTATTTCCTCGCCCTCAGGATTTATTGGTTTTTCTTTAGGTTTTGGTTTTTCAATACGCTTTTCAGTTTCTTCCAATTTTTTCGCTATCTCTTCAGTGGTTGTGAATTTTTTTCCTTTTGCTTTTTTACGATCTTTTTTCGCGAAAAAATCATCTAAATCGGCCATGATGATTGTGTATTAATGTAAAACAATGTATTGACAGATAATTTCTAGGCTATTTGAAAAGTTATTTTAAAAATTAAATCACCTTGTCGCAACAGAACAGCAAGACACCGCATGGGGTTGCATGCGACACGGAGTTTTTCTCTTGACCGGAAACCTGACAGTCATTTATTTACTATTTACTACGTTAGTCATATACAAGTTGAACGTCCGAAATATAAACAACAGATTTTGATTGGCAAGTTTTTTTTTATAAATTGTCCAAAAACAAACATGTGATTTCACCTTAAAAGTTTCCCGCTCTTTTAAATTCAAATTTAGTATTTGTTTAAATTTAAATTTTTAAAAATTAAACTTAATCAGTAAAATGTGCATTATTATCATCTGTATTATTTCTAAATGTTTAACAATAACAAATTTTGTAAATTTAAAGCTATAAAAAATATTTAATATAATAAACATTAAAGAACAAAAAATTAAAATTAAAGTGAAAATTTTAATTTAAATTGTTAAGGAATATAGAATGAAATATTGATAAAAATGTGCATATAATAATCATATATTTTTAATATCGTTATATATATCACCCATTTAAACATACAAGTCTCGTATCTCATAAATCTGCAATCTACATTTATAGAAGATATCGAATAGTAGATTGAATATACGAATAATATATCTGCATAAATTTATTTTGCTTATTCGATTATAAGCTTTAATAATTTAATAATAATAATATACATTCAGTCAGCACGGTACGTTCTCAACTTGTACGATTTTTAATTTTAATTTAAAATATATAAATAATTTTCCATTTTCTTTTTTAAAAGAGGGAATCCCACTTTTTTCAAATTATTTTTTTGATGGTAATTAAATAAATAATTTATAGAATTTTTCCATTAATTATTAAAAAATATTAATTTTTAATTATAATGTAAATTAATTAAAATTACAAATTATAAATATTTTATTACTATATCAATTACCAAAATAATTTGTAATAATTATCAAAATAATTCAATTTTCATTGCCAATATTATTATCACAATTAATTAAAATATAATTAATATTTAATTTTTTCAGTTATCAAAATAATTTTTTAAATTTCAAACTGCCACAATGAGATTCCCCATTATAATTATTTAATTAATACAATTTGATTAAAAAATAATTAATATGATAAATAAGTATTTTTATACTTCTGAAAAGAACTTTTCAAAAGTAATTATTAAAAATAAAAATATTAACAAATGTTGGTCTTATCTTTCAAAAAAAAAAAAAAAAAAATTCAGGAAGTTAAATATTTCTATATTGTTTAACATATGACTTTAATGATGTAAGTCAGACTAATCGCTATTTATCCGACAAAGCTATTGATCTATAAAGCTTAAATCTCGCACCGTAATCTATAAGGATTTAAGGGTATGAGATAATGCAATATACGACGTGTGACCCCTTCCTAGTGAGCGATCTGTGGTAGAGGAATTTTTTTTGTTTTTTTTTTTTTTTAAGAAGTGTTATACGTTTTCTACGCATAAATACTTCATTATTAATGAAGCTTTAATCGCCAAAAAAAAGTATGTATTTATAATTAAAATATCCATTACCTGCTGTTTTAAACCAGGAACCGAGGCAAAATGGAGCAATAGCAGATTTATTCTCTGCAAATAAAAATAAATTATTAAAGCATTAATTGTAAAAAATCTAAATAAAAAATAAGTTCGAAAATAAATACAAATAAAAAAGTCGAATAAATAAAATTTTAAATAAGTAATTAGATTTAAAAAAGAAATTAATGAAAAAGAAAAAATTAAAATACCTCATTAAAGAAATTCAATTCAAAGAAATCGATGAAAGAAAAATAAATGGTTTTTCTTTTTCTCTCTCTCTTTCTTTTTCTGCGTTTGCAATTCTAGATCCCGCAAAGACTAAAACGAATTCCCAGTGCGCGTTCAGTCTCTCTCTGTTAACAAAATGCGTGACTGTTTTTTTTTTTTTTTTTTCTTGCGATTTGCAAAGTGGAATAATATATAAATATTATTTACGAATAACGACACGTACAAGAGTCAAGAAAAAGAAAAGAAATGGAAAGAATGCAAGCACTCTATTGTCGCCTAGTATTTTTCGTGTCCCTTGAGCCATCGGCGGAAGATTCAGGATACTCTTGATCCTTATATTCTCCTCGACGATGATCAGTGTCACGGCGATCCCTTTGCGATCTTGGCCCACGATATTTTCGATTTCGTCCATCGCTACTGTGAAAATTATTTCTTCCATCGTCAACATAAAATCTTTGTCTATGAGATGACGACGACGACGATGACGGCGAATAAATTGCCGAACTCTCTGATTTTACTGATGCGCCATGACGCAATTGCGGCAAAACAGTGTTATTTGTTTCTGATTCACGATCCTGTCTTTCACCGCGTCCTCTTCCATTTCGATGATAATCAGAATTATGATCAAAACTGAAAAAAAAGAGAAAAATTAATTTAAAATATTTTTTGAAAATTTTTTTTTTTAAAAAAATATAAAAACCTGTGATTTCCTCTAGAGCCACGATGCCAATAACTTTGAGTTTGTAAAGGTGGAAATTTATGTGAAGTATGCTCATCACCTTCGCCTTGTGAGCCACGATTATGATGATGAGAATTATTCGGTCTACGATTTCTACCATTCGATGATCCATTTCCATTGTAGAGTGATGCTTTTATTGTGGCAATTTCCCTTCGTTGATCTTCATTTTCACGGCGAAGTCTTTTCACCATTGCTTCAGCATCCTCTAAGCGATTGGTCAAATCTATTTGCACTGGATCTGGACCACCACCAACTTGAATTCCAATATCGCTTACTGCCAATTTTTTCTCATTAATTTCCTTTAGTTCCAACATTCTAGAAAGAATAAAAATTATTTTTAAAAAATTTTTCATCTCAAAATCAATAAGAAAATGAATACAAACTTTTTTTGTTTCTCAATAATATCGTCAAGATAAATATTGTGTTTCTTCGCATCATTTAATGATGTCTTAATGTCCTGAAGATCCTTTTCCAGAAGTTCAACCTGGAGGGGAGTGACGTTAACGCACGACGGGCTTCCCTAAAAAATTAAATAAAATTTTTTTTAGATATTTAAAAAAAAAAATTTTCGTTTTCTCTCACCTTTGGTTTCACGAACCCGTTTCCACTATCTTCGGGAGATGTCACGGGACTTGACACATTTGATCCTTTTGAAAAAACAAGTTGGAATTGCAAATCTGAAAAAGGGATTTTTTTAATAGAACGAATTTAATTAGAATAATATAAAAATAATAATTTTATTTATTTTTTAAAAAAATTTACCTCTATTTCGTTGACGTAATGTTTCAACTTCTTGATGTAGAGCAACCAAAGTAGCTTGATGTTGTTCTTGCAAAAATTTCATATTTTGTTCTAACTGAGCTGTTCTATCTCCATTCATTCTTTGCTGTCGAGTTTGTATATTTCCCTCATTTCTCGCTGGCAAGCTCACAAGTTCAGGTGGTGCTTTTTTCCCCTAAAAAATATAGAAATTAAATTTTAAAAAGAGAAAATAAAATTAATTTTACGAATTTATAATGGTATATAAATACTCTAGGAATTTTTTTTTTCAATTTAATACTAAATATTTATAAAGAAAAAGTAAAACTATATAAAATTAAAAGTTTCTTTAAAAGAAAGTTGAATAATATACTACACTTACTTGTGAAAAAGGAACAGTTGGAAGTTTCACTAAAACTTTTGAAGTCATCTTTTCTAATAATTAAATAATTCTTTTTCCGTCAAATACTTCTATCTACGTAAAAGATTTTTCTCTTAAATAAATTCTTCCTTCAATTATGCTGAAACAAAATCAAAATAAATTAACATCAACTAAATAATAAATTTTCTCATAAATATAAAAAACTAAAATAAATTATGAAAAATTAACCATTTTTTAAAAAATAGGGAAATAAAAAAATATATTTAAAAAAAACAGAATAAAAAGAAAAAAGGGAAAAATTTCTTTTATGAAATAAAATTATCCAAATTGACTAAACAAAATATTTAATACAAAAAAATTCATGCCGGTTTTCTCTATACCTATTTCACGATCTCATGTAATCGTCAATTAAATTTTATTGACAACAATTCAAATCTATGAATTTGAACGTCAATTAATAAATTTTCCAAAGAATTTCACCACTATTTTCATTTTGCGTCGAAATTAAAATGAGAACATGTCGAGCAATGTATAAATGACGAGAAGAATTTTCGTACTTTGGTATTATATTATTAAGGGATAAAAAATCAACACTTTATCAGAATATGAAAAGAAATTCAATGATTATATTGTGAAAATATAAAAATTGTAATATTGAATGGAAAATTGTTGTCGATTAATGGAAAAATCAAAATTTCAATTTGAAATATATACTTTTATATATGAAACTTTGAAAGCTCACCGTTGTCGGTTTTGCAGAGAGCAGAAGAGAACGAAGAAGCCGGCGAGTATTGATCCACATTTGAGAGAGAGGCAGGGGAGTGTGCTTACCTCTCTCGATAGCCGCACCCACTTGTTTTAATTTTATAATTTTCTTTTTTTTTTTAAATCATTACTCATCACAATATTAATTCAAATCGAGGAATAATTAAATTAAAAATCAATTTTACAAATATTCCACTATCTAAAAGGGAACAAATACCACGAAAATCATTTTTTCATAAATTTTCCGAAATTTTTCTTTTATTTTAATATTATTTTATTGATTTATATTTGATTTAATATTGTTTATATAGTTAATATTGCTATATATTGCAATTAAATATTAACTTTTAACAAAAAAAAATTGCAGCATAATAAAAATTATTTTTGAATTTTCAAAATTTTATTATTTTCTATTTTTAAATAAATTATTAGAATTAAATTAAAATTTTGTTTTATGCAAAAAAAAAAAATAGAATGAAAAATTGAAAATCAAAATTTACGAATTATTCATTTTATCGAAATTTTAAATTATTAATATTCGAATAAAGAAATATTTAAATTAATTTAAAAATAGATTTTTCAGCCAGATTATTAAAAGGGTAAAAATAAATATTTTTAATTATGTAAAAATGTTAAATAAAAAATTATTAATAAAAATGTAAAATATTAATAAAATTAAATTTTGATAAAATAACATATTTTTGTTTAATTTAGAATTCTTTTAAGGCGAATAAAATAAATTAAACGAAATAAGTAAAGAATGAAGTAGAATTTTAACGGAAATAGAAAATGCCTAGAAGCAGAGGGTGAAACGACTTCAAGTCGATAATTATGTTAGTCATCATCACAAACTGACGCTCACCGGCAACCGACAACAAAAGTTAACCTGCTTTGCCAGAGACTCCCTATATATATATATATATATTTTCTGAATTCTAAACCTATAGGGAGGTATTTCTGTGCGGTTGTTTTTTTTTTCTCTCTCCTAATAAACAATATTCTCCATCAGTCAACACACTGTCCTATTAAATGGTCCTTGGGACAAAAACCCTTGCGTCCGTCGATAATTAATTTCAATTGATTATGTTTAGATATTTTTAAAGTTAATTTTCTTATCAGTTTACAAAAAAATTTTATATTATTATGAGAATCGACGGACACGAGTATTTACACTCATGAGCAAGGGAAATCCTTCTGGTGTTGAAACATAACCAAAAAAATATATAATATATAAATATAAAAAAAAGGATGTCAGACTTTATGAAATCATTGCAATTTGGCTATTTAAAAAACAAAGAAAAGGATAATTTTTTCGTCTCCGATGACGACGACGATGATGATTTTAATTTCAAGGTAACTAACCTTTTTTTTTTACAATTCCTTTTTCTTCTCTTATTTTTTCGTTAATTGACTCTTCGTTTATTTCATATATTTTTCTCCAATTTCTGAAAAAATATAATAATTTATTATTAACTTTGTTAATTCGAAATTTTTATTTTTTTCCTTGTCAGAATTATAAAAAATGACAAGAAATATGTTGTTGATTTTTATAATTTTATACATTATATATTTTTTTTAAATATTTGTGTTTAATTACAGTACATACCGACAAACCAATTAAAAAATGTAATTAAAGACGTTAGAAGAAAAAAAACGAAAGTCAATGAAGAAAATGCTTGGGCATCATTCGTCGAACAACAAGATGCAGAACAATTATATCATCATCTAAATGAAATTGATCCAAATTTACAAAATTACAATCATTACACTTCAAAATATTTAGATCGAGAAAATTTTCAATGGGATGAAAATTCTTTTTCAGAGGTATAAATTTATTATTTTATATTTTAATTAACGAATCTAAAAAATTATTTTCTTAGGAATTGTCATATAAAAAAAGTCCTCTTATGAAAGATGTAACTGGAAGTACAAATTTTCTTCTCACAATACCCGAGGAAGATTTAATATTAAATCGTGAGAGAAAAAGTGAAATAATAAAAGATCGAAATATGAGAAAAGCATCATCAGCACCGGGTGTGAGACGAAAGAAAAATTCAAAATCATTAATTCATATGAATGATGATGTGAATTATAATAGTTCAACATCGGAATTTAGTCCAGATCGTTTTAGTGATAAGAATAATGAAATAATATACATAAGACCCGATCCAATGATTGTTGGTAAAATTTTGGCAACACAAAAAAAAATATCCGAAATTCTCGATGAAATTGCCTTTCGTCTTGGTAGAATTCCATTGCCAGATGGTGATCGTGATCTTCATCGACGTCAACAAAGAGTTATGGAATTTTCCATTAGATTTGCAAGAAATTATTTATACGATCTTGGACGACAAGTGGCGGAAATACGTAGACATTTAAATGCAATTACACCTGGTGCAAGAAGAAAAATTGATCATCGTGGAGTTATATTTCATGTACAAATAATTGAACAAAAATTAGCGACTGCTCATCAACTTTTGTTACATGCATTGAGCGCATATTGTAAACATATTCCAAGTTCTGTACTTAAAGGACATCCAGGCAAATTAAAGGATATTTTACAAATTGTTCTCGATCTTAAAGAATTTTGCGAGAAAATTAATCTTGTTCCAAATTGTATTGGCTCAGGCGATATGGAAGGTTTACCCCTGGTGAGAATAAATTTTTTTTTTTAATTTAATACTTTTTTTTCTATTTTTCGAAATTTACAGGGCAAAGAAACGGATAATAAATGCAGTGCAATTTTATCGAAATTACGATTAAGTTCCGACGATTCACAATTAATAAGTCATACAACAAGATCAACTACCGGAACAATAAGAAGTAAAAGACGAAATCTTCGTAAACAACAAACTAATCGTTTTAGTATGTACAATATGGATCCACGATTGCCGAAAAATCAACCCAATAGACGAACAAGTAATAACAATTTTATAATTTATTATATATTAAATATAAATTAAATGAGATATTTTTTTCAGAAGCACTTTCACAGAAGGAAAAAAGACGAAATTTGAATGTAAAAAATAATAGACCACCAACACCAGAATTAACACATCCAAGTCCAATTGACTCCAAATCAAAGGAACAGCCTAAAAATGGAATTAGTAAGATAATTATTCCTCCCAAGGAAGATGATATCGAGACAATAATGGAAATTATACCAACAGATTCAGATGCTGTAAGAGAAAAAAAAAACAAATCTTTTTGAAATAATTTCTAAAAATTTTTTTTATTTCAGTGCAGTAGTGTCGAAAATTCAGATCGAAATTCACGAGTAAAAACAAGAACAAATGAAGATGAATTAAATCGAAAAATTACCGAAATTACTGATGATCATTTATCGAATTTAGTACCTGTTATTGCCGATTTAATGTCACTTATCAAAAATAATGTAAGTTATATACTATTTTCCCAAAAAATATAAAAAAAAAATTCATTTTCTAATTATAATTTTTATTTTACTACAGCCAAAAGATTCTGAAAATAAATCGTGTTCATCTGTACCAATAGAAACACTTGTGGAAATTATTGAAAAATATCAAAGAGGTAAAGAAAAAACGAAAAAAACAAAACAAGATATTAAAACAAAAAATGGAATACGTTCGGGTTCAAAGAATATGCAATTAGTTTGTATGGAATCGAATGAAGATTATAAAATGCCATCTAAATTTATCGATGCCTCATGTCAAGCAAATGATGATTATTTAAAACGAACGACAATCAGAAAAGTAAGTGATTTTTTAAATTATTTAATTATTAAATAAGAATTTTTATATATATATATATTTTTTTTTTTAGGATGGCCTAATCAATTTAGAAATATCGGATGATTTAGAATTTCGTCTTTTAGAATATAAGCAAATGTATCAATCAATAACAGAATCTAATCAAATGTATTGTAATCACACGCAAAATAAACCTTGGGATATTGTAGCTTGGTAAGTTGAAAATATTTTTAATAAAATATAATGTATATACATTACCTATGTTTTTAATTCACAGGGTTTCTGATCAACTTGTAAATGAATTAATTGTCGATTTGTCGAAAGAACTTCAAATGGACGATGTAATCAAGAAACTATTTGAACTGGAATTTCAAGAACTATAAAAATAAACAATGTAAACACATGATTTTTATATATATAATTTATACCTGCGGAAAGTGCTTTTTGTAAATACATGAATTTTTTAAACCATAATTTTCTCACCTGATATTTCTTGTGAATATTTTTGATTTACATTTTTTTTTTGCCTTTTATTTATTTATTATAAATTATAATAGTAAATTCTTTCTGTAGACGGAATTTAAATTCTCTTTTTTTTAAGGTTAAAAACATATTTTCTTTCAAACGATGATGTACCATAAATCCTTTGACATGAGAGATAAATAATATACCATGTAAGATAAATTTTAAATCACTTAATACACTAAATTAATTCAATTTGCACAATGAATATCTATTTACGTGCGACATGTGCTAACGAACGAAACATGAATGGAAAAATTTATGAATTTGATCACGTGATATTTTTTCAAAATCATATTTCTTACACAATAATACTAGTAACAAATTTTCATATAAAAATTGTTAATAAATTATCTTAATTTAATTTTTAATTAATAAAAATTCATAAATAAATTTTAAATTTCATAGAAAAAAAAAGTTAATTAATATATATAAATTGCATTTTTCTAAATTTCAAATTAGTTTAACGCATGCGCAAAATGTGTACCACGTGACTTGTTTGACATATGTATATATACAGCAGAATGTTTAGAATGTTATTTTAAAGTTATTTTAATATAAATTAAAATAAATTCTAACAGTGAGTGAAATAAAAATTTATTAAACAATGTTTATAAAACCGTTTAAAGTTAAATCGAATAATCAGTTGAAAGGTACTGAAAGGTAAGTACGATTTGCAAAACAATTGCAATGTTTTGATTTGATTTTCTCATAAAATTAAATATAAAATTATTATAATTAATTAAAAGAATATATTTTATGATCTAATTACATTTTTTCTTAATAATTATAATTTTCAACTTTTATATTGCGTTAAATTCGATAATTAGTGAAAGGTAAACATAACCTCAAAAACTGTTAAAAATCAATAAATTTTAAATAAAAAAAACTTATTTTCATGTATATAATTTGTATAATTAAATACAGTTTTAATAATATTTAAAAATTTCTATTTAAATTACAAAAGCATTCAATATTATAAAGAAAATATATTTTTTTACATATAAAACATTCTTTTGTTTTTATTAATTGTTGTAAATAGTTAAAACAATTATATTAATTTAAATATTGAATTAAATAGAAAAAAATTATGCGAAGAAATATTGCAAGCATTTCCAAAATTAAAGGATGATGAGGTACAGAATTTATTAAAAAAGAAGGATTCAATTAGTGTTATGAAAGTTGTCGCTCATAATGGTAATGTTGTCAAAATTTATTGCACTGCCAAAATACCAATGTTTTTACATTTTGACATGCCAAATTTACAAGGATATTTTCCCACTATTTACACATTATGGCAATATCCAGATTTAATGTACAATTTTACAACACGATCTGTTGTTATTTCAAAATTATCAAGCGGCGCTGATTTAATGATTCCTGGTCTTGTTTTGGATGGACCAGCAACTCCTTATTCCTTTGGAAAAATGGAAAAAAGAACGCCAGTTTCAATAAACACCGACGACAATAAGGTGAATTTTGATTTTTAATTAATTAATTTAATTTACCTTCGAAACTGATTTACTTTTTTTTTTTTTTTTTTGCAGGCACCTTTTGCAGTTGGAATCAGTGCATTGTCTAGTGAAGACATGTATATGTCAGGTGGTCGTGGAAAATGTGTAGAAATTATCCATGTGATTGGAGACACTCTTTGTCAATTATTGGATAAACCTTTAATTAGGCCAGAATTGGGAAAATCAATTAAAACTTTAAATACTTCAGTTGATTCAATAACGGATGAATTGAAAAAAGAATCGAATTTAGAAAAAGAAGAAAATTTAAATAAAAACACTGATGATAATAATTTAGAAATGAGATTATCATCAAATGTTGATAATTTGCAAATAAAGGACGACGAAAAGAGTCCTGTAGAGGTAAATTTTATATTCATTAATTTTGTATTATGAAATGAAATAAATATTTATTTTTCTTTACAGGAAAATTCAAATGAAATATTAGATGATGATAATGAAATAATAGAAATTGAAAAGCAACAGGAACCATTGGATCCAATACAGGAAATGGATAAATTATTAGAATATTGTTTCTTAAAGGCATGTAAAATGACAATTAAAAAAGGTGATTTACCAATGCTTACATCGAATTTCTTTAAAAATCACGTAATGGCTGTTTGTCCATCGGATCAAAGTTTAGATATTAAAAAGTCGAGTCATAAAAAATTGTCTGTCTTTTTATTGAGAATGAAAGAAAAAGGACTGGTGGATACATCTATTTTAAAAGGAGTCGAGTCACTTCTTTCAATTAAGGTAATTTTCTCAATTTAATTAATTATTGTTTATTTTACTCAAATACGTTCTTTTTAGACTAATCATCCTCTATTTCAAAATCTCGTGATAAATGAAGAAGTACCGATTAAACAACCGGAAACTTCAAATGCTCCTGTTATCGCCGAATGTTATAAAGTCACTGCCAATGTTGTGCCATTACTTTCACAGTTTGGATTCGAGTATGTTAATTCAAAATTTTATTTACTAATCTATTTTTTTTAATCTAGAAAATTTTTTTAAAATATCACAAAAATAATTACAGAAAGGGGGACATAATGAAAAGAGCAGATATTAGAAAATGTTTCACAGAATATGTTAAGAAAGAAAATCTTCAAAATGGAAAGTGGGTATTTTATTGAATATCAAAAAAAAAAAAAATCCAAATTAAATTATGAAATTTTTCTCTTATAGAATATTAAAAATAAATCCTCAATTAGCGGGGATTTTGAAAACTAAGGAGAATCAAGAAACATTAACAATGGAAGATGGTATTAATAAATTTATTGGAAAAATGACTCACACACATGGAGTCACTGTCGGTGGTACAACTTCGTTTTTTACTGGAAAATTGGAACCAATTGAAATTACAGTTACTACACGAACTAATAATAAAAAGGTTTTTGAAAATAGAAATTTTTTTTTTACCATTTTATAATTTGAATTCGATTTTTATAAAATTATAAATTTCAGGTAACATTGGTAAATAATTTAGAAATATTTGGTATAAAAATGGAAGAGTTTAGTAAAGAATGTCAAGGAATTGGAGCAAGTGCTACAATAACAGATGTCCCGGGTAAAAAAACACCAAGCGTTCTAGTTCAAGGCAATCAAGTTTTATATGTTTACAAACTACTCACTGGTAAATCATTTTTCATTTAGAAATTAGTTAATGATTCTCGAAATTTAATATTTATTTACGTTTATTCTTTCTTTTTTTTTAGAGAAATATCAAATTAACAAAAACTACATTAAAGGAATAGAATTCGCGCCAAAGAAAAAGAAATAAAATTATTGATGATGAAGATTATATTTAACTGACGAAATCATTAGGAATTTCATTCGGGAATAAAAAAGGAAAAGAAACTGACAACTATTGACCAGTGGAAAATGTGTAACGTATAACGTGACAAGTGTTGATAAACTTTTAATCCTATGAAAGTTACTTGTGAATATTTTTTCTCGAGCTTATAAATTACAGAAATTACAGAATAATTTACTATCTTTATTTAAGAATGAGTGACAACTTTTTTAATTCATTTTTTTTCAGTTTTTAAAATCAAATCCTTTTATTTTCCACTTAATTTTGGAATTTCTATCCTTGAAATTAAAAAATAGTTTACAAATCTGATTTTATTTTTAAATCATGGAATAAAATTTATTTCTTTTATAGAATTAATTAAGGAATTTAAAATTAATTATTTGATTTGACATAATTTACAGAATATAAATTTCATTAGTAGATTAATTTATTTTTGTATTATAATTGAGAATTTCGGGTTTAAAAAAAAAAAAAAATTAATAGAAATTTGGATGTAAATTTGTGTATCGACGGAATGACAGTCTCAAATAAAGTTTATTAATATAATTTATTGTATATCGAGGTTTCAACATGGAAAAGTACAAATATTGCAATATAGGGCCCGCGAGCTCTCCTCGGGAGGGAGGGAGGGAGGGAATGAAGGAAGGTTCTTTTTTTCTTGTTGTTAAACACAATAAATGTTACAGGAAGGAGAGACGGCGCACGAGCAAGGAGACTGGCTCCTTTAAAACGCTGGAATGCATTTAAGAATTTTACAGACTCAAGAAAAAACAGTATTATTATTTTAATAATAAGAGATCGAACCCAACGATTGTACTCGTATATATATATATATATATATATATTTTTTTTTATCCAGCGGGGATATTATGGGCGAAGAAATTGTCTCTGACGACCAAAAGGAAGGATCCCTCCTCTCCACGACCCCCGCATATATTTAATACTCGTTTTTTTTTTTTTTTTATTTTTTTTTTATTTTTATTAATCCCTCAGCACGAGCACATTGCTTGACGTTTTTTTTTTTTTTTTATTCACTCTACTTTTTTTGCAATGCGCGCGTGCTTAGTGTGACAATATTTAACTACGGTGCTCCAACAGGTGTAGCACGCCCATTTGCAGTCGATTGTCTTTTTTTTTCTCTTTTTTTAATTAATAATATAATTAATTCTGATTAACTTATTTGGAATGATTCTAATTATTGACTCTTCGAATAATTAATTTTTTGACGATCATGTTTTTTGGAAATTGAGCCTTAAAAATGGGAAATTCTTTTCCTCTTTCTTACATAATACCTTTTTTCTTTTTTAATTTGAAATTTAATTTGAAAAATTGGAAATTCGTTTACGATTTTTCAAATAAAATTTGAAATTTATTTTTTTTTTTTAATCGACTAACATGGGCGTTTTACCTCTGCAGAGAAGGAGTTTTACGCGCTGTCTTTCGCTCTCTGCTCTTTTTTTCTCACTTTCTCTCCTGGAACGAAAATTCACTTTGCTTGTTGTTATTACAAAAATGTTCCTTTACTTTCTCTCTCTCTCTCTCTCTCTCTCTCGCTCTCTCTCTCTCGCACTATCTCTCGTATTTTTTTTTTTTTTGCGTTTGGAATTTTTCATAGTTGTATGCAACACATAATGCGACTAGGTAGTACAGGTTAATTAATAATTAATATTAGTTATACAATAATAACATATGACTAGACAATGCAAGATAATAATTATATCGTAAATAGTAATAATCATGGATCGCAATTTATATCAACAATGTGATGACGGGTTTATGTAAGAATGTAGGTACGTTTGTTTCCTCTGCAGCTGTTTTTTTTTTTTATTCTTTACAGAGATCGATTTGTCTTCTGTTGGTGTTTTACTGCGCGCGTGGATTTTTTTTTTGTTTTTAAAAAAGGTTCTGTGTTTTTTTTTTTTTTTTTTTTATGTGTGCGTGTCTGTCAGTTTTCTGTCCGTCAATGAATATTCAGAGTTCCAGGAAAAATTCAGATTTTGAAAATATAATTTTTTGAATTCTATTTTCATTTGCTGATGATTTTTTTCCTTTATTGATAGATTTTTTTTTTTTTTTAAATGATACAAAAAAAATTTGAAAATATTCAATTTTTTTTTATTATTTACTTATTTTATTTTTCTGATTAATTTTTGTATTTTGCAGATTGAGCATCGTTTTTGTTTTAATTTTTTCAATATGGAACCCTGATGTTTTCGAGAAAACTGGAAAAAGAATTTTTTCAACGACGGATTTGTTCGCCATTCAGTCTGTTTATTTTTTTTTCGTGTATTGTGTCAAGAAATTTTGGAGTTTTGTGTGACGTCGGCTCAGCGAACAACGATTACAGTGAAATAGGTATTAATTATTCATTTATCATGAAATTGCACGAGTTCTTCTATAGTTTCGGCCTCTATATTTCCAAGCAAATCCAGAAACTCAATTTTTTTTTTTTGTTCTGAATCGAGGATCCTCAAAAAATCTTACAATTCCTATAGGCGGGACGCGAAACCTTTTTTTTTCAAAATTTATCATATATTATGGATCTCTCAATTGTAATTGCGAGAAAAAAATCTATTAGGATCAAATAAAATTTATTTGAGGCAAATAAATATTTATTTGTTTTTGAAAAACCTAATAGGAAATTTATCTCTAAAAAATTTTTTTTTCAACTTTTTTCTGGGTAGCCCTAATCCTTAACGATTAGAATAATTACTTCATTTTTAAAATGAAGTTCCGGGGTGGATTGTCGGTAGTTTTTTTTTTTTTTTTTTTTTTTAAATGAATCTGACGTATAGCGTCAAATTTAAATTTTCTTTTTGCAATAGCAAAAAAATTTTTTTTTTTTTAGATTTAGTTTTTGGACGATCTTTTTTTTCTTTTCATTGTTTTTTTTTCTAGTAATTACTGTACATTCGCTACCCTTCCCAAAAACCCTCTATATATGCTCCTATACGCTCTTATATTTTTTTTCCGCTTGGCGAAATATGGAAAATCAGTTACAAGTTATTTTATATATCACACTTGTCGTACAATATTTATTAGTTTGTGCAAAACCTGACCAAGTAGCAGATCGGATGGAGGAAGAACTTTTTTTTTTTTTTTATTCCAGTGACTGGCCCTCACTCCCACTTTACAAAAAAAATTTTATTTTTCCTTTTAATTTGAAAAAAGTTATTTTTCTCTTTCTTTTTTTTTTTTTGCAGAAATGGGAGTGATATTTAAGGAAGCAAATTATTGACCCGATTGAGGATCTCGATATAAATACTGAAATTTTTCAAGTGCTTGCAAAGAATCGTTTTTTTTTTTTTAAAAAAAGTACTGGAAGCACGCTTGACTATCTAGTTTACGAAACAAATTCAAATAGAATAAAAGTTAATGTGCATCAAGAATTAGACATTTCTAAAAAAAAGTCGATTAAGAAAAATTTTTTTTTTTAAAGTAAAGACGCAGCTCTGGACTGTACGTATATTATCGAAAGAACTCGTAAGTTTCTCCCATTTTTTTTTGTTTTTTGATATTCGAGACTTTGCCCGCAAACGAGAAAAATCCGAGGGAAGTTTTTCTCGAAAATTTCTAGAAGGGCGCGCGAGTCTTATTTTTTTTTAAATATAATCTTTACATATTCGTAATTTCGTTCCTCTTACTTACCATAGTCGCTACAATGGTCAATATTAAGTCGTTATCGTTATTCTACAATATCGCCTATTATTACATATAAACCCATCACAAAATACACTACTTCTTTGCAACCGTATAATATGTTTTACTTCTTTTTGTTTCACAGTACTTTGTCCCTTACGCAATTCAGTCGATATTGTTTTATTTTTTATTGTTACTTTTACGACCGTTTATTTCTCTCTTTTCTAACGACTTTTTTTTTTTTTTTTTATTACAAAATCTAGTTCAGCTTTTGTAACTTCGGTCCTGATAATTTCTATTTTCATTGCCCTGGTTTATAAAAAACCCCCAATTTTTTTTTTTTTTTTTTTTTTTTTTTTTTTAAATTTTTTTTATAGATCTAAACTTGATCCATTTTTTTTTTTTGTAACTTTTGTTGACAGGGTGTCATAAACTTGGAGACTCATCTCAAAAAAAATTCCGTTTTTTTTTTTTTTTTTTTGAAAAAAAGGGAATAGAGGAGTTTCCTTTTTTTTGAGTAAAAAACTTGCGACACCTTGACCAAAAGTATGTCCCCTTAAATACGGAATGTATCGAAACATTTGCCACTTCTTTCACTTCTTGTATTTTGTACAGAAAAGAAAAACGGCCTATTATTTTCAGAATTAATCGCTTTTGTGAACTTTTTTTTAAAAAAGCTAGTCTGGCAAATTTTTTTGTTTTTCAAAATTTTCGAGAATATTTTGCAAATTTTTTAACAATCAAGAAAATTTTTGCTAATTAGCTAGACTAGAGAAACAAATATTTTTTTTTTTAAAGTGATTAATTCTGAATGTGATTATATAATATAATACTTTTAACGATCTCGGTGAGCTCTCCGTGAAAGAACGGTGGTTTAAGTCTTTTTTTTCTTTATTTGTTTTTTTCTTTTTTTGCAAAAAGCCCATTTTTTTTTTTTTTTTGTTGAAAATGCGTCTTGGCTTAGAACAAATGGGCAAATATTTACAGGTTGACTATAACATTTGAAAGACCTTTAAAAATCTTGGTCCAATCGTTAAGATTCTCAAGACCTCGCGAATAAAAATCTCAAATTCTATTTTTCATATTTTTCTTTTTTTTTTTTTTTAATCTCGCTACCAGGAATTTGTTCCCGGTTCCGCATCCTGCCACCGCACTTCATTCAAGATTATTCTAAATATGAAACCGAAATTCGGAATTTCAAATGTGACCGTATTTCAAAAAACCACCGAAACTATACTAATACCCCTCCCACGTTCGTTTTTTTTTGTTTTTTTGTTTAATTGAAATATGTATTTTTTTTTTTTTTAATCGTGTCGCGTCTCTGTAATCACGTATCGCCTATGAATATTGTTTAATTAAATATTTATACACCCATTGACAGACTAGCTACCACTTTTTTTTCGCGTTTAAGTTACTTTTTCATAGATATCAATTTAAGTAATTAATTCATTAATTAATCCATAGTTATTATACGTATGATAATTAATCATTAGAATATAATGAAAACATGTACAGAAGATTATAGATTATCTCTCCTCAAAGCTCTTTATTTTTTTTTTCTTTCTTTTTTTCGTTCTCTCATTTATTTTCTTTCACTGGCCATAACTTTTTTCTTTTCAAAAAGGAGTATTACTAGTTTATTTTTTTTAAAATCTCAGTTTCGGTCGATCGTTGTGGCTCGCATCGGAGTAATTTCTGGTACCTAAATTAGTCTTCTGACCCCCCGGATTATTATTTTCTTTTTTTTTTAATCAACTTTCTCGAAGACATTCTCTCGTTATTCGTTCATCCTTTTTTTCAGTCTCTCGTTCATTCATTCTCGCTCGTTTTCTTCATTTCGAAGCTCCTGTCCCGTGACGCTTCAATTAGTTAATAGATAGTACATAAATACTTTTTAGTTAGGCCTACGGTGAGCTAGAGCTGCTATGCTGTTTTTTTTTTTTTTGTTACTTAATTAATCCACGACCGGACGTCTTGTGCTAGAGTACAAGTCTATCCTTTCATTTTTTTTTCCTTTTCTCTCCGCTTTCCTTCAGCCAATTTTGTTTTCACTTTTCGTTTCGTTCCTTCGATTTTTTTATTTCATTATTTTTTTTCGATTTTGGTTTCGTTTTTTCTTCCGATTTCGGCTCTTCCTTGAATTTTTATATCTTTCTTTTCTATTTACTTTCTTAAATTTTATTTTTTTTTCTTTCGATTTCGTTTTTCATCTCTTCGTTTTGATTTTCTTATTTTACCAATTTAATTTCTTTTCGTTTCCTTCTTCAATTAAAAATTTTTTTTTTTCGCTTAATTTCTATTTTTAGTTCACAGCTTTCTTTCTTTATTTTATATTTCTCGTTTTTTTCCCGTCTTTCTCTATTTCACAATTTTTTTTTTTTTTTATCATAATTTCCGCTCTTATTCTCTCTAATAACTGAATTAGTTGAAAAATATTCTAATTTTCGAATTGAAATTTCAGTTGAAAATTAACTAATCTTTTTTTTTATTAACAATTAGTTATTTTTTTTGTCAACTTATCACATTATTAGATAATTTCCTACTAATTCAGATTTAGAAAATATTTTTTAATACCTAATTATCATTTTTCAGTTCCTATTTTCGGATTTTTCCGCAGTTCTTTAAAATTCTATTTTATTTTTCTCCTTGTTCCATTTTATCGAATTTCTTTGTTTTATTTTATTTATTTCTTTTTTTTGTGCACGCATTAATAATCAACGATATGGGGGCCGTATCGAAAAAAAAATCTCTTTCACGAAAGCTACGATGCCAATTTATTTTTTTTTCTCAACCGTGTAATTATTATTAAGGTATAAATATTTTTTTTTTTAAAGGGAGAAAAGAAAATTTAATAATCGTTGGATTTTCCATGTTTCGTGTTGTGAGTCGGGGGAAAAATAATATTTCTGTCTACAGCACCACTTTGAGTTCCCACGATTACATAAAGCTATAAGTTTTAAATGAAAAATCCAACGATTAATTGGCATCGAGCTCGTTTTCAAATTTATTATTTATTTTTTTTTTTTATTATATCTACAACACTATACGGTGTCTATCTCACTCTTTTTGCTATTCTCATTCTATAAAGTTTCCATCGAATTTCACCTTGTTAAGATAGAAAAGAGGGAAAATCGACAATTTTTTTTCCCAATTTTTTTTTTTTACAAAAATCTTTGCAATTTTTCTTTTCTTTTTTTTTTGGCTATTATTAATTTTTGAAAATTCAGCAAATTTCCCATAAAATGAGATTTTATAAGAATTTTGTTAAATTTATCATTAAACTATTTTTAATTATGATTTTGTTTTCCCTCCAAAAATTTCTGTTTTAAAAAAAAATATGGGAAATAATTATAAATGTTTCCCCTTTTTTTTTTCATTGCTCTCGTATCCTGCACTCTGCGCCAGTCATAAATTCAATAAATATACAATAATGAATATTATCGTAACCGTGAACCGTAGATTTGTTTTTGCATTTTTTTTTTCTGTCGATTTTTCATATTGGGATCGTATTATTTTTGATAAATCGACTATATAATAATGATAAATATAATTTATAATATGAAGAATATCAATTAAATATCGGTAATTATAGTTGATAATAATAATAATAAATATATAGTAATAATATATAAATTGAATATAATTATATAATAATAAATAGAATAATGAAGTATTACGCGGTGACAACAGTAAAATATTTCGCAAAAACCTATTATAAGTTTTTGCGAATGAATTCTAGCGACGAGTTGCAAGTAGTACGAGTTACCTAAGTTTAATACAATACAATGCGACTAGTGATTATAATATAAATACGTGATAATTAAATATAATATCGTACTACTTTTTTTTTTTTTTTATTATTAAGACGTAAATAAGCTTCTGATAAAAGCGCGTGGCTCATGAAATTCCCTTTTCCTATTTATATATATATATAATAAATATTTGGAAAAATATCCACGATCTGGAAAATTTTTTATATTAAACAAAAATTTTCCCCATCGCATTGAAATTATATTTTTTTTTATCAGTCGCCACTTTTTGAGAATCACTTTTTTTTTAATTCAAATTTTTTATTAAACATCATCGTCGCGGTTTTTTTCATTTTTTTCTTTTTTTTTTCATTTTTTTGGTTTTTTTTTTAACTAAGAACGATTATTGAGACATAAATACAATACACATAAATGTTTATCTAAACGTAATAATCATATGGAATATATTACGGTTGAGTAGACTAGCGTGGCTCCTTTTTTTTTTTGTCTTAATAATTTGTTTATACGTGAGATCATTGCTGCGAGCGAGTTGGGTCGAAAATCGTGGCATAGGACTCGCACGTTTTTTTTTCTTTTAATCTCAATTAAAATTTCTCCATTCTTATTTTTGTGCGCTGCTTGCATTCCTGTGCGTTTATTTTCCTCACTGGATTTCCTTTAAAATATCCTTGAAAATGAAAAAAAAAAAATTATTAATCTATAAAAATTTTTGCCGAGGGACTACGTGCCATTTTTTTTTTTTTTTTTTGCAGAAGAATAAAACTGTTCGTTTTCTTAAAAAAAAAGTTATTTTTTTTAATGAAAAAAAAATAGTTCGAGTAGTAAAATATTGAAGCTAATATTATTAAATAAATTAAAACTAAAATACACTTAAAGAAATTAATTTTTTGGGAAAAAATTGATTGAAATTATAAATTTATTTATATTTCTCCCTAAATTAATTTCTTTTAGTATTAATAACTAATATCAAAATTAATTAAGTTAAAACATTTAAAATGAACGTCACATGATTATTTAAATAGCTAAAAATAAAGAAGTATTAGTCTAAGAGATGGAGGTAGGTTATTTAAAAAAAAAAAAAAAATCCATCCCCTAAAAAAAAAATTAAATTAAATTAGTTTTTTGGAGTCAGTTAGGAAGAACTTGGAGGATAAGGGTGAGGCTTAACTGAAATAATCGAAATAAAACAAACAATTTTTCGAACCAAACACAAATCAGTTTAATCCTTAAATAAAACATAATTTCTGTTATGTTATATAATAATAATTAAATAAATAAATAAATAGTTGGTAGTAGTAGCGACAGTAGTAGTAGTAGTTTGTAAAGTAGTAGTAGTAGTAAGTAGTAGTAGAAAGTATTAGTTTTTTTTTTTTTTTAATCTTTTTTAAATGAGTAAATTTGTAAATTGTTAGATAAATAATTAGAACTGCATATTGCTACCAATTAATTGTTTCCGGATATCAACTCGAAGGCGATATTTGATCATCATAAATATATATATTGTAAATTCTCCTAGTCGGTAAAAATATCCAAATAGCAGTGACAATAATCAGAATAAATGACGGTCGCCGCGGTGTAACGAACTCGAGCTTACGAATTTTTCTTTTTTGTTTCCAATTACGCAAACACACAACATAAATATTTCTGATTTGCACTTGAGTCTTTTTTTTTCATTTTAAGTATCGCTCTTGCTCGACGATACGTTTCACTGTTCGGCTTGCGTTTCGAGTGAGAATCGTCACTTGGTACGAAAAAAAAAATAATAATTAACACACGATCACGCGACGACATCAATAATAATAATAAGAATAATAATAATAAAGTAGCTACGTGTAAAGGCGTTAAATAAATAAAATCAAGTCTTAGAAAAATCGATTACTGGAATTGGATTGGGAGGCGAAGGGAAGAGTTGATGATCTCTATGCAGAAAAAAATTTAATTGTTTTTAGATTTTGAGTTACAACTCCCCTTCTCCCCCTCATCAGACTAGACACAAGTTACGCATAATAATTAAGAATACATCGTATATCGCGTAATCAAACATGTATAATAATAATAGAATAATAATAATAAGAGAATAAGTCGCCCTTTTGTCAAAACTTTTATGAATCAAATAGTACAGTTTTGTCCCGGTTTATTTGAAAGCACTGATAGTATACACATATAAATTATATATGCATATATTATAATAAATATATTCTTATTTTTTTTTTTTTTTCTGGGAAAAATTCTGAATGTGCTCGCATTCGGGATCCGTCGATTATATATTATATATATATATATATGAAAAAAAAATCTTTTATTGCAAATATTTTTGTTTTGCAAATAAATCCCGGAGCCCGATTGCAGAGAGATCTGTGAAATTGATAAAAATCCGATTTTTCATTTAAAAACTAGAAAATAGATTTGTTATACAGGCAGATAAATTTTTTTTCCAGGAATTTATAATTTCATTATTCATCAAAAATTAATTATTAAAAATTAATTTTAAATTTAACATTCATTATTCAGTATAAGAATAATATATTATTAAAATTCTATTCATTTTTTTTTTTTTTTTTTTTTTTTTTAAAGTCAAATATAAAATTTATTTTTAAATCCCTAGAAAAAATTTCTGTCGTGTAAAATTGATTGTTTGTTTTCAAATGAAAAACAAAATCCGAAATATATTCGGATCGGAAATTTTGTATATATATATATATGTATATATAATATGTATAATATGAAATGTAAAGAGAACTCTAAGACTTTTTTTCCAGAGGTTCAAGACTTAAAAAAAAGAATTGTCACGATTTTTTTCTTTTACTGTCCTCTCGCGCCTTAAATTTACTTTCTACATACTACCCTCAAAAAAAAAAATTAATTAATCGCGCATCTAATCGATGCATAATCCTAAAATCTATCGTCATTAATTGCGACGCGACAAGAGATCGAATACACAGTCGTGCATATATATCAATTTGCACGAGGACTAGACGGAGACTGGTGAGCTTCTACTTTTAAAACGAAACAAAACAAAAAAAAAAAAAGAAAAGAACATAAGCCTCTATATAATCTAGTCACTAAAATTAGCTACTCGCAAGAGTGGACATTTTTTTTTCTTTCAAAAAAAAAAAATTTCTACACTTGTTGAACATTTTTTTGTGAAAAAAAAAAAAATTCTCCAAAAAAAATGTCCATTTTTTTACACGCTAAAAGAAAATTTACAAAAAAAATCAGCACAAACAACGGAAATTGATTGTAAGAGTATATAATTCTAATAATGATGATAGTCATTTATAATTAATTTATCATTAAGTAATTAAAACTCATCGTAATAATTAATAAAACTGTCGAGTTTCATTTTTCTGACTAGTTGGGGGGGAGGAGGCCTAGCTACATAATCCCTCGGTAAAACGTTTATTTTATTAATTAATTACGCAATTTGAAATCTAATTATGCAATTAATTGCAAAACTAGAATTTAATGGCAAAAAATTGCGCGTATTTAATTTAAATTTAAGTACACGCCACATCTTAATGTACTTTATTTTTCTTTTACCTATTTTTTTTTTTTTTTTTTCTCGCAATCTATGATTCTAAGAAGCTATCTCTCTCTCTCTCTTTCTTTTTCTTCTTCAAACTTTGGTAAAGAGCTGCCTGTCTAAATTTTTTTTTTTAATTAAAAAAAAAATGAAAGTCTTCCGTGCGAGTCCTGCTCCGAGTCTCAGCTAACTGTCGATTTAACGTCGCGTGTGCCCCTACAATCTAGATTTTTTTTTTTTTGACTTAGTAATACCTGCATCGATACAGCCCCGAAAAAAAAATTTGAGAAACTATTACGAAAAATCGGTAATGGACCCGATCTCGCTCTCTTTCTCACTATCCCACCCCCCGCATAATCGCAAAAGAAAAAAAAAAAAAAAAAAAAAAAACTTGCACCATTAATTAATTACAAGTACAAGTTTTTTTTTCCAAGTCTTGATCGTTTCAAAGATCATTGGAGACCGCATCATTTTCTCTCATTTTTTTTTTTTTTTTTTTTAAATACATTAATACTTAGAACATTACATTCTCTCGACTATTTTTTCTCTCTGTCACTTTCATACATTTACATTCATACTGTGTTACAATATCTTGATTTAAATCGATTCTCCTTCGACTCTGTTTTCTTTTCTTTTTTTTTTAGCTTTTCATCATTCATTCGCTTTTTGTGACTTTGGTTTCGCGAGAAGTTCCCTCCTCGGGGACACAGTCAAATCGAAACGCCAGGATCCTCCCTCTGTGCGCTACTCTTCTCTCTTTTTTTTATCCACACATTTTTGTCAGCACATTTGTATTTTTTCCTCCATGCTTTTTTTTTCTAAGAGAAGATCTTGGAGCTGTGCAAGTGGACATGTAACAAGATATCTGACCAACAAGCAGCAAGAGCTCTAGAATTTAATTTTTTTTTACGCTTTATCTTTTTGAATCTTTTTCGTTGTGGCCGTGGCCGTTTTGTCCTTATTATTGATAAAGGACGATGGCTGTTGTTGTTGTTTTGGCTTGAAACGTTCTTGGAATGGCCAACGGGGTAATGAATGGCCAGCAATCCAGGGAGAGGGATGATGATGATGATGATTGTGATGAAGATGATTAAAATGAGGAGGAGGTGGTGGAGGACAAGGTGGATGATGTTGAAGTCGTTGTGGGAGCAATTGACGACTTAATTTAAATTGTTTGGCGGTTTGGAGGATGACATTGCTAATGCTGCTCACTTGATTGTTCCTTTTGGCAAATAAATGAGCTGGTGGAATTTGTGGTGGCATTGGCGGTGGAATTGGCGGCAACTGCAGGGATGCTGGCAATAGTCGATTATGATGATGATTGTGATGATGGTAGTGTTGCTGCTGCTGCTGTTGCTGATGGAAGGCTATTACTTGCTCGTCCTACGCAGCTTTGCTCTTGTTTGTCTTGAAGCTGACTTGAAGTACCCGATTGCCAAGGGTGTAACCATTGAGACTTTGAATTGCAACAACGGCTTCCTCATAATTGGTCATCGTCACGAAACCAAAGCCCTTGCATTTATTCGTTTGTAGATCGCGAATCACCTTCACTGATTGTACAGCTCCAAATGGACCAAACAATTGCCAAAGAACATTCTCCTCAGTTTCAGGCGCCAAATTGTAGACGAAGATACACCAGCCTGAACCATTCATCGCATTTCCGGGCAGCATTGAATTTGCAAGAAGGTCTCCTGCCAGCGGACTGTACCTGTAACATTATTACAAAATTTTTGTCAGGTATTTTCATTTTTTTTTTCTCACAATCGCCTTGTTAATGGAATTTATTTTTCAATAATTATTTCTTATTTCTTCAAAAAGAATTTTTCTTTCCAAAAATAAATTTTTTTTTTTACCAAAGAAAAAAAAAATATTAATTTTCAGACGCAAATTCTTTTTGAAATAAATTAATAAAAATAAAATGTAGTGCCACATTGCCAATCCATACACCTTTCTCTTTTATACTTACTCTTTAAGAAAAAAAAAAAAAAAAAAAAAAAAAAAATTTGCCACATACAATGTAAAAAGAAAATTGATATGTAAAATGAGATGAGAAGATTAATGGACAAGAGTGTAAGAATTGATAAATGAAGTCTGAATTTTTCTTAAAATAACAAAAAAAATTTTTATCAAATTATTCGAAATTTTTTTTTTTTATTTTATTGATTAACATTTGTTTTAACGAAATAAAAAATGTTCTTGACATTGAATTTAATTTTTTTTTTTGTAATAGTAAAAGAAAAAAAAGAATTTGGTGTAGGATTGAGGTACATGAGGTCATTGCAGCAAAAAAAAAAACACGCTTTAATTACAAGCATAGATATAAAAAGAAAAGTAGATTTCTATCATTTTTTTTTTAAATATTAAATAATGGATTTCTTTAAACTATAATTTTTCCAATTAGATTTTCTCTAATTTTATATAGCTAAATAAAATAATAAATTTACTATATTTATTTCGTATTTTAAAATAAAAATTTTAAATACTGAAAATATTATAAAAATTTTAATAATTTTTATTTTTAATAAAGAAAATAAAAATCGACTTCTCTTTTTGAATAATAGAGAAAAAAAAGAAAGTCACACAGGGAAATAGACTGACAATATTTAAACATGCTCGAAATGAGAAAGAGAATTATTATTAATATAAAAGTAAAGAATCGAGAAAAGACGATTATATAAGAAAAGAAAATGGAAAAAAAAGATAAGATTAATTAAAGAGACAAAGTTGCGCCCTTTAATTTAATGTTAATATATACAACAATTAATTTGAGAATACAGACGTGTATTTACACATATTTACAGAGGTATGGAATCTACGTACCTACTTGACGTCACAAGCCGCGTTAAAATAGGGCACATCTCGGTGAGTACTTAGTTTGTGTGTTTTTTTTTTTAAATTTTATTTTTCAAACCGAGAATCTTTATCAATTTTTTTTTAAATATTTAAATTTTATAGATTCAGGGATATTATTATTTTTAATCATAATAATAATTAATAGACGCGTCGCAATGTGACTTATTTTTGCGTGCAAAATGTATAATAAATGTTATGATTGCGAACGCGTTTAATGAATGAAAAATTGTGGAGCAAATACCAAAATCCAAAAAACGAAGCTGAATAAATATAAATAATTTATTTTTAATTTAATAATCGATTTTTTGTTGACTGGATAATAATATTTACTCCATTTTTTTTAAATTCTGTGAAAAAAACAAATTTTAAGAGTTAATTGAATTACAATTTCAATTCCAAAAGAATTAGAAATTATTTCATTTTCTGTAAAATGAGATCTAATATTTAAAGTCAACTCTTAAATTCTGCTTTAAAGACGAAAACCCATATATAATTTTTTTTATTACGCTATAAAATATTTAAATTTATTATAAATATATTTACTCTCTAAATTACAAGTGATCAAAATTTTAATTAATAATTTAATGACTTTTTGGTATGAATTAGTTAAATTTTATTAATAAAGTAGAAATATTTTTGATAATTCATTAGTAAAATTTAATTAATTTATAGAAAAAAAAAATGTCACCTTCTATTATTCAGATTAATTAAAAAATTTTACTAATTCTTAGAGAGTATTAATATAGGTTTTAGTCTGACAAGAAACGATTCTCTGGAAAAATGAACTGAGAAATTGTGAAGAGAAACAAGAAGCACATCTTTAACAGAAAACAATTATTTAAATATTTTCAAAATTTAAACATTTAAATTAACTTAATTATAAATAATAATAAATCTAGATTATGTAAATATTAATTTTTTTTTATTAAATTTTTTTTTTTTTTTTTATTAAATTATTAAAAAAAAAAGAATTATTTTCCTTTTCCGAAAGTTGTGCAACGTGTTTATAACTAGAGAGAAAGAGATAGAAAGACAAATTTTCGAAATTGTCTGACAATGTCGAAGAGATCGTGCACCTAGCCTCGCTCTGCTCTACACCAAACCATTATTTTTTTTACCCGTTTATTTAATAATTATAGTATTTTTTTTTGTTTATTAAAACAATATTGTTTACAGGGGCGTAGCTAAATCAGAGAATAGAAGAAAATAAAATCGATTTAAATTTCTATTCATTCGTACAACCGACGCACAATTATTGAAAGCTTGATAATTTCTTTTTACAATAGTAGCTTCGCTCCTGCGTTATCGCCATAACATTATTTACATATATAATTATTATTTGTGAATTTGAGTGACTGACATTTTTATACAAACTACTTTCCCCTTACAAATTCATGATGATAAAAAAAAATAATAAAGAAAAAACATTTTTTTCACACTTTAATTAAAAAAAAAAAAAAAAAAAACTAAATAATTTATTTATTAATATTATTTAAATTACAAAAAATAATTTTTTTAAATATTTAAATTTATTTTTTGAAATCGTGATGAATAATTTTAATTATATATACTTTGTGTTGGGAATGTAAAAGTGCTTGTAGGAAAAGATTTTGCAATGAGACAGAGGGGAGAATGATTGGTACACGATCTCGATCGCAGTTAATCGATCGAGAGAATCGATCTTGAACAAAAAAAAAAATCTGCTTCAACAAAAAAGTTGATACAGTGCGAATTATTAATTATTATTTTTTAATTAATTGTTCTCCAATCGATTCGCAAACCGACTTCAATAATATTCTCTGCCTATCCGACCTAATAAAATGTCCGTCTGTACAATCCATTTGCTTTTTCAATTAATTATTTAAGAAAAAATCGAAAATCTCAATTTTCTCATTTAATTTTCCAAATAAATAGTCTTTAACAAAGTAAAAATATAATATTTTATTATTATTAATATTATTTATCAAAAATATATTTTTATTATCGGCACTATTAATTACTAACTATTATTTCTTCTATTAATTATATAATCGCTATTGATTAATAATAATTAATTGTACTGAAATAATAGTTACGTTTTTTTTTTTTTTTTTTTTTTGAAAAGGCCTTGAAAAAGTAATTTTGCACAATTGTTTCGAATGAGTACGAGGGAAAAAGTGGATAGTCGAGAAATGGAAAATGAAGAAATAGAAGAAAGTTAGTGAAAAATGTTGAAAGAAAGTGAGTGAAGGATTTTTGTGGGAATCTATAAAAAGGCATTATTGAAAGAGACAGAAAGAGAGAGAGTGAGAGTGAAATAAATAAACAAGCTGCTCAAAATCGGCAAAAAAAGCAAAAAAGAAAAAAAAAGAAAACTGTTTTGGAAAAAATAGTAAAGAAAAAAATACTGACCTCTGTAAGCCTTTGTTAATGGCAAGAATGGCCTTGCCAGTGCTAAAACAAAACACAAAAAGAACAACATAAGAGAAGATTTTCCCAAATATTCAGCCAAAAAATTGGTGCATTTAAATGCACTCAAAAAATAAAAATAATTCAAAAAAAAAAATTATTTTTTCATTGAAATTTTGAATTTTGAATAGTATCTCTTTTAATTAAATTAAATTTCCCTTAATATCCAACTTTAAATAAATAAAAATTGAAAAAAAAAAAAAATGTAACATGATAAAAGAAAAAACTTAAAAAAGACAGAGTAACTAAAATTGCAAAAAAAAAGAGAAGGTGTTGTTCAATTTTTTTTTGTGGCAGGTTTGTGAAACATAAAATTAAAAAATAATTCAAACAAAGCAGGATTCAGGATTTCCTCACACTCATACTTTTGCTCTACTTCAAAATAATTGTGGAAGGTTGTTCTCGTCTCTTATTACATGCCGGAAAATTCAAATCACTTTTTCGAGGACCTACAGACGGATTAAAATCTTGTGATTGTGTAGAACGAGTTTATATTTAGTATAAGCGTTATTATTATTATTATTATTATTATTATTATTATTATTATTATTATTATTATTATTATTAGTGCCTTGTTCCTCTGAATTTCGTTCAAGGCACGTATTTAAAAAATAAATTTTCTTTTTTAAATAGAAAATGGAAATGAAAAAAGGGGTTGTTTTCCTTTGGTTTGAAAAAATAAAGTCACAATTAATATAAAATAATAAAAATATGACAATATTAGGTTTTTTTTAATTGTAATTATAAAAATAATAGAAAAAAAAAATTGCGGTTAAATATTAAATTATAAGAGCGTTGGAAAATGTGTTCCATTATTATCTATTGCCAACATTTATCTTGGAACTGATTTAAAAGACGGAAGTTACAATCCAAGAATAAAATTAAATGTGACAGTGATACTTTAATTTTTGAAATGCTTTTATGTATATTCGAGATGATATTGTTGAAAAATCATGTTTTTTTTTTTATTAATTTACAATATTTAACTTTTTACTTTTGTATTTTTATTGTTACCCTCTTTTAATATTAATTATTAAAATTATTTTCAAATATAAATTCTATATAATTTAATTATTTAAAAAAAAAAATGTAGCTTTTTTAATTTTTTTTTTAACTGACCAAAGAAACGAATTATTGATAATAAGGAACAATTATTATTACTTTAAAAAACTGCTAAGAAAATATTTATTATCAAAAATTAACGATTTTACAAAATATGTATTTGTAAATAAGTCTAATGTTTTTTCTCGTCTACGAGTTTTTTTTTTTTTTTCTTTTTTTAATACAATTTTCTATTTTAAACTCTTTAATCTTTATCAACTTTATAACTATGTTTATAAATATTATTAAAATATATCCCATTGGAAACCCATGAATTTGAGCGTCAGCTTCTAATGAGTTCTCTTCTTCTTCTCTATCCCAGACCTAACAAACAACATTAATTATACCATCAATATCATTTTCTCTTCAAAGATACAAATTTTACAACGCTTCCAGGATTTTCCGATTTAAAAGCAAAAAAAATGGGAAAAAATCACGGTATTAATAAAATTTAGTGATTACAATATTGAAATAAATAAGTCATTTTTTTGGGGAAAAAAAAATTGGCAGATTGTTTAAAGAAAAGGCCCCCGAGGAGGATAGGCAGTGATGTAATGGCGAGAACAAGAAAACTGGTACGATGGTACGAACGAAGAAACGAATCATGATAATGATTTTAAAGCGATCGAGCGCCGGTCCCATCGATTGCAAAACAGAGATTTGTATTATCAAATCTTCATCATCAGCATCAACATTATCATCATAATTTTTCTTTTGTCTCCTGTATTTTTTTTCTTTTTTTTTGGGTAGAGCGAGTAGAGGCGAGTAGGTACCTGGATAGTGGCGACAGTGGAATGTACCTGAAGCGGCCGGTTGGATGGTGAATTGGACCGCCAAAACGACGAGTTGCCTGTGGTGTCAAATAGGCTGCCAATGGCGGGATTGCCTTGTTGTTGTTGCTTGGATTGTTGGCAAATTTAACCGTAATTGGTTCCGATGAACCCTTGGGAATGGTCCCATTAAGCTCTTGTATCGCGCGCTCAGCCTCCACACGTTGATCGAATCTTATGAATCCAACGCCTTTTGACAGACCTGCCAAATCCGACAAACAAATATCTTTAACGTTACTTCATTTTTGCCGACTTAACCAACTGATTCTTGATAACTTAATTCTAGTCTCTAGTTCTCATCAAAAGAAGAAAAAATAACATTCTCGTAACTTATCTCCCAAAAAATTTAATTCTCTTTTTTTTTTGTAAAAAATATATTCTTTTTTTTTCTAAGAGATAAGTCGAAAAAAGTTTTTCCTTCATTTTTCCTGGATTTCTAGCTGATTATTTATTTTATTTTTTATCGCACTCTTTTTTGATTAAATATTTTAAAGTAATATTAATCGAAATTTCAATCTAACTCTGGTATTGTTTCATGGAATAAAAACGAGTGGCTCGGTGCGCACATAATCGTTTTCTCATAAAAAAAAAAAAAAAAAAAAAAAATTTTCGCAAAAGATCGTGAAAACCAAAAATGTTCCAATATTTTGCAATTACAAAAAAAAATAGAGAAAAAAAATTAACAAACTACGAAATACCTAAGCGAAACCTAAATAAAGATGTCTAGTGTTTTTTTTTTTTTTTTTTTTTTTTTTTTTTTTTTGAATCCCATTCGAATAAAATTAAAATTTAATAAAACTGAAAAAAAATAATTCTACATATTTGAAATTACTGAAAATAAAATAATTACTAATTACTAAAATATAAATTAATTAATATTCCAAAATACTGATACTGGAAAAAGTAAATAATTAATTTTCAAAAAAAAAATATATATATATAAATAATTGTGAAACATTTGTACAGAAACAATTAGTTTTTCTGATATTACAAAAAATTGTGGTGCTAAATAATAATAATAATAAACAATACAAAAATTTTGTGTTCAGCTAGGATTTAAAAAACAAAAAGGAGGAAAAGAAAAAATTATGTTTACGTACCGGGCAAATTGTCTCCGCCGCCAGTCACAAACTGTCGTACTAAACAGAAACGAAAAAATCATATCTCGATTAAAAATATACAAATAACACGAGTTGCTCGCCCCTAATTCGTCAAAAAAAAATTAAATTTCCAAAAAAGAAAAACAAAAAAACTAACTAAAATTAAAATACTAAAAAATTAATATTTTCCGATTTTTGTGTGTCAAATTTTTATTAATAAACGTTTTGCCAATTTGAAAAAATAAAATTAAAAAAAAAAAATACCGCAATCAACGAATGAGAGGCAAGCGAGTCTTTTTGATAAAATTATATACACTCTACGCTCCTTAAGCATTTTTAAATCATTAAAAATTTATAAAAATGAAAAAAAAAAAAAAGAAATTTTTTCTCATTTAAATGTTGAAGGAACGTATAGAGCAAGTAACTTAAAAATAATTTTGTTTGTCTATGAGGTAGAAAAACGACGAACAATTTTGTCAACCGAGAAGAAATTAGGAGAAAAGAGATAGACAAAAAGAGAAAGAAGAAAAAGATAGAGAGAGAGAAAGAGAACTTTGAGGGATAATTAGTTAAAGATGGAGGCCATGAGGCTGTGTATAACTCAAAAACCAAACAAGCACTGCATAAACGCAAGGGGGGGGGAGGAAATTGAAATTATCACGTTTGAGCCAATTGAAAAGCCACACAAGGAATTAAATAAACTCAATGAACAAAAATTTATCAACAAATCAGAATTTTTTTTTTTTTTTATATGTAAATAATAAATCCTGTGACTTTGTTTGCCTTTCATTGGAAAATTATAATCATAAATTATAATAATCAAAGAAACCTTGTTTTAAAATAAATTTCGTTTTTTTTTTTAAACAAATATAATTTTTTCCAGAGAAAAAAATTTTTCTTTCTTTTAAATTATTAGTTGTGACAATTGTGTCCTAACCGCTAAAATTACAAAATAGTATTTAAAATTAAAAATTGTATTTTATAAAAAAAAGCTTTCCAGTGTTAAGATTCTAAAATCAATATCAATAATACAATGAGAAAAATCTGAATTCATCCTAAAACTTGAACAAGAGATGCGCGAAAGGTCGTTTAGAATTTGTTTTTTTTTGTTTCGTTTTTTTTTTTTTTTTTTTTGAAAAATCAAAAAAAGATCCGATTATTAATACTTAGTTTCTACTCTCTTTAGTAGAAACGATTTTTGGTCTCTTTTAAACTCTTTGGAAAGAAAAGAGGCGCACCGACCCACCCCCCCATCAAGCAACCCCATGGCCTACTCACCTACCCTTATCTACAAAGCGCACCTTTTGTCACCTTCTCTCTTACAGCGAGTGGAGAATCTCAAGTACTAATAACTCAGTACCAACAAGAACCTAAATGGCTCGTTTTTGTTTTCTTATTTATACAGATTGAGAAATTTTCCATGAAAATAAAATAATTATAATTTCTCAATGCTTATTGAATATTATTCTACACCGGTAATTAAATTTTATTCTAATGAAAATTTAAATTATTTTTTTTTCAATTTTATATTCAATGTTGATAATTTAATGTAACAATTAAATATTTATCACTTAATTGAATTACCTAGTATGTATATAATTGGATTTTTAATTCAAAAAACTATTTTATCGAAAATGAGCCATTAAAACTCATTCATAAATCAAGGATATTATAATATTTATTTTAATATTATTGGAATATTTATTCGTTTCGAATTATTTCGATGTTTGGCTTCTGAGTTGAATGTGAAAGACGTCTTAAAAAATTTATATTAAAAAAATTCTACAATAGAAGATAGAATTATTATAATTTTTGTTTCCTTTTTTTTTTTTTTTTGTTCAATTTCTTCATAGATGCTGATGAGATAGAAAAAAAAACCAGTTATTGGTTTTATTTCTCAAAATAAGAAATTCATTTGATCCAATGCTAATCAATATTGAGAAACGACTTACCAGTGATGTTGTCACAAAGGATTCGAGACGTAATAATTCTTCCATAAGGACTGAAAAGATTCTCAAGATCTTGTTGTGCCATATTTTTTGGCAAGCCGCTCACATATAAATTTGCTCCCTTTATCGCTTCGCTGCTTGGTCTTGCATACGATACCTGCGAAAAATAATGCAAATAAATTCCACTTGTCTCATGAAAAATACAATTTCACTACTAATAAATAATTTTATTTTAAATAACATTAAAGCAACAATTCTTCAATATTAAAAAATAAAAAAATAAAATTTATTAACAGCAATATTCATGGACAATAAATAATTGTGTTATCAAGTAATACAGAATTAAAGCTTTCTGGAAAAAAATACCAACTCTTCACCTTGACAAAGTTGGCGCATTAAATTGGCTAAAATATCGTCTTTTATTTGCTCGTTTGGCAAGCAATAAGCATTTTTTTGTTTCTTAAATTCAAATAACATAAAATTCTTTTAATTTTCTACTTTCTTTCTTTTCTCGACAAACTTGAAAAGACCATTATTACTTCTATAAATCTCAAAATCGCCAATAAAAAGAAATTATCCTGAATGTAGAATTTAAAATACATTTTTCATAAAGGCATGTTTTTAAAAATTTTTTTAAATTATTTTCTAATAATTTACCTATAATAAAATTTATCATCTATTTTTTAAACAAATATCTCCCATAAAATTTAATTGACTTGTAAAAATTCACAAAACAATGAATAATAATTTTTTATAATAAAAAAAAATTAAAAACAAACCTTGATCGTTTTATTTTGCAGACGAAGACCATTGAGTGTGTTGATGGCCTTATCAGCGTCTTCCGGCCGATGGTAATTAACAAATCCATAGCCTAAGCTTTGACCTAAAAAAATAAAAAAGATCAAACTGTATATTAAAAATTCATTTGACAATTAAAATTTTAATTGTCAATGAAAAAAACGAAAAAAACAAACAAACATATAATAAATAATCAAATTTAAGAAGCATGAATTAGAAAACATTTTTTTTCAAGAAAATTATTAATGTGAAGAAGAATTTCAAAGAAAATTTTTTTTTTTTTTGGAGGATGATTTTTTTCATTGATTAAGGAGGCATGAAAAGCTCTCGAATCATGTCACCTAAGACATCATTGGAATTTGCACTCATGTCGAGAACACATCGACTTGGCTTAAAGCTTAATAGACGAGTGATGAGTGCGAATGACAAACGCTCCAGAGACAAATTACACCCTAGAGGTGTAATTACTTTTGACAATTTTGATGACGGATATTTCCTTTTCGATTTTTTTTTTGTTCTTTTGTTTCTTTTTTTAATAGGAGGAAGGAAAAATGTAAATTGAAAAATTTCATTAGTAATTTTATAAATTCCATGCAATTTTGATTGCCAATCCAAGGGCCAGTATTGTAGATTTTTATCTAACAAACTTCGGGCAAATTATAGAAGATTATTGCTGAAATCTCTATCGTATATTTGCATATGAATGCAAAAATTTTATTCTTACAAATACGATTTTTATAATCTAACTAAATTCATATTTACGAAACCGGAAAATTTGTTTTAAAACAATAATTATAATTGAAAACAATAGAAATTAAACCTTAAAACGATTTCGAATTAATTAATAAATAATTTAACACAGCAAAAAAAGACAACTAAAAAGGAAAATCAAATTTTCTTTTTATTTTTTTGAAAGATATTTTTTTTCTCCGCCAAGAATTGAAAATCAATTCCTCTAAACTTCTTTGAAAACTTAAAAACAAAATTTCTTTTAAGTAAGAAAAAAAATCAAGTTTCTATAAATTTAAAAATAAATATAAAGTGATTGAAAATCAATTACCTGAAAAACATTGAAATTACTTTATTTTAAAGAAAATCATTTGCTTTGAATTTCTCCAAAAAGTACAAAACATTTTTTTTTTTAATTCTAAATTAAATCTAATGAAAAGAAAAAATTGAATTTTTTAACAATTAAAAATTAATAATCTACAAAAAAAAAAAATAAAGAAAACAGGAAAAACAATTTTGTAAAATTCTTTTAAAAAGCACAAATTATTTTTAGAAAATTGATTAAAATTTGAGTTTCTTTTATGCAAGTTGTTAAATTATTTATTAGAGGGACAAAAAGAAATTTTGTTTCAATTACACGAAATTAAATAAAAAAAAAAAAAAATTGAAAAACTGATTGTAAAAATATTTTTCCTGTTTACAATTATTGTGGAGAGAAAATCAAGAAGAATTTTCAACTATTTGTGAATTGACTAGCGTGACACCTGCTTTGAATATTACTTAATCTTTTGAAGCTTGATGTGGTATAAGACCAGCATAAAGGCGGTAAAGCTTCGATCCAAACGACGCCCCCACGCCAATGTGCCTGAAAATAGCGTCGCGACGTCTAACCCACGTGCTGACGCACTCGTACTGTAACACACAAGAATTTATACACAGACGAAAATTACGCACTGCATTACGCATTTTCACTTCTTTCATTTTCTCAAAAAAAAAAAGTTTTTCCGTTTTTTCTCTTTAGAAAAAAAACCAATTAATTTTTTTAAAATTAATATTCCAAACTATTTTTTTTTTCTAATTAATAGAATATAAAAATTTATTTCACTCTAAAAAACTAATTTTCAAATTTTTGAAATATTTTTTTAAATAATATATAAAATAAAAATAATTTACAATTTCTAGTAATTCTTTTTTTAAAATTCCAATTATCAATATTATTGAAAGAAGTGAAAATTAGAAATAAAAAAAAAAAAAAAAAATCTTAAGATATTAATATCGTTCCAGAAAAGCTCATCGATTTGATTTTATAACAAAGTGCAACGGACTATTTTCATAAATTTGATACGGAGCCAAATAATGCGAATTACAAAGAAATTTTATTAGAAACGACAAATCCTTTAGATTTGTCGACTCTTAAATCCTTCAAAAAGTAAATTGTGAGTGGCATTTATGAAAGATGAAATACCTGACTTTCCAATTAAACAAAAATCATCGAAAAATGGAAATTATCTCAACAATACATTTATATTATTCACTTCATTATTTTTTCCTTTTCCTCCAATATATAGACATCAAAGAACCTGATACAAAATAATTTCTTGCATATACAATTTGGAAGAAAAGAAGGCAGAGTTGCCTTTCTTCATCACCAGGCGATGATTTCTTTTTTTTTTTTTTTTCCTAAAAAAACAAATCTCTTTTGATAGTAGAAGGCTTCCTTTTTTTTTATCGAGAAAATTGGCGTGAGTCTTTTCCTATTCTTCGGTATTCTCTACACATCACTGGTAGGTTCTATATTTATAAACCACGTGTCACCAACAGGTGTGAGATACTTTATTTATTCAGAATAATGTACTGAAGATAATAAACTGCTAAACGGCCAATTGAATCCAAAGGAGAATAGGAATAAAATATCTTTTATATTTTTACCGAAATCTGAAAAATAAAATCCAGTTGTTACACACTCTTCGGGGTTATTTAAGCAATTTTTTTTATGCTTAAATTATTATAAAAAAAAAACAAAAAAGAAAAAAAATTAAATTAAAAAAAAAAATTTAAATAGAGAAAAAAAATAAGGGTTAAAAAAATTCGCGTTACCAGTGAGTTTATCTCTGATGAGTTTGCAGCTTTCAACTTCGCCGATACTGGAGAACAGTGACCGGATTTCCTCCTGGGTCATTGTCTGCGGCAAGTAATTTACAATCAAATTTGTCTTGGATTCCTCCTGTGAAGTTTGGCCAAGGGTCGAGCCCCCATTTTGTTGTACTGTGTCCATTCCGTTTGCCATCATTGCACACTCTTCTAATACGTCACCTAACTACGTACGAAATCTGAAAACAAATAATAATTTACATTAAAAAATTATAATTTCTATTGTTAAAAAAAAAAAATAATAATAAATCATATTTAAAAAAAATTGTATCACTATAAAAAAAATTGTTTAAAAATTTATTAAATTTCTCTCAAAAATTAAAGATCAATAATCGTTGACCTTCTATATATATAAACGTTTCTTATTCTTTCATCAAAATAGAGATTGAAAGAGGTCGTTGAACTCTGATAACACAGTATATGAATTCACGCTAAAAGAAGAGAAATAAATGACAAATGCGAATCAGAAAAACTCGTCGCCAAAACACACAGACACTCGCAATTCTCAGTAGAAATTAATTTCAAAACTAAGTCACAAGAGAATTTTTTTTTTTTTTCCCCTCTGACAATCTCAATTGCTGAGAAATTATTTCTTAAGTATTTCGTTGAAATTGAAAAGTATTTAGTAAATAAAAGAAATTAAAATTTTCCATAATTCTCATTATTAACTATTTTCCAGTAATTTAAATTTCCACTTAGAATTTTGCTGAAAATTTTTCCTCTTAAAAAGAAAAATTTCTTTCAATAAAATTTATTAGAAAATATATTTTTTTTAAGATTATAAATTTTCGTTCCATTTAAATGGCCAGCTGGTGAAAAAAAAAAATAGGATAATTTTAAAAGGACAGTGAACCGAGACCCCTGGAAAAAATGTATTTGAGATCTGTTGGTAGATCCCCCCGAATTTTTCGTCCTATAGAGTGTGTACTAAGGGAACCTGATGCCCTGATACAATATCCTTCCACATTTTATATACTCGATGCTTGTGTAGAAGGCAATATATACATATATACATGTGTGTGAGTATGTCTGTGTAAAGTAGGTTTTGAACAAGGGGGGATGAAAAAAAAGGATAGAGAAGATATGGGGAATTATGAGACTCCTGCAGTAGTAAAGGATGTAGGGGGGAATACTTTTAATAGGGGGAGAGACAGAGAGAGAGAGAGAGGAAAAAGAGGAAAGAGGATTGCGTACTCACAGCTGCTACACACATGACAGCCGGCACGAGCCATTGGAATATATTATGCACCTCCTTTTTTCCCCCTATATACATATACAACAATTCTATTTCCTTCTGAAACGAAATTACTCAGGGTTATTGAATAATATTTTTCATTTAATTTTACTTTCCAAAATAAGAAATCAAAAACATCTTCATTCATTTATAATTCAATAATAATTTTTCATTAATTTTAGAATTTTTATTTTTCGAATTTAATATAAATACAACAATTTTTATTTTATTCAAAAAAAAAAGTATATTAATAAATTAATAAAATGAATCATTTATTCAAATTGAATTAAAGAAAAATATAAAATCAAAAGCAATTATTATTATTATTAAAACAATATATTGGAAAATAATTGTTATTAGAATAAATAATAATAATTCTTTAGAAAAATATTGTCATGAAATTATTGTAATTTCAAATTGTAAGAAAAAAATTGCAATAATCAATATGAAATAATTGGAAAATCGGTAAAAAAGTTTTTGAAGTCGGAATTAAAAATATTTAAAAAAAAAAACTTCAACATCTGTTAAAATTTTAAATCGTGAATTAAAATGATCATTTATCAGTTTTAAGTTGCATTACGATGGACCTCCTTCACAATATGTTTCCAGGTACAATTTCAGTCCTAGACCTACAGCAATAATTTATATTTTCTTTCATTCCCTTATGACGTATGTATCAGCTGCCCTTTAAGCCCCCCCTGTTTCCTTCAAACCGATTTCACCACAAGGTGGTCGTATATGCATTTTTGAAAAATATATATACCTTTAAAAAAAAAACCAGCATCATTTTTCAAAATATAAAAAAGCGATCAGAATTATCCGATTTAAAATTCAAACAATTTTCTCCTAATTTTATAATTATTTCTTTTAGTAATTTAATAATTTTTTTTCTATTGAATATTCTAGTGTTTAATTTTCAATTTTACTCGAATTCGCTGATAATTTCTCATTAATGAATCCTGATGCTTAACTTGAGTGTAAATCAATAAATTTTCTACATCGAGTGTGTGTGTGTGTTAGCGTGTAAATTTATCTAGATTTCATCGACTCTATCGTGTACGAAAATGGCATATCAAAACCACAACCGATGGTGAGGCACGAGATGGAGGTACAGAGTCAGGAAACGATCGATAATAGACGCTCTCAATATTTGTCGAATGTATATATATTATACACCTAAAAATTATAACCAATTTATTTTTTTTTTGTAAATTTCTAATTATTATTTAATTACACTTTACATTCACTGAATTAGTCTTGTTAATGAAAATAAAGGGTTATGAGTTTATTCTAATTTTACACGAGAGATTCAATTAAGTAATTTAATTACACAAGAGCAATGGATTTAAAACAAAATTTCATAAGTGATTTCCCTTTTATATTAATTTAATGATAGAAATTAATATTTTTAGTTTTTATTTAAAAAGAAATTATTAGAAAAATTTATCTGATAAAATAGATTATGTTCAGTCATAAGGATAATGAAACATCACTCTATTTTTCTGCATCATTGATAAAATTAAGAGTAACCTTATACTTTTTCCTACGGTTTTTTTTTTTTATTATTATAAACTTAAATGTTTGATAAATTTAAAGGTACGGCAATATTTTACCCGATTTCCTTTAAAAGGATTTTGATATAATAAATTTTAAATTAACAGAACATTAAATTGTTGTTTTTTTATCAATTGAATTTTTAAATTTCATAAAAAAAAATTTCTCCAATTCAATGAAAAACGCAATTCAATACATACATAATCATTGTATATGAACAATAATAATTTAAACGCACAATATTCTACTTTCTGTAACACTTGGCAGGTTTCAACACGTATAAAGTAAATAAACACCTTTGTTTACTTCAACGAAAGCAAATCCTGCGACTTTCATCCAATGCATCAAATCAAAAACAATTGCGGAAAATAAATGAATAAAAATTGCAGTTTTACGATATTGCTATAACTAAAATACTTCTCAGAGATTAATGTCTCGGCACGAAATGATTGTTTTATTTATACGGGGAAACTCAAAGAGGGGGAGGAGGTAATTACAAAGTCGAGAAAAGTTCAGGGTGTAAAAGAAGGAGGTTAAGTTAAGGTGCGATTTGGTAGATACGATCTTCGGCTTGGTGGCCAGGTGGCCATGGCGACGGATCGTGAAAATCGCGTGGCTGGGACCGATCAATACACGTTCACCCCTCAGTCTCCCCGGTTATATATATATATATATATATATATATCTCTAGTTCCGTTTTACTGGGAGTTTTCGCTCACTCCACCACTTTCAGGGAGAGACCCCACCGTGGCTTTACTCCCCTACCTACATACACATATAACCGAAAAATATACTCGCACATACATGAAAAAAATACATACATACTCAAATAGAAAAGCGTCATCTAAAATGTTTTACTAAAAAAGCGAAACGCGCTTGGTAAAAAGAAGAGATATACTATTTCCATGATATAACACCAAAGACCCGGCACGTGGGATAAAAAAGCAGCATCTTACCTTTTATAATTTCTTTCTCGAATGGAGAAAAACCACAGCCGATGAAGCTCAACACTTTTTTTTTTTAAGTAAAAAGTACTGGTGAACCCTCAAGAGCTTCTTTATAAGCGTATAATTTGCTTCTAAGACTACTTTAGTATATCACGCTCTGTGCTCACTGCACCGTCGCCCGAAACGAAACGATAAATCAATAAAAGAAAAACTGTTGTCGCGGACCAGCATTTATTTCGTCGAAACAGATAAATTTGTTTATTAATCGAATTATTTACCGTTGCACATATATATACGTAATTATTATGACGATTCACCGGGTTCCAAAATAATCCATTCTTCCTTGATGTTTCATAGGTTAAATAAAATGTCTCAAAGCAGACGCCTTCGTGTTTTTTTCGAAGTTTCTTCTCGTCGGAATTATAAAAAGAGTTAAGGAGTTAAGAAACGCGAACACGAACAATGTGAAAGAAAGCGACGACTAAATACTAAAAGGAAATAAAAGAACGACGCTACAAACACGACGACTGGCCAGAGACTGAGCGGAAAAGACGTCTAGCGTCGTTGCGATCGTGACGCTCGTAAAGTTTCGGTTATTTCCGGTAGATTACGACATATTTCGACGGGTGGCAACACTAGTCGCTCAGGCAAAGGTTTTTTTTTCTTTTTCTCATTCTAAACTTTAAATATATCACTCAGTAATGACTTATTTAATAAATATGTAAATATTTAGTATAATTATTTGTAAATATTTGTTTAATATTACTTTATAAATTGTTCTAACAAATTCAAAAAAAAAAAATTCAAATTCAAATTTCGCGCCAAAATTAATTGTTGTGACGTTTGGCAACACTGCTTGATGATTAAAAAAGCAGTTACTGACAATAGGGGGTTGCAAATTTTGTTGTTATTTTGTACATTTTTCAATTAATTATCACACTCTTTTTTGTGAAAAAGAATAGTTTCCCGAGTGTTGTTAGACATTCAATTAATTGATTTTCCATAAATTTTTCTGTATAATTTGTTAATTATACTCGGAAAATATGCGGTAATTTAACCCCATGTTTTTCTAACCTCCAATTTTTGAAAATAGAAAAAATTTTGTTAATTGTATTTTTATGTTGCAGATAAAATTTGAGGAAAAAAAAGGATTAGAACAAAATATGTAGTAGTGAGTTTACAATAGCGAAAGAGGATATAATTTTTTTTCTGGACCTGCAGGTGGTTAGGTACAGCTTTTTTTTTTTGATGACGACTTGCATAACAAGTCTGAAAAGGAGTCACGTTGTGAAGCTCATATATATATAAGCAAAAGAAGAATTTAAATACTCGCAGGTATGTTCAATGCTCTGGATTCTTGCAGTTCACCGACTTCAACTTCCGGCAACGCCTTTAAATCCCTAATACTAGCAAAGGGGGTGTCACGTTTCATCGTTCATGTGAGCAGAAAGCACGAATGACCTACCACTCAAAGCAAAGGACCTCAAGTAGACCCTTTTCCTCTCTTTGTACCACTTTTTCCTCTTTCTCTCTCTCTATCTCAAAGCTCAATCCTTCACTGGGTCATCATCGAAACCAGACACTTTCATCTCAAAATTAAAAGGTAAACTTTTCATTTATTTTGCGCATTTAAAAAATTATTTTAAAATCTCTATTTGAAATTTAATTAAAAATCATTTGTTTCAGTTTATTTTTCGATTTTTGATGGTATAATTTTTGTAATAAAATCGTTTTGTTTTTATAGAAAGCGAAAGAGAATATTAAAAAATAAATTATTGAAAATACAAATTGTGAATCTCTTTAGAAAAGACGTTCAAAGAGCAAAGTATATAACGAAAGCAAAATTCTATAAATATATATACACACACATTCAGTGTCGTGAAAGAGATAGAGGAAACTCAACGCGGGTCATGTTTAGGCCGCGATGTTTCGCGCCTTTTTATTTCAATTCGTGTGAGATTTTTTTTTTTTTTTAGGTCAATGTACATATACGAAAGAAAGGCTCGCAAAATAAATAACATTTTTCTTTTCATTCTCAAAAAAAAAAGTAAATTTTTATAAAAGATACGAATAATTGAAAAAAAGTGACGAAATTTTGGAAATAAAATTCTATGATATATAAATTTTGGCCTTTAAATATATGAATAAGTCCACCCCTTATTTGGAATTGTACAGCTGCTAAATTCAATGCCTCATATAACTAGACCAATGACGACGGTCATTCGGTTGGATATAACTAAAATTCATATAGGGTTCTTCAAATCAATGAAATTTTTTTCTAGGGGTCGTTGATCATTTGCAAACTGTGTGTATAATTTGAAATTCACAGATTATTTTCATTTTGAAATTAAATTTTGAGTATTTTTTTTTTTTAAACTTTAGTGTAATAAAATTGAATTTTTTTGAAATATTGACGATATATAAAAAGGGGGAAAAATTTATTCCGCCCATAGAAGTTTGGCATATAAATAATATATATATTTCTTATCGTATTTTGTGTGAAACAAAATCGTTATTGCGGTAGGGTTGAATATATGTATTATATTCTGAGAGAATAAATCAAGCTCGCACAGAGTTCGTTCCTTGGGCAAATTAAATCCTAATCGATCAATTCGATCCTCCTTGAAATAAAAAAGGGTTACCCTTTTTATCGTCCCACCCTCTCTCTCTCTCTCTTTCTCTCGTGCCCGCAAGGCTTCCAGTCAAATTTTATTAATACCGTTTCTTTTTCTCCTTAAAAACTTTTTTTTCAAATCCAAGAAAATTAATTAATTTACACTTTTCGATTAAATTAAAAAATGAAAATTACTATAATATTTGCTACAATTTTCATTGATAAACATTTGGCTAATTATTTTTTGTTTTTCGCAGGTTTGGAAAAAAGTGGAAGAGGAAATTTTAAATCGAAGATGAAAATTGTAATATAATGAGAAATGTTACGATAATCGGAAAATACCTGGTCCTGTATATTTGTGAACCGAGTCAAGCATTCTTTGGATTTCAGTAGCTTGGAATATATATATATATATATATATATATATATATATATATATATATATATATATATATATATATATATATATATATACGTAAGTACACAAATGAGTGCATATATTAAATCGGGAGAATGAACGAGACAGAGAGAAAAGGAGAGGAACGAAGAAAGAGAAAGAGTGAGAGAGATAGAGCAAAAAGGGGCTAGGGGGTGTCTGAGGGGCTCCATTGATTGGTCGGTGTTGCAGCTACTACCCTGGGGGTATATGAACCCCAACACTGTCGCTTCTCCTTTACTCTCTCTCTCTCTCTCTGTCGGTTTTCTCTGTCTCGGTTGCACTCTCTTTCCGTCAGACTTCCCTGTTCACCCTCGCCACAGGTTCACCCCATAGGAGAAAACGCACGCGCGACACATGGACCCAGAAACGATCAATACCCGACAGAGTCCGGCGCTCCCCGGCTCAGCTATTCGAATTAAATTCTCTCTCTCTCTCTCTCTTTCTCTCTCATTCACTATGTACCGTTTTCTCATTGCATCTCCACTCTCATCCCTTTCGTTTAGCCAGGACGAAAAGAGAGAGAGAAAAAAAAATTTACACACAACACACGCAAGGCCTTATTCTTGTTTCAAAAACCACTCCTTGTTATTTTTCTTCTTTTTTTTTGCCACGCGTTTTTCAGGTCAAACACGGTGGAAAAAAAAATTCAGGGCGTTATATAGTTCACTTTTGAATCGTTATACATATCCGAGCTTTCTTTCATTATTTTATTTTTTTTTTATTTTGGGAAATTAATTTTTAATTCTAATTTTTAAATAATGGAATTTTCGAATTTTTTAAAAATATAAACATTTCTTTTTGAATTTTTAAATCTAATTTTTAAATAATGTAATTTTCGAATTATTTTCGAATTTTTTAAAAATATATAAACAATTCTTTTTGAATTTTTAATTCTAATTTTTAATTAATGGAATTTTCGAATTATTTTCTAATTTTTTAAAAATATAAACAATTCTTTTTTAATTTTTAATTCTAATTTTTAATAATGGAATTTTCGATTCATTTTCTAATTTTTTTTTTTTTAAATATTTGCACATTTCTTTAATTTTTTGTTTTTTAATTTGAGATTTTATTTTTTGAATTCGTATTTCTCCGCCAAATTGTTATGCAGAAAGAAAGATTTAAATTTACAATTATTGAAAAATAATTGTAAAATTAAAAGATAATTGCAAAAATATATGTAAAAGCAAAATTTTTAAAAACTGAATTAAAATGATATTTCTATTTATTCGAAAATTTGACTATATTGAGATATTTAAAAAAAATCTCATTGCATTTTTTTTTTTTTTTTTTTTTTAATAAAAAATATGAATGAATTTTTTTTCAATGAATAAATTATTTTTGAGCATTACGAAATAATATTCGAAAATAAGAAAATCTTTAGGTGCCTCGTAATCTTTTATTATGAGATACATCATTTATTCAAAATATTGTCATTTAAACAATAATCTACCTTGTTATGTAAAGATTTTATTCAAATATATCTATTACATAAAAATATTTTAAGTACATACGTACTTAAAATTTATTATGTAATTTTCATTTTTGTTTTTGAGGGCATACTCTTCATAAAAAAAAAAAAATGTTAAACCTTCTGGAACTTCTAAAAAAAATACATTCCTGAAAAAAGAAAAAAGTATTCATAAAAATTGGGATCAAAAAATAAAAAAATATGGCGACAGATCGATGCGAGTGGCTCTTATCAAAAGGGATGTTTTTTTTTTTTCTCAAGGCCGATTCTGACGCACCGTGAATTTTTGTGTCGAGCACACGTGCGGAAATGTCTTCAGAACTTCTAATATTATTTGCATCATCCTTGTCTTGTCTTCCATTATTTCCATGTTATCTTTTCTTCTTTCTCTTCTTCCTTTGTACATCCTCCTTATCAGAGGATACATGAATTTATTAATTCACTTTTCTTAATTTTTTTCAGCTGTTCGCGAGGGAAGCAACAATTCGCGTTAAATGAAATGAAATGAATGGAAAGGAAATGAATTTTTCTCAAAACAAAAAAAAATATAGGAATTTTAGGCGCGGAAAAAAGATGATAAGAGATTATAAGGAATGGAAAAAAAAGGAAAAATGGAGTTTCCACAACTCTTCGAGCACGCAGGAGCCACGCCCAGGACACTCGCGGCGGACATCTTTAATATCTCACTTTACCCTCCACACCCCTTTGCGCAATAAAAACTACTCGAGGGGGTTTATTGATCAAAAAGTGCTGAAATATCATCAACTCTCCCACTGATATGTTATTTTGTCATTGGTTACAAGGATTCATTCATTTAAACTTCAATGATGTTTAGTAAGTTAAACTTCATGTCTCATATATATACCTATATAGTTTTTTCGATTTTAAATCGAAAGATGTGGGAGGAACAAAATTTTCCTCTTTTATTTAACTACATTTTGATTGGAAAAAATTACATCTTTTTTTTTATTGCTAAAAGTTAATTTTTATTTTTTCTTTTTATTTTAACGAAATATTTTATTTATTTATCTATCCAGTTCTTCGTTTATTTTTATTAACAGAATTTTTAATTTTTTTGATTGATAATTTATTTTTGAATATATAGAGAACTTTTTTGTTAGCAAACTAGGTATTATATAGTAGACTTGTCTATTGAAAGAGAAATTTCTAAAAATAGAATTCCTTTTTTTTCGGGACAAGAATAAGTATATCGCTTGATATAGGAGTTCGTAAAAAGTTTCCCTCTCACAAACATTTCTTTGCTAATCAATACCGAAGTCTGGTAGCAACAATCGCGTTTTGGTGCCAATAAATAGATTTTACTTTTAAAGAAATTTCCAATCGTTCCGAATTATTCTATTTGTTTTTAAGAAATTTTTTATAAATTATTAAAATTCTTCTTTTTAATTTTTTTTTTCAAAGTTTATTAAAAATTGTTAAGTAGTTAAATTAATTACAAAACGTAATTGAGAAAATACCGAAAATTTTAATTAAAATTCTTTAAAATTAGAAATTTAATTACACTATATTATTAAATTAAAATAGCTTTTTAATTAGATCAATTTCAATAAATTAATTTTTGTTATTATAAATTCATTCGTTAATTTGATTTTTAAAAAATTAATTTAAAAAAAATTTTTAAATTAATTTGATAGTTTATTAGAAAATTTTGATCGAAAAATTTGTTTTTTAGTTAAATTTATCATAAATTATTATCAATTTTGTGAGGGTGCAAATTTCCTTATTAAAAATAAAATCAGATTAATAGGAGATGATACTTATACGTCCTTGAAGATTATGTATTGATATTTATAAATTTATTGATTACATACTCTATAGGCGATGTAAAGACATTTAAAGATACTACATATTTTAGAATTTATAGGTCCTACAATAATGCTATTTATAGAAATTGCAGAAGATTCTTAGATATATAATTGTTTTTTAAGAAAATATTGAGCGATTATATATACTACTCTTATTCTTTTTTAGAAGAAAAATAGACACAGAGATTATTAATCATAAAATTTGAAATTTTAATCAATTTCTTAAAATAAAAATTTAGAATTTCCATTTTTTTAATTTTAAAAACAAAGTTCAATTTAAAATTTTTTTCAAAATTATTTTCCTCTTAAATATTTTATTTTTTTAAATTAAAATTTTTTATTGAAAAGTTGAAATTAATTTGTCTAAAGTATAGGAAATAAAATGATTTTAAATTAATTTGTACAAAATTAGAATTATATCTTTTTCTAAATCTTTTCACGTCTGGTCATAAAATTGAAAGTGAAAGTTTCCATAAGTTCTAGTTAAATAATTTGTTCAACAAAAAGCATAAATTATTTTTCTAATTAATATTAAAAATTCTGTTAAATTTTAAATAATAATTATTCTATTAATTTTCTTAAAAATGCAAATATTTAAAAATTAATTATTGAATTTCTTTGATGATGGTGTATACCCAACTGATAAAATTTTAATTATCAAACAAACAAACTCAATATAATACAGGTGTGGAGATATTGTAAATAATTCCAAATAATACTCACTGTACTTTTTTTTTTATTTATTTATTTTATTCAAAGATTCGATGTACCAATACAATAATTAGTATATTAACTAATTAATCAAAAGCTTTTTTTTCGTGTTCCTAGTGCGTGGCCGCGATTATGAATAGAGATACGGAAATTATATATATATCAAAAAAGAAGAGAATAAATTATAGGAATTTTATCAAAAAAAAAAAATGAGTAAATAAAATATTTTCAAAATGGTAAAATAAACAAATTACAGTAAAGGAAATGAGTATAATAAATAAAAGAAAGATTTAAAAAAATATATGAAAAATCAGGAATTAGGAAAAAATTGGAGAAATGGAAATTAACATTTCCTTTGGAAAATTATATATGAAAAGAAAATATAAACATAACAGCTGGATGAAAATGAGGATAAAAAGACATCAGATATCAATATAATTCAGAATTAATATAATTATAATAATAATTAATTCAACATTAGGCATAATAATTTAAATAACAGAAAGACAAGAAGAAAAAAGTAAAGAAACAAATGAAACATACCGGTTTTTAACGATGAAAATCAGTGGTTGGAGGATGCTGAGACTTTAGCGGCAGAATGGAATGTAGAAGGTTTTCTTACGGCGTTGTTTTAGAAATGTGTCGCCGGGGTCCGTTATTATTATTATTATTATTTTTTTTATAGTAATTAAATAACAACTTGAATCTTTTTTTTCTATTTTGGATTATAACACTCTAAAAAACTTTTTAAGTCTCTTTTTTCTCTCTCTGTTTTTTTTAAAAATCTTATTCTTTCCCTCTCTCTTTTTTTTTTTTTACTTTTTCTCAAATGTATAAAGTGAACGCGTGTCAAATATCGAACCCTGACTTATTAATTAGATAATTAAACAGCCTTTATTAATAAGCAGTTTATCAAAAAAACGTCCACGCCCAAAAATCTCCGTTCTCTCTTCATAAAAAACAATCTTCCAGTTGAAGACGCTTTAAAACTCCGGTAGATGAGGGGGAGGGGGAAAAATATTTTTTTCTTCAAAAAAAAAAAAATTATATTTTGGCGGACCTTTTTTTTTATAAATTCTCCACGAAGTAGACGCCGACGGGAAAAGGATTTAAGGGCGGGGGGAGGATTTTAAATATCTCTCAATTATTATTATTAATATGAAATTTATTTTAAATTAAAAGCAAATTTTTTTTTATTATTAAATTGCGTTCATATAAAAATAAAATTTAATATGCGATTTTCCGTTTATTTTTGCAGAAGAGAAGAGATTATTAACGAATAAGTGAAACGAAAAAGTAAAAGGATTCACTGGATTTTTTTTTGGAAATTTTTTCCAATTTAATAAGTCAACAAATGGAAGTATGGACAATCAAAAAAAGAAAAAGAAAATAAGTAAGGGATATTGAAAACGAATCGACGATTGAACGAACGTACGGACGATATAATAAACCGAACGAACGAACGAACCAATATACGGATATTATAATTAATTATAAGTAAAGATACAATAAGTAAGAGAATAATATTGCGGGTAACGGTGTCTACAACGCAATGCCTTTATGTGGTGCGATAACTAAACTGACGGGAGGTTTGCAGTCCTGGGCGACTGCACCCTCGACCTATCCTCGAGTTGCCCGGAAAGGGAGAAGGAGAGAGAGAGAGAGAGAGAGAGAGACACACACACACGGATCGAGTGCTTTTACACGAAGGTGGCGCGAGAACGCGAGAGAGAGAGAGAGAGAAGGAAAATTTCACAAAATTTGAGACGAAGAGAGATAGTGAGAGAGAGTTGCCACCCTACGAGTTCGCAGGCGCGGATTCTGTTGATAAGGGTAAGAGAGAAAAAAGGCAGTTTTACTCCAAGAGAGAGGGGTGGGGATATTCGCGTCGTTTTTCACCGCGTGAAAAATCGCGGGTGTCGCGAGTAGGATGAGAATACAGATATATAGAGTCTGTTGAAGATTTTTTTTTAGTCTCTAAAAGAGTAATATTTTTCGGTAAGGGTGGTTTCCTCGGGAAATGGGCCTTTTTTTTTTTTTTTTTTTTACCTTTCCAGTCTTTCGAATTTATGAACCTCGATAAGAGAGGGTAATTTTTTTTTTTCAAACGAATCTTATATTTTCTATTTTAATTAATTTCTATATTTTCATATAGATTTTTTACAAATAGAAAATAAAGAAAAGAGAATTTTAGAACTTTGTTATAGAAAAAAAAAAAAAAATACCATACTATTTTGCCATTAGTCCTGCGCGCTTGATATCATCAAATGGGGTTGTTTTATTCCAACGCGTGGCTTTTGTGCCTTTACCCATGCATAATTTATTCTTAGAGAGAGATATATGGATATAGATATACATTGTCTTTGTATATAATAGAAGGTAGACTAACCATTTTTAATGAGTCATGAACATGTGAAGAGAGAGAGAGAGAGCGAGATCGATGCTAATAACCGTGCACTCTATTTTCCGTGTACACGAAATTAAATCAATTTTATTTATTTTAACCAAATTTGTTTTTAGAAATTTTTTCAATCTAGTATTATATTTATCATCCCTATGAGAGAGATCTATTTCAGCATCCCTTGCGAGGAAAAAAAAAAAAAAAACACCCCGCCTATTCAGTAACATATGTTCAATTTTTTTTTTAACACTGTGACCTTTTTTTTATTTTATATAGATATAAAAAAAGTAAAATATTATTTTTGATTTTCAGAAATAAGGAGTGAGTGTACGTGATGCAATTAGAAATTCAAACGAAGGGTGAAACTCGTCGCCTCCTGAGCATCAAGGCTTTGATGTTTATTGAACTCCAGAAATTGCGTTTGGTCTCTCTCCTCCATCCTACGCCACTGTCGCAAACTAGGATGATGATGAAACCAAAGGGTGGGTTCGGTAGGGGTTTGATTATCGATTCCCTGGGTACGCTCTCAGTCATTCACTCCGTGTTCTCTCTCTCTCTCTCTCTCCCTCTGTCTGGAAACTACCCCATCTTTCTCTCTCCCTTTCTATATATATATGAAGCCAGGGATACCAACATTCAACACACCCCGGGATAAATCCACTCCCACCCCCTTTAGATTTTGAAGCCACCCCCGCGCGATTTTCTTTTTTTTTACTCTGTGTGCGTTGTGTAAAATTGCGCTTGCGTGAATTAGAGCAAAAGGGATGGGAGAGAGAGAGAGACAAAGGAAGGGGTTGAAAATTGCAAAAGAGGGGATGAAAACGCCGAATATATAGCTATATATATATATATATTGGAGTCAACTCTAATGCGAGTGCCAACTGTCAGGGTTGCCAACCCCTTTCCACGTGTAAAAGGGCTTTTACTACATCGTAGAACTTGGAGGCAATGCAATTGGTTGAACGACCCTGAGAATGCCACTAAAGTTCAACCGAGGTTGCTTAAAAAACATCGAAAAAAAAAAAGAAAAACTCAAGTGGGCCTCTTTTTTTTTTCGTTGGAATTTGTCAAAGGGGTGGTTTTCCTTTTTTTTTTTTTTATTCTCAAAAGAAACATTGGCAATGAATGAAATAAAATTGAATTTTTTATATATTCGAAATTTTTAGCAATATTTTATAGTATAGAAATTTTTTATTTTTATAACGGAATTTTAACAAAAATTTTGCAATTAATGAAAAAAAGGAAAGAATGAATAATTCTTACAGTTCAAATAATTAGGAAATTTTTTTTCAATTTTCAAAACTTACAAGATTTTTTTTGAAACATTTTCAAAATTTGAGAAACCTTTCAAAAAATATAATAGAAAAATATTTTATTCTTTTGAAAATTTTAAAATCTTTTCACATTGATAATATATTAATTTTATAGTAAAATCTATTTTCGTTTTTCAATAAAACTTAATTAAAGAAAAACAAAATTGGGAGAATATTACATATATTATGGAAATTTGTAAAGAAATATAATTGAAAAATTGTATATAATTTTTGTTTCCTATTTGAGAAAAGAAAACAAAATGACAAAATAATTGGAATAAAATGGATTTTTACATTAAAATATATGTTTCTGTTTTTTTTCCAGGGCTTATTGCAATCGTGAGGAAGAGTAATTGGAAATGTATAAAGAGAGATCTAATTTCATATATACACAGAGGAGGAACATACATTGCATTTAAAGAAACACAACATACACGCATATCGCATAGGAATATCATTTTATCGATTTAACAAAACCAAGGAAACCGACTTAGCTGGCCAAATGTCCCCAAGTTTTTTGGGGAACCTGAATCGTCATCTTTTGCAAGCCAACAGTGTTGTCCTCGTCCTGCCGGTTTAAATATGTCGGATAACGAGTCTGGTATGTATATATATATATATACACACATGACCAAAAACATTATTGTTGTAGTATATTAAAAGCCTGATCTATTCGTAGAGTCACGAAGGTGCGGTGCGATTCTCTAATATATAACGTTTTCGTGCGTGTTTAGAACCTTGTCGGATCTTTGCAATTTTCCGGTTGTCCGTCTGGACTTTTGAAAATCTCTCAACTTCTCCGGAAATCCTTGCCATTTATGTTGCTACTCAATATTCACCCTCATATTTCTTAACGCTCACTTTTTTTTAATATGCAATTATTTTTTTTTTATCAGATTATTTTTTTTTTCTTTTTAACTTTTTATTTTTAATAAAAATTGTATGGTGGCTTTTTTTACAATAGAGAAAATCATGTTTAATTGTTCTTCGCTGAAATATCAATTATTGGATTTTTTTTCAAATTTTTCCGTGAGAATTTGAAATTAGAAACCGAAATTCGATTCTCGCATTTTGGAGTACGAATTAATCAATATTAATTAAATCAGTTTACAATGATTAATTTTACCATATTTACTATTTTTTTAAATAATTTATTAGTGCGATTTTAATTTTTTTTTTAAATTTCAATTTTTGTTTTCTGTTTTCTCACGTCGATAAAAAGTCATTTTTTCAGCGGAGCAATTTTTCTGTCTATTCATTTTTTCCCTTTAAATTAATAAATACACGAGTGTTTTTTTTTATATATATATATTTAATTAAATATTAATAAAATGTATATGTTTTAGCTGGCGGCAATTTGAAAGTTGATAGAGTAATCGAATAAAAATGGATTGTATATATATATGTATAAGTCTTGAGGTCAACCTGTTGTATTCTAAGATATGCCATCGGAGTTCAGATATTTTTGTCCTTTAATAAGGGTGAGGAGTTTCATTGACTTCTTTGAGAGTTTATATATTATATAAAGTTCATGGTATAGTTCCTTCTTCCGTATACACCTGAGTCAGGAATAAATTATAGATAAATGACGTCAATGACTTGAGACATATTTTCATCTATAACTTATAAACTTTATTATCCGCGCGTTGAAACTTTAGCAATATAAATATATAGATCCTATATATATATATATATATATGAAAATTCTAATGGCTTTAGTTGAAGAACGTTATTTATCCCCAGGTATGTCTATAAGACACTTTAGAAATACAATGAATCTTTTTTGTATTCTTTTTATAGAATTCGAATTTATTTCCCTCATTTTCATTTTACAATATATAAAACTATAGACAAAATATAACCATAAAAGAACTGACAAAGTAATAGAAATTGAGTTAATTTTTTTTTTTATATAAAAAAAATTACAAGTTTTTTTAATTAAAAAATTATTTTTATTAAATTAGTAATTTAATTTGAATATTAATTTAATAATGAGAGAAGAAGGGGAAAGATTAAAAAGTATAAGAGAATAGTAATTAAGAGAATTTGCGAGCCACATGGCAGTTGAGGAAATGAGGGAAATTCCTTGGGATGACCTATCAAAGCTTTTGCCACGCGAATCCTAAATTTCGAATTCTCGTGTGTGCAAACCTCGTCACGAACCAAGTCACGTGAAGATCGGACGTAACGTGATTCTCACCCACGAGGTGTTTAATATATATATCACACGCTAACTAACCATCACCTAGTTGAAAATTATCAGTCGTTTTTGGTATTCTCAACGAGGAGGTTCTAAAAAAAATGACCCACGAAGGTCGCGATCCTCTCGAACACACGAGTCTTTATCAGAGAGCTGGTTAAAAAAAAATTTTTCAAAAAAAATTTAAAATTTCGAAAAATTATTAAATTTTTAATAAAAAAAATTATTTTTTTTTCCAGAGAGCGAGGACAGTGAGGCGGAAGGTGGTCTTGGAAATGTGAATAAATTAGTGATACGTCCACCAGGTCACAGTGGAAAGGCAAAGAAAGGACATCTTTGTTTTGACGCTTCTTTTGAAACTGGAAATCTTGGTAGAGTTGATCTTGTCTCTGAATTTGAATACGATCTTTTTATACGGCCTGACACCTGTAGTCCACGCCTAAGGCTTTGGTTTAATTTCACCGTTGATAATGTGAGATCTGATCAAAGAGTAATATTTAATATTGTCAATATTTCAAAAAGTAAAAATTTATTTCGCAATGGAATGACGCCACTTGTTAAAAGTAGTAGCCGACCAAAATGGCAAAGAATACCAATGAGACAAGTATTTTATTATAAATCGGCACAACATCAAAATCATCATATTTTAAGTTTTGCATTTGCATTTGATCGTGAGGATGAGGCATATCAATTTTGTCTAACTTATCCATATTCTTATACACGTTATTTGGGACATTTGGATAATTTGGCATTAAAATATTCATGGGTGAGACGTGAGAATTTATCGTGTTCAGTGCAAAAGAGAAAAATTGAATTAATAACAATTGGATCAAATGAAAAATGTGATGAGCATCCACGTAAAGTTGTTGCTGTTTTATCGAGAGTACATCCTGGTGAATCGCCATCGTCATTTGTTTGTCAGGGACTTATGGATTTTTTAGTTAGCTCACATCCAATTGCCAAAGTTCTTCGTGAATATGTTATTTTTAAAATTATTCCCATGCTCAATCCAGATGGTGTTTTTCTCGGGAATTATAGGTATGAGATTTTTTTATTTAAAAAAAAAAAAAAATAAATAAATTGAAAAAATTAATTTTAGATCCACGCTCATGGGAATGGATTTAAATAGATCTTGGAATCGAATTTCGGGTTGGATTCATCCGACATTGGAGGCAACGCGATCACTTTTGGAATCATTGGACAAGGATCATAAAACACCATTGGATTGTGTTTTGGATCTTCACGCTCATACAAATGCGACTGGTGTTTTTGTTTATGGCAATACTTACGACGATGTTTACAGGTAAAGGTTTTATGATAAAAATTATGGAAATTTTCTTTTTTTTTTTTTCTTTTTAATTTTGCAAATATATGCGTAAAACGGCTGTCAGCCCCTTAGGTACGAGAGACACATTGTCTTACCGAAATTACTTGCTCAACATGCCGAGGACTACGAGGCTGGAAATACGATGTATAATCAGGATTTGCATAAATCCGGAACTGCTCGTCGCTACCTTTGTTCTATTCTCAGTGAGCATGTGAATTGTTATACAATTCTCGTCTCAATGTATGGATATTCACGAAAGGGAACAACTGACATTTTACCGTACACGGAGGAAGGATGTATCCTTTTTTTTTTGTTTTATTTTTTATAATTTGAAATTTTTTCTACTAAATACAGATTGAAAATTTTTAATTTGAATCAATGGAAAGTTTAAAATTAAATCTAACATTAAGGATAATTTGTGTAAAGCTTGTTTTGCATGGACGAGTTTTATTGAAACTTTTCAGAAACCTCAGTGCACCACTAGGTCTTCGCATCTAGTTTGGCCTGATTAGTCACTCGTGTTAAAGAGTGATCTTTGTTAGATGGATACAATAAAAAAGAAAATAAATTAAAGTGAAAATAAATTTCACGAAGAATAATTAAAAAGTTAATATATAAACTATCGATTAAACAATTATTGTTTTTCGTTTTAAATAATTTATTAAATATTAGAATTATTTTCTTTTTGAAAAATGAAATTTTTTTATTATTAATAGATAAATGATTTTATTTTGAATGTGGAAAATAAAAATTTCTTAACTGTTAAATAGATTACAGAGTGGGGAGAAATTTGGCGAGGGTATTTTTAGAATATTACAAGCTAACAGGATTGATTCCCTCGAGTTTGCCGGATAAGCCTTCAGCGAAACGAGGACGTCAATCTCGACAGAGATATCGAGTTCCTCGGGATCCTCGTCCCAGGACAGCGAGAACTCCAGCGCCTCTGCATTTCACCAGCATCCACGAGTGAATATAATTTCCATTCAATTATAATTTGTGCAAAATTTCAATATTCTTTTTTTTCATTCGTTTTCCATAATATTGAAAATTTTATTTTCAAATTTGAAAATAAAATTAAAAAGAAGAAAATTTTCTTTTTCGAGTGGAAAAGAATTTTAATTCTTCTTCTTCTTGCCTTAGATTTTTTTTTTTTTTATTTTTTCGTTCATTATTGCTTTTATTTGTAATTTACAGGTACTTCCGTGAAATGCCTGTAGCGGAGCCGCGTTACCGATCGATGAGCGGTACGCGAATGAACGTCGGCGTGCCGGGAACCGGAAGTGGGGCCGGGATTGGAACTGGAACGAGTGGCGGCGGTGGCAGAAACCTAAGCTACAGGTTCCGGAGTCCCGGGGCACCGCTCGTCGGCAAAATAGCCGAGCCGAGACGCTCCACGGAACCAAAGCTCACCATTATCGATTTCAATCAGCTGACAAAGGGTGGTTTAGACCTGGCTACAGGAAAGAACAGGGCAAAGATCGTCAGACGAGCCTCACCTCGACGTTTACTTTCCAGACGACCTCGCAGATAATTCACAAAGATTTATTTATTATTTATTTTACACGTTAGAATGAAAAAAAAAAATCACAATATTACACACAGTATGGAAATTTATTTCTCTCGCTGATTTTTTTAATTCACAAAAAAAAAAAAAAAATTTTTGCAATTTACAAAATAATTTAAATGTCAATTAAATTATGCTAATTTTTAATTTAATTAAAAATCAGAAAGAAATTCTTTTCCCCCTTGTGTAATTTTAAAAAATATTTTTATCTCAGAATTTTTTTAATAATTTTTTGATATTACAAATTTTTCTAAAATATTGCTCAAAAATATTTGCTTAATCTTCCAGTCAGATTGATGATATGAGAGGTAAATTAAGATATTTAATATTTGAAAAAGAATTTGAAAGATTTTCGATAAAATCGGAAGATTAGAGAATTTTTATTCCGAGTGCTTCCAAAAGTAAAAAAAAAGAAAAGAAATTGAATTAAATGGGAAGAAAAATACGATTTTAGAATTAGTTTCTTCGTCTGACTAAACACAATTTTTTCTCCTTCGTGATTTAAACGCTATTGCTGATAGTTTCAATGTATAATTACATCGAGTATTAAAAGATGTGTCATAGAATTATAATTAACATATATAAATCATAATTATAAAAAATAGTAAAAAGTATTATCCAAGTTATAAAAAATATTTAAATATTAATTCTACAAATCTGTTATGAATCTTACAATTAATATCTTTAATGTTCAATTTTTAAACATATTAATGTTAATTAATTCATTTGAAAAAATAATATAATTCGAACAAGAAAAATATGAAATTTCTTTCTAATTTTTTATTTTCATTTCAATTTTTTAAATATTATTTTGATTTTTAATACTCTTTACTTTTAGTTTAAAATTAATTTTCTTTTTAACTATTTTATTTTAGCAAACGGAAATCACTAACCTGGAATGAATAACTGCAACCAAATTTTTTGAAGAGAAGTTTTAATTCCCTCGTTGTTTACGTATACGGCTGAAATGTGCGAAGGTATACTCAGTCCAGAAACTTGAGTAGATTTTTATCTACACTCGAGAATTTTTTTTTATATTGATTTATTCAAGTATGTAAAAACTTTTTCGTTTTTTAGCAATTGAATTTTGTTTTATTAAAAATTTTTTAATGCGAACTATTTTCTTTTTAGACTTATTTTTTTTGAAACCCAATGGAAGTTGAATCAATTTTTTTTGAAGAAACGAATCGAATGAACGTTTCCAAAAATTTATTATTTACTTTTTTTAACTGAAGAGAATAACTAAAAAACGAATAAATTAAATGAAACTAGCGAAAGAAGGGAGCAGACAAGCGGCCAGTTGCGTCTAACCCTGGACTCGAGGGAACTGGCATAGTTGAATTGACATCCCTGGCTCGCCTAAAGGTCGTCGTCGTTTCGCTGGGGATGAATCAGGGACGAAAATCACTTGATTCGTACCCGGGATTTCTCTCGTGAATTCATGGTAATTAAAATAGAATTAATTTTTTCTAAAATTTTCTTCAATTATCATTTTAATAAATTATATAAAAAAATTTTTAGTTAAAAAATTTAAATTTAAAATAATTTTCTAGATATTTTTATATTTCCTTTTTTTATCATTTAAATAATGCTTCATATTTCATTCATTTTGTTAAATAAAAAAAATTTATTTAATTAATATCGTTATATTTTAAAAATTTTTCAAATTTGTCAATTTTAGAAATAATATTAAAAATTTGAACTATTATTCTATTAACCTTTTTTTTTACATATCCACTAATTCGATAATTCGATTTGGAAAAATTATTTTTATGAATGTAAATTTAATTATGTGATAAAAATTAATTTTTATTCTTCTCAATTTTGTGAATTTTAAAATTGTAGTTTTTATTAAATTGAAAATTTTTTGTTGGGTTGTGTTATAGAGATGATGGTGTTGGTAATTGTACATTTGATGGTATGGGTGATGATTCCAAGATTGGGGTTGGTTGAGAGAAGGGCGGTGGTCGTTGAACCAACCCAAACAGGCTGGATCTATCTGCGTGGACCTGGTGCGCGAAAATCCTTTCTCGCTTCTCCATACATACATATATGCCTATATTCTCAATTTACCTCGTCTCCAGCATCCTTTCCTCTACTAATACATTCCAGGGTCCCAGGAGAAGTTCCATCAGGATCCCACAGCATCCCTGATACTTGGATAGTCCTGGTATTTTTTTTTTTATTTTTATTTCTTTTCTCCTAAAAACATCTTTTTTCCTCAAGAATTTCGTAAATTTTCAAAGAAAATATTTCGATATTTTTAGATAAAATTTTTTATTTCTGAATTTAAAGATTTTTTAAATTATACAATTTTTTCAAAAATTCAAATTTTTATGGATATTTTAATTATATTATTTATCTAAAACTTTACAATACGTAATTTTAATTATATTATTTATCTAAAACTTTACAATACGTAACAATTTTTAATAATTTAATTTTATAATTATTAAAATTAATTTATTTATTATTTTAATATTAATATAAATTTTTGTTGAATTTGGAAAAAAATGAAGTAAATTAAAAAATCTCAGATATAATTGAATTCACAAAGTAATTGAATTAAAAAAATATATTCAAAATAATTAAATTGTAAATTAGTTGAATCTTAAAGTATTATTTTTTTTAACAATTGAAAGTTTAATATAATTGAATTTCTGACCAATATTTAACTCATTAATTTTTGAAACGAAAAATGTATATTTATCATTTAAAATTGAATATTGTCTTGGACAGAAAAGTGATTTTTTTTTCTCATTTCTCAAGAGAAATCTGAAACGAAAAATGTATTTTTGAATTCTTGAGAGATTTTTTAAAACCTATTTTCTTTTGTCTTTGGGGAATTTATTCCTGAATCTCTTGAAAGTTTGTTTTTAATTTAAAATGAACTAGAAAAAAAAACATAATTTAAATAAAATTTTTTTTTAATTTATAAAGAGTGTTTTTAAAAATAAAATTTCTAATCTTTTTGGTAAATGAACAATATTTGTAAATTGTTTTTATTTTATATGTGAATGATAGAACTTTAATTATATCTTTATATAAATTATTTAACTTTGAATAATTAAATTTTTTATTAAATATTTATACATAAAAGTTATAAAATTTGAATCGGTATAAATAATTTGTTGTTTTTTTTTTCATATTTTATTTGTCAAAAATTTAAAAATTGACGGGAATTTTATACGCACGCGTGATAAACGATTGCAGCGACACATATTAATAGTAACAAGTACTATTTTTTTGCGTGTCTTCTTGGAAAAAAGATCAAAAGATAAATTTTTTTCCTAAATTTTCGGAGTTACTTCCTTTAAATATAATTAAAATAAAAAGGGTGCTTCAAATTTTGTGACAATGGCTGACTTTTTACATTCTGAAGCAGAAGAGAGTGATGTAAGTAATAAATTTGATAATTTTATCTATTATAGTGCAAAATAATTTATTTACAAATCGATGTCGTAAAAATAGTTATTTTTTTTTGTTAGATAAACGTATTGCAAAAATTGTGCTTAAAAAATATTTTATTCTTTTTAATTAGTTAAATTCATTTTTACAACTTTTATTACTTCCCTAATGTAAGAAGGCATTTTTCTTTTCAATATGATGCTTTCGATAATTGCCTCTGTAAAAAATTTCCATAATTGTAGTATTGTATTTTTGTTTTTTACTCAAGTTTTAAATTTTTTTTTAAGGATGAAGATGAATTGGAACCCGCAGAGAGGAAAAAACTTAAAAAACTTAAAGCTATGGAAGAGAGCGACGAGGAAGATGAAGGTTAGTTATTTTTTGCATTGGTTATGTTTGCTAATTGTCACTCTTTTTTTTAGTATCGACTTTTTTTTTTTTTTTTGTAATTTCCCATTTTTTTTTTCCTCAACATTAGAGATAAGTTTTTAAAACATATTTTCCAATTTTATTTGTATTTTAATTGTGTTTCTAAATTTTTGATAAAATTTTTGTTTTTTTTTCGCTCCGAAATGAAATAGATGATGAAGATCGTTTGCGGGAAGAATTAAAAGATTTGATTGACGACAATCCAATTGAAGAAGATGACAGTGATGGTGAGGATAGTGATGGTTCGAAAAAGAGGAAAAAAAGTGACGAGGAGGATTTTGATGATCGCCTCGAGGATGATGATTATGATCTTATTGAAGAAAATCTTGGGGTCAAAGTCGAAAGGGTAAAAATTTTAAAAACATTTCCTTTTTTTGTGCATATTTTTCAAAAATCAGCAAGGAATTATACAAAACATATTTTTTTGCAGAAACGATTTAAACGTCTTCGAAAAATTGAAGATGAAGAATCTGAAGAAGAACAGGAACACGAAGTGGAAGAAGAAAGAGACGCAATTGCAAATCAATTATTCGAAGGTTCAGGAGATGTAAGTTTTTTTATTTTATTAATTAATTTCATTTTTTTGTATAATTTCCTTTTTTCATGTCTGCGAAAAATAGGAACGCGATATATTGGTAAAAATTTTATTATTTAATTTAGAATTATTGAAATAAAATACTAAAAAAATGAAATTTATCAGGAGGATGAAAGGAGTGAACGAAGTCATAGACCGGAAATAGAAACTTTTGATGAAGAAGGCAGCGAGGGTGAATATTCAGAAGATGATTTTATTGTTGACGATGATGGTCGACCAATTGCTGAGAAAAGAAAGAAGAAAAAACATATCTTTTCGGATGCGTAAGTTATTTTCAAAATTTTGTGAATTTTTATATTTATATATATATATTTATTATTGTTATTTATTTCAGTGCTCTACAAGAAGCGCAGGATATATTTGGTGTTGATTTTGATTACGATGAATTTGATAAATATGGAGAAGAAGATTATGAGGAGGAGGAAGATGAAGAGGAAGACGATTACGTTGATGAAGAGGCTGACATTGATAGACCCAAGAGACCGAAAAAACAGCCGAAAAAGAAAACTACAAAAAAGAGTATTTTCGAAATTTACGAGCCATGCGAACTTAAACGTGGACATTTCACGGATCTTGACAACGAGGTTGGTTTTATTTAACTAATTTGAATTGTCACTTTATAAAAAAAAAATTTTTTATTTCAGGTTCGTACCACAGATATACCAGAAAGAATACAATTACGTTCGGTGCCAATGACACCAGTTGCAGAAGGTTCCGATGAATTGGATCTCGAAGCAAAATGGATTTACGAACAAGCATTTCATAGGCCGACAATTTCTGTTCAAGATTCACATTTAAATGCCGAAGCAAAAGAGAGAGCCAATAAACCACCGCATACAATTGAAAAAATAAAAAAGGCCCTTGACTTTATGCGAAATCAATATTTCGAAGTGCCTTTCATTTCTTTTTATCGTAAAGAATATGTTTTGCCTGAATTAAATATAAATGATCTTTGGAAAGTTTATAAATTTGATGCAAAATGGTGTCAATTGCGTCAGCGTAAAGAAAATCTATTAAAATTGTTTGAGAAAATGAAAAATTTTCAACTTGAGGAAATAATGAAAAATCCTGATGCACCGCTACCGGAAAATTTACGTGTCATTAAAGACGATGATGTTGAACGTTTAAAAAATGCACAAACAAGCGAGGAATTAAATGATATTTATCATCATTTTATTTTATATTATAATCATGAAATTCCATTGATGCAAGAAGCTGTTAGACAAAAGGAGCGTGAGACAAGAAAAGAAGCGAAACGTCAAAAACGTAAACAATTGATACTTGAGGCAGAGGAAAATGGTGAAGAACCACCGCCTGAGGATGATGAGGAAGATGAGGAGGATGATAATGTTGATGAAATTTTAAAAAAAGCCGCACGAACAGGACCATATGAGATTTGTCGTAAAGCTGGATTAGAGAGTTTAGTGAAAAAATTTGGATTATCGCCGGAGAATTTTGCTGAAAATTTACGTGACAATTATCAACGACATGAAGTTGATCAAGAGCCAACAGAACCAATTATACTTGCCGAGGAATTTATTGGTCAAAAATTTAAAAATACCGATGAAGTTTTAAAAGCAGCACAATTAATGGTGGCATTTCAATTGTCACGTGAACCACTTGTGAGAAAATGTGTACGCGATATTTATATGGAGAGGGCAAAAATATCAATACGTCCAACAAAAAAAGGAATGAAGGAAATTGATGAAAATCATCCAATTTATTCAATGAAATATTTGAAAAATAAACCAGTACGCGATCTTATTGGTGATCATTTTTTAAAATTATTTACTGCCGAACAAGATAAATTGATAACAATTTCATTTAGTAATTCAATTGAGGGTAATACAAGCGCTAATTTTATTGAGGAAATGAAACAACTTTATTATCGAGATGAATTTAGTAAAAATGTTCAAGATTGGAATGCATTGCGAGTTGGAAGTGTTGAAATGGCACTTATGAAAATGGTAGGTATTTTTTTTTTTTGAAATTGTAGATAAAAAAAGTTAATTTAAATTTTGATTTTTACAGGTGATACCGGATTTGAAGAAAGAATTGCGGACAAATTTAATAGCGGAGGCAAAAGAATGTGTGATGAGAGCGTGTTGTCGAAAAATGTACAATTGGCTAAAAGTTGCGCCCTATAGTTGTGAATTTCCTGAGGAAGATGATGAGGAATGGGATACAAGTCGTGGATTACGTGTTATGGGACTTTCATATGTTAATGATTATTCACAATCGGCATTTGCTTGTATTATATCACCAGATGGTGAATGTACCGATCATCTTCGTCTTCCTCATCTTCTTAAACGTAAAAATAGTTTTCGTCGTGATGAAAAAGTAATGAAGGAAGCTGATCTATTGGCAATTAGAAATTTTATCGCTACTAAGAAACCACAATTAATTGTTATTGGTGGTGAATCACGTGAAGCATTAATGATTCAAGCGGATGTTAAGGAAATAATAACAAATTTAATTGATGAAGAACAATTTCCTAATGTTCAAGTGGAAATTTGTGAAAATGATTTGGCAAAAATTTACGCAAATAGTAATAAAGGTATCGCTGAATTTCGTGATTATCCAGAATTATTGCGACAGGCAATTTCATTATCAAGAAGAATGCAAGATCCACTTGTGGAATTTTCACAATTATGCACAGCTGATGAGGAAATACTTTGTCTTAAATTTCATCCATTGCAAGATCAATTGCCGCAAGATGAATTATTGGAGAATATTTATCTTGAATTTGTGAATCGTGTTAATGAAGTTGGTGTTGATATTAGTAAGGCAGTACAACAGGCGTATTGTGGAAATTTGGTACAATTTGTATGTGGTCTTGGTCAACGTAAAGGACAGGCTTTGATTAAAATTTTAAAACAAACAAATCAGAGATTGGAGAATAGAACACAATTAGTGACGGCTTGTCATATGGGACCTAAAGTATTTATTAATTGTGCTGGATTTATTAAAATTGATACAAATAGTCTTGGTGATAGTACAGAGGCTTATGTTGAGGTACTCGATGGATCGCGTGTTCATCCTGAGACTTATGAATGGGCAAGAAAAATGGCTGTCGATGCACTTGAATATGATGATGAGGATGCAAATCCAGCTGGTGCTTTGGAGGAAATTTTAGAATCACCAGAGAAATTAAAAGATTTGGATCTCGATGCATTCGCTGAGGAATTAGAGAGACAGGGCTTTGGTAATAAACGTGTGACACTTTATGATATTCGAGCGGAATTAAATAGTCGTTACAAAGATTTACGAGTTACTTATCAATCGCCAAATCCGGAGAAATTATTTGATATGCTCACTAAGGAGACACTTGAAACATTTTATGAGGGGAAATTAATTTTAGCGACTGTCATTGGTATTAGTCGGAGGAAACCACAAGGTGATCAACTTGATCAAGCGAATCCGGTGAGAAATGATGAGACGGGACTTTGGCAATGTCCATTTTGTTTGAAGAATGATTTTCCCGAATTGTCGGAGGTATGGAATCATTTTGATGCTGGCTCATGTCCTGGTAAGGCAATTGGTATTCGATTACGTTTGGATAATGGAATATCGGGTTATATACATATTAAAAATTTGTCTGATAAACATGTTGCAAATCCTGAAGAGAGAGTTGGACTTGGACAAATAATTCATTGTCGAATTATTAAAATAGAAGTGGAAAAATTTGGCGTTGAATGTACAAGTAAAAGTAGTGATCTTGCTGATAAGAAGAATGAATTTAGACCGCAGAAGGATCCATTTTATGATACTGAGATCGAGGAGAAAGATCGTCAGGTGGAGGAGGATGCAAAAAAAGTGAAACAACGACAAACTTATGTGAAACGAGTTATTGTTCATCCTTCGTTTCATAATATAAGTTTTTCCGAATCGGAGAAATTATTGCAAAATATGAAACAGGGAGATGCAATTATAAGACCGAGTAGCAAAGGTGCTGATCATTTGACAGTTACTTGGAAGGTGACAGACGGTGTTCATCAGCATATCGATGTACGTGAAGAAGGAAAAGAAAATGCATTTTCATTGGGACATCGATTGTGGATTGGTAGCGAGGAATTTGAAGATCTTGATGAAATTCTCGCACGACATATTAATCCAATGGCTGCTTATGCTTCTGAATTACTTGAATTTAAATATTATAAATCAAGTATCGGTGGTATTAAGGATAAAGCTGAAGAATTGCTCAAAACACAAAAGAAAGAAAATCCTGGCGGTATACCGTATATTATTTCAGCAGCTAAAAATCTTCCTGGAAAATTTTTATTATCCTACTTGCCACGTGTTCAATGTCGTCATGAATATGTCACTGTTTCACCGGAGGGTTTTCGATTTCGTGGACAAATGTTCAGTAAGGTGGCAGATTTATTGAAATGGTTCAAGGAACATTTTCGTGATCCTCTACCTGGTCAAGCGACTCCCAGCACTCCACGAGGAATGATGTCAACTAGAACTCCATATCATACACCAGGAGGTAATTTTTCTTTTTTTTTTTTTTGAAAAAAAAATGTTCCTTTTCAATTATTTTCTTTTTTTGCAGGTGTAAATCAGGAAGCAATTCAAAGAGTTGCACAAAATATGCCTCAACATATTTTAAGTTCACTTTCGCAAGTTGCGAATCAAAAAATATATCAACCACATACACCTAGTGCTGCGGGTTATAGTGGCATTCATACTTATCCAAATACGCCTTACACACCATCGGGTCAAACTCCCTTCCAAGCGATGACGCCTTATCGAACGCCACAAACTCCATTTTTACAACCAGCACCAGTTTCAATTCAACCAATTCATCACAGTAGTCCCAGTCTTTCGAGACCGACACCACCACCTTCAAACGCTTCAGCTGGAAATAATATGGATTGGAAAAAAGCTGCTATGGCCTGGGCACGTCAGGCCGGTTCTAAACCCTCGTAAGTAAATTACAAAATACTTCTTTTAAAAGAATAAATTATTAACAAAAAAATTTAATTTCAGTGGCAATACTCCAAGATTTGATGAAGATAGAAGAACTCCACGTCGCTATGAGAATGATTTTGATATAAGCGACAATTCATTTTCAAAAGGATCATCACGCGATAATACACCAAAACAATCGTTTGATGATAATAATTCATTTTCTTCTAGAGATAAAACACCAACTTATTCCTCATCATCGTCAACATTCCGAGGGAAATCACCATCATATTCAATGAATCAAAGAGGAAAATCACCATCATTATCGAGTAGCACATCACGTGGTAAATCACCATCATACTCGCGTAATAAATCACCGAAATATAAACAAAGTCCACGTAGCAGTAGCAGTAGTAGTAATCGTGGTGGTGGGAAATTTAATGCAAATACATCATCATCACGTGACAAGAGTCCAGCTTATGATGATAATCCATTTACAATTGGTTCATCGAGAGATCGACAGAGAGATGATGATAATAATGATGAGCAATCAGAAAAGAGTGATAATCCATTTACAATTGGTTCATCACGTGAAAAATTAAGAACTCCGTCGTATAAATCACCACGTAATAGTAGTACTCCGTTCACGAATTCTAGTCCAAGGAGTATGTCATTAAGTGGTGATGGAACACCACTTTACGACGAAAGCTAACAACATCGTTCTTTTATTATATCTCGTTCTTTATAGTTTTAGGCGTTGTTTAATCAAAGAAAATAGAAAAAAAAAGAAAATTTGCCTTTCGGTACTCTCTCTCTATTTCTAATATTATGGAGAATTGCTTGCAAAAAGCAAGAGAAAAGGAAGTCTTTTTTTTTGAAAAAAAAAGCATTTTCCAAAAAGGATAGTTTTTCTGTGATAGTCTTTTAAAAAAATAATTTTAAATAACTTTTTATTACTATTTATTTAAATAATTTATTATTATTTTAATATTCAATTTTTGAGTATATTTTAAGAATTTGTCAATTACTAAAATTGTAACAATTTCCTCTTTTTCTTGACTGAACTGAAATTCTTTTAAAAAAACAGTTGTTTAAAATTTTCCAAAATAGACAGTCGCAGATTAACTGAATATAATAATTAAGAGGACTTATTTATTATTAAATAATTTGTCTTCAGAGATTTAATTCTTCTTTCATGATTAAGAACTTCTCAGTTTACATAGATTTTTTTTTATGTATAGAAGAGAATTATTTTGAAGAATATTACAAAAGAATTGTATTTCTTTTTATTTTTTACTTACATCTAGTCATTTTTGTTTTTGTTGAAAATTTATTTATTTATTTTTTTTGTGTTTTTAATTTGTTGACATTTATGAAAAATTGCATGATATTGAAAATTTGTGAATATGTTTTATTGTTTTTATAAATTTTATAGTTGTTTCTTTTTCTCTTGCTTTTAAGATAAGACAATTCACGGGGATTTTAATTATTATTGACCTATGTCAATAATATTTAGTGCAAAATTGTTGTAATATAATTTTTTGTTTTGTCACATATGCATAATAATCGATTATGAAATATGTTAATTAGATGCCACATAAACTTTTACAAATGTCTTGAAAGAATTTTCCATCTCAAGCTTTTTATTTAGAAATATTTATAAAAAATATTGTTCTATAGATAATCAATTGTATATACATTTATATACAAAAAAAATTTTGTCATTTACAAATGGTAAAAGGAATTCGAAATTTTGTTTAATTTCTTTTTCAAGGCGATTTTTGCATTTAAATTTTTTTTCTGATTCAACTGAAATCGATAATAATCTAGTCTATTTTTTCAAAGTCTCGCGATAAACAAAAAAAAAAAATGCAAATTATTTACAAATCAAATGTGTCTTTTTATACATTTTTCATTGATCTCAGAATTTTAAGTACCATCACACAAAATCAAATTTTATGTGAACATTGATATTTTTATTATTACAATCGCCGTTTAATGATTAATTAGTTATAATTGTGAGGGATTATTTTAATGAACATAATTTGTTCATTTTTTGTTTTCTAAATCTACAAAAAGTATGCTCTTCTCATATATTTTTTACAATGGCTAAACGGTGAAATACATTATATGTATTACATTATATTATAATAAAATATATTCAAAGCCCTTTATCAAAAATTATTGTTTCATTTCAATTATTAAAACATTATATTTTTTAAATTAATGTAGGATAGTTATTTAACATTATATAGAGAAAAAATATTTTATTTTTTAACACTCTTGAACAATTACAATTTTTTTTTGATATATAAATATTTTTATTTCTTAAAGTAATCTTAAAAAACGATAAATTTATGTACGTAAATATAATTTACAAAATCAATCAATCAATCAACAATTCATCACTTTGAGAACACGAATTTATTTAATCAAAATATTTCTTAATTTTCAAATAACCGACATCTGATCATCTGATAATGTCATATTTCCATCTTGAGTATTTGTTTTATGAGTGAAATGAATCCTAGGAACGGTATTTCTCACTTTTTGCCTTTAAAAAGAAAGATTTTTTTTTTAATTAATATTCTTTTTATATTAAATATTTAGATATTTCAATTAAATTTGTTTTTGAGAATATACTTTTAAAAAAAACTTACAATTGTTTTGGGTTTTCTGTTCTTTTTTTAATTTTCTCAGGGAAATTTTTATTAACATCATCGTCATCATCATCATCATCATCATAGGAAATTCTTTGTCGTTTCCTTAATGTATACAAATGAGATCTTTGAGTATTCTGTAAAAAAAAAAAAAAAATGATACAATAATTATTTTATTCAAATGTAAAACAATTTTTAAATTAGTCAACGTACAATAGATCTCGTTTCATCTTCTTCGCTTTCGCTTGATTCAAATTTTAATTTCTGAGCGACTTTATTTTGAACGTGTCGTCCATCTGCTGAATTTAAAACTCCTTTCACTGTTTCATTAGTAGTTACAACTTGTTCTGGTGATTTCTGTATGGACAATATATTTTAATCATTAAATATTAATAGGAACAAAAAAAAATTGTTTTTGTCTTTAATTGTAAAATAAATTTTTGTTTATGTTATTAGTTTAAAGCTAAATTTTGATTTTCTGTAAATTTTTAAGAAATTTTAAACTCACTCGACATTTACTGGGACTACCAACCATTGAAGCCACAAATTTTTCCTTAGGATCGCCTGACTTATAAACAGAATCTCCATCTTTCGATACAACTCGTTCATCTTCTTTCAGAAAAAAAATTATTTATAAACTACTTTTTTTTAAATAAATAAAAATTCAATGAAAATAGAAAAATAACTCCATGAAATAGTTTTTTTTTTCAATTAAAACATTTTTTTTTTTTAATTATCTTTTTTTGTATAAAACAATTTTTTTTTTACCAGTCCAAAATTGAAGAGGAGGCAGAATACTTCTTCCACGAGAAGTGACTGTAACATAGTTTTGATCTTCGTTAGATTTTTGTGTACGTTCAACGATTACATTATTTTCTGAAATTAAGAAAAAAAAAATATTACTTCTTTTCAATAATTTTTTATTAATTAAAAGTATAAAAATTAATTAATATTAATAATTTGTACCTCCTTTTAATTTCAACCAAGTTGCACAAAAATGATCAATATTTACTGGACAACCTGTCCTGCATTGAGGCAAAAGTTCTTTAGGAACAACTGAAAAATAATAATAAATATTAATAAAAATCTAAAAATTTTAATTATTTTTTTTCTTACCATGTTTTTTATTATTTATCTCTCCGACTAATTTATAAAATTGATGATCTGCAGTCTCAATGACAAAAGGAGAAATTCTTTTTATAACTTGACTTGTGGTGAATTTCTTTTTCATTAGTTGGCCAACCGTGCTAAAAAAAAAATTTTTTTTTTCAATTAAATAATATAATTTATTATATCTCTAATTAATAAATATAGTCATTATTATTTTTATAAAAATTTTACTTCAATAAAGTTCCCTCGAAGGTGAAATGACATTTTTTCCCAACAATTGTAACAAGTGGATTCCAATTTTTTAAGAGTTTTGGATTCTCCTGTGAACCAAATGAAACTTGATTTGAATTTTCCTCAATTTTCTCCTCTAAATTTTGATCTATTTTCGAATTCGTTGTTTTACTAGATTGTTCTATTTTTTGTTCACTGTTTGAAAATTGATTCTTAAAATTATAGAAATTTCCCTTTTCTGTATTAATAATTCTTGGCTTTTGTTGTAATTGTTCTTTATTTAAATCGTTTACTGGCAAATTTTGTTGTACAACATTAATTTCCTTTCGTTGAAAACTATTTTTGAATTCATTATTGTCATTAATATTTTCCTTATTGATAATTGTTAATTTTCTATTTTCATTATTTTGCATTGTTGGCAATTTAGAGGAGACGGAAATTTTATTATCATCGTTAATACATCGATTTTCCCTGAGTAGATTTATTTTTTTTTCGTTTATAAAATCATCTTTTTTTGTTGTAGGTTCCTTTAATTTCGAATTTTGTGAATCTATTCGTAATATTCGTTCATTATCTGATGGAATTTTATAAATTTCATCATCAATTATACTGACACTTGAATCATTGATTAAATCTTTTTTAAGCTCTTGACTTTTATTTCGTGTTCTAATTTTTCCATTGGAATCATGTCTACTGTATCGTTTGTGATAAATTTTTGATTTTAATATTTTCTCTGATATTTTAGGCACACCGGCATATATTTCACTTTCTGAATCTGTTTCTTTTGCTTCGCAAGTTTTATCAATTTTCAAATTTATCGATTTCTCATTGTCATTTTTATTTATTAAATTATCATTAATTTCATTTTCACTATTTCTTTGTTCAATTTTATCGGTTATAATTTGTCTCATTAATTTTTTATTAATTTCGTTAGAATTATTTTTTTCATTACTCTCGACAGCATTGATTGTTGATAAAGAAAATGATGTTGAACATTTCCCCTCTAATGGTTGATTAATTAATTTTTTTAATTCAATTTCATCTAATTCACCAATTTTCACAGAAAGAATATTATTTAAATAATCAATTGTTTTACTAACACGTTGAACATATTCTTTAGGACATTTTTCATGTAATAAATTTTGTGTAATGATTGTAAGTTTATCCCCGAAAATAATATCTTTTAATGTTAATGCATAATTTAATGCCGTGTACAAATTACCAGAATATGAACGATCGGCACTGATATCAAATTGATTTCGACTTTCATGTAAACTTTTATTTTCTTTTTCATTAAATTGTTGAGAATTTTCATCATTATTTATTTGAATTGATTGAATTTTTTTTATTTTTATATCATTATTAATAATTTTTGTATCTTTCTCATGTTGAAAATCAGAACTATAACCAGATGATCGTTGTGGTGTTGATTTTTCCATGGAACTTAATTCTTGAAATTTTTTATCTTTTTGCATTTGTGTAATATCGGTTATTTCACTATTGAGATCATCGTCACTATAATTAACGTCCATTGGCCAGCGAAAATTTTCATTGCTTCCATGAGCAATGTAATTTTTCCATATTGCATGAACATTACGCCAATCGTCAGGAAAACCATTATAGAATTTTTGATAAATATATTTTGGTATTTCTGAAAATTAAATATTTTTAAAAAGTGTTTTCAGTGTTTTTAAATTTCTAAAAAAAAAGAAAAAAATTACCATTCTTTTCATCGATAATACTTCCATGAAGATGATAAGTGTGTTGAAATTTTGATTTAACTTTTGTTGGTGACAACATTTCTGCAACTGGTTTACTCCTGGCCCAAACTTCACTAAAATTAATAAATTGAATTAAAAAAAAATAAAAATCAAATTTTCCAATTAAAAATTTAAATAGCAAATTTATTTACTTATTGAGTGATCCTTTAATTAATAATTCTCCACGATCATTGAGAAAGACTCTCCAACGATGAAAATGTCGATCGACAGTTTTCTCTTTTTGCACATCAGTAGGATAGGCGAAATCTTCAGAAAAATCTTTACTTGCATTAATATTTGAGTGAATTTGTTTTTCTTGTAAAAAATTATTATTGTCGTTAGTTGATTGTCGATGAAATTTAACTCGTTCTTGTTGAGAATCAGATTTTTTATGAGGTGTTCGAATCCCATAAGAACTAGGTGGTGGCATAATTGCCTTGTCATTTGTATTTTTCTCAGAAAATTGTTTTACACTTGACGTTGCCATTGGTGAATAATTTTTTGTTTGTTTGTAAATAAGTTTTTTCAAATTTCGCGATGATGTCAAAATTTCACTATCAACTTTTGATACATGCGATGATGTGTAATTTAAATCTGATGAATTTTCGTTTATACTAGAACAACTTGACCATGGAATTTTTTGTATATTTTCATTTGCTGTCAAACGTTTTATTTTCAAACTTTTCGCTAAATTCTTAAATCGTTCTTCCTTTTGTAAATCGCCAAAATCAATCTAAGGGAAATATAGATTTTTTTTTTAATTTTCTATTCATTTATTAAAAAAATATTAAATATTTCAAATTCATTCCCATGGAAACGTAAACTGAGGCTACTTACATGACAAAAAGTAAAAAAAAAAAAAAAATTTCACTTATACGAATTTAATTATAATTAATTAATAACGTCTATTATTCAATGTTGTATTCACAAATAATATAATTTTTATACAAAAATTATACAAACTTGGTCTGTTTGATCCATTGCGTGGTGTCAGTGTATTTTCATCGCGCCATTTTATAACAACATAAACATAACCTCAATTCATAAAAAAGACGCCATCGTCGTCGTCTGCTAGAAGATTTAAACTGTCATCTGTCAAAAAATTTAAATGTTAATTATTTTTATGCTCATAGAAGATTTGTAATGTATGACGAAAATTCTAACTAATAATTTATTCCTTTATACGTTAATATTTGCATGTAATATTAAATATATTTTAAAAGGATATTTCAACTCGAATTCATTCAAAAAATTTCATTCAATGATTGTCCATTATTTTGTTTTGGACGAATCACGTGAATTTAGTAAAATAGTAGCCAATCAAATTTACGATGCTTGTTAAAAAAAAAAGTATGTTTAATGAATAACTTCATTCTAAACACCTGTCAAAATGTCAAATTTTGTTTTTGTGAACTTGAAATGTGTAATAAAAATTGTAACACAAGCATATTGTTGATTTAAATAAGTGTATAGAATAATATTTGCTTGTCATAATGCTCATGCTCAGTTGTAATTGTAAAAGATATTATTGATTCATTGTATATAACCAAACCTTTGATTCAAAAACAAAATCAATAAATTAAGAAACAGTAAAAATGTCATATCAATTAATAAACTATTTTTTATTAATAAATATCTTTATTGTTGGATTTAAGGCGGAAAATTATGAAGATTATGAATCTGCAGGTGATGTATTTATTGATAATTGTAATATTAAGATATAACCTAACTTTTATATGTTATTTACTATAATATTATACATATATTTTTGGCATATGTTATTATTAATTAAAAATAAGTGTTTTATATAGAATATTTTATTGTTTACTACTTTTTTTGTTAATTTGAAAATAATTTTCAATAAAAAAAACAATATTTTGTTAAACAATTAAATTGTTAAAAATAATAGGAAATATATTTTATGATAAAAAGTCAATGTAGAATAAATTTATCTTATCTTAAAAAAAAACAAATTTTTTGTTGATAAATGATTTTTTATTTTTGGTATATAATTAAAATAATTTACATATTTCAGATGTTGATGAACATGAACATTTCTTACAGTTATTGAAAAATTATATGAATAGTTATCGAAAACATAGAGAATTAGGGGACAATGACGAATGGTTAGGTCGTTGGCTTCCTGGTAGACTGTCAGATCCAACACCTCCTCCGAAAATTCTTCCTAAATTTCCATCTCAAGATTACTTAGAAAATCCATCAGGTATTGTGAAAATATTCAAATTATAGAAATTCAAAAAAAATTATTATTAATTAATGTAAAAAAAAAAAATCTCTTCATTTAAGAACATCAAGGAAATAAAGAATCTGAAAAAGATGAGAAATGGCTAGGTCGTTGGTTTCCTGGTAGATTGTCAGATCCAACACCTCCTCCGAAAATTCTTCCTAAATTTCCATCTCAAGACAATTTAGAAACAAATCCATCAGGTATTGTAAAAATAATTAAATTTATACAAGAAATTATTTATATAATTATAAAAAAAAATGGAAAAAAATTATTTAAAAAATCTCTCTATTTCAGAACATCAAGGAAATAAGGAATTTGAAAAAGATGACAATTGGTCAGGTCGTTGGTTCCCTAGCAAATCTTCAGATCCAACACCTCCGCCAAAAATTCTTCCTAAATTTCCATCTCAAGACAATTTAGAAACAAATCCATCAGGTATTGTAAAAATAATTAAATTTATACAAGAAATTATTTATATAATTATAAAAAAAAATGGAAAAAAATTATTTAAAAAATCTCTCTATTTCAGAACATCAAGGAAATAAGGAATTTGAAAAAGATGACAATTGGTCAGGTCGTTGGTTCCCTAGCAAATCTTCAGATCCAACGCCTCCGCCAAAAATTCTTCCTAAAGAGCCTCAACATATTTTACAACATCCTCATCCATCGGGAAAGATACCAATGGGTGAAAAATCTCCATTATGTGATGATGGAAAGACAAATTTAACAGTTGATTGGAATGAATCGCCAATTGATTACACATGTTATGGACGAAAAATCGATCCTAATTATGGAATTGATCCTCAATTTTATTGTGAAAAAATACCAAATAATTATGAGGTAAGAAAAAAAAAAATTATTTTATTTATTCTTATTATAATACCTTATTAATTTTACAGGCTCAACATAAATGCATGTCAGATGTTATTGAATACGATGAAGATCTTCCGTTGTAGTAAGTTAATTTGTGATAATTTATCCTTTTTCTAATAAAAAAAAAAAAAAAATGTATCTAAATTACTGGAAATATTATTCTTTAGTGGTACGCATAGACCAATTTGGCCAGTTTATGGTGAATATAAATTTTTACCAAAACAAAGATGGCTTCACAGTATGGAGGTAATAAAACAAATTTCTTAATTTTTTATATTTTTTTCTATAATTGAATTTTTTTTTAGCACGGAGCTATCGTGATGCTTTATCATCCTTGCGCAAATAGTTTAGAAGTACAAATCTTGAGAAAATTAATCACTGGTTGCATTAGACGTCATGTGATATCACCATCGAATCTTGTTTCTCTCGATAGGGTAAGAAATTTATTTTTATTCTTTAATTTTTTTTAATTGTGTATTTTTTTTAAATATAATAATTTTTTTTTTCAATTTAGCCGTTAGTTTTGTTGACATGGGGCTGTCGTCTTAGTATGTCTTACGTTGATCCCGAAGATGTACAGGAATTTATTTCAAAATTCGCACTTAAAGGACCGGAACAAATTGAAGATGATGGTGATTTTAACAAGGATCTATTGCATAAAGCAGAAATTGTTTCCGACATGAAAGACTCAAATCTTTGTCCCACGTAATTTAGAGGTTTGAAAAAAAAAAACTATATCAATCTTCTTCAAGTCATTTTTTTTTCTCTTATTAATGAAAATGTGAAACAAATGTTAATTGTTTTTAACCAAAGTATTTATTAACCGATGACGGATTTATAAAAAAAAAAGAAATTCCGATCGATAATAATTGTTAACTGTTTATTTACTTAATTTTATGTATATATAAACTGACTGATTTTGCAAATGCAATTTACGTTCTATTCAATTGAATTTTTTATAGTGGCCATTATTTTGTATTTTTCTTAAAGACTTAATTTTTGTGTAATTATTCTTTCTTTAAAAAAAAAGTAAATAGCAAATATCTATTTAAAAAATTTCTGTTTGTATATAGTTTTTTTGTGCTGTGATCATTATAGTATTTATTAAATTATTTTAGTTTCATGTCTTACAAAAGTTTTGGTCTTCCAAAAGACATGTAAATTTTTTGAATCAATAAATGTGTAAAAGCAATATAATATTTTATTTACTGTTATAAATATTAATTAATAATAAGTATTAATTTTCAGTTCTTTATAATTTTTAAATTGAAATAATATTTATTTATAATTATTATTTTATTTTTCTTTATTAATCATAATTTATTTCGTTCTCTTGAAAAAAAGTTTATTTCAGAAAGGTTGAGAAAAAATTTACAAAAAAAAAAATTGAAAGAATCAAAAGATCCAAGGAAATTGTTCAGAAGTTTACTTTTCTAATCTTAAAATGTACATTTTACAGCAGTACTTCGATTAAAATGAGATAAACATTGGAATCTCATATCGATCCCTTAAAACGAAGAGTGCATTTATTTTGTTAAACTTGTATTTCTTTTTTTTTTTCGTTCTATTAAGTTTTGCAAACACTTTGGTTTTAAGGACACGATACTCGTCGACTTTATCATGGGACTGTGGTGTGTATTTTTTTTTTTTCATTTTTAATGTAAATTTTAATTAATTTTTTTTTAATTTAAATAGAAGCTACATAGAAAGAGAGAATACTCTTATTTATTGTCTACGTCGTTCTAGAAATTAATGAACGTGTATTTACAAGTTTGAAATTGAATGAATATTCTCTTCAATCATTTCCATTTTTTTTTCTTTGTTTCCTAGAAACCCTCGAAGGTTTTTTTTTTAAAATGATTATATTGACTTTTTTTTGAATCGATTAGCGCCAGTCCCATAGAAAAGCCATTTACATTATTTATTAGAAGGTACAATGCTATTTATAATTTTTTTTTTTCATTTTTATTCACTTTTTATATCACTCTTCTATCTTATTTTTCAAGTGTCCCTTTTTTTTGTAATTTTTTTCGCCATAAAAAATGTCTATAGTAGAAACTTTTAACAGAAGAACTTTCGGTTTTTTTTAATTTTGAATTTTTATAGAAATCTTTTTTTTTTTTTTTTTATGAAATAAAGTCGAAAAAAAACTTGATTTTTCATTCATTCGCAATTTCGAGTTTTTTGCTCTACGATTTTTTTTTCCAAAAAGGTGCGTGTGATTATTAAAAATTCTCAAAATTTTAAAATAAATAATTCTTGAGAAACAAAAAAATAAAAGAATAGATTTATTTTCTATATTTTCAAATTTTTTTGCTGCAAAAATATTTTTTATTACTTTAAATTATAGAGATATTTTTTTTCATAAAATAATATAATAATGACCATTTAATAATTATTTTATTATAAAAAATATTTTCGACTGTGAAAAATTTTGAAAATATTAAAAAAAATATGATTAAACTGTTTGAAAAATTTCCTTTTGAGAATTTTTAATGAAATTTGTCACAAGTCCTTAAAAGAGAAAAATGCAAATCTCTCACAAATTACAGTCTCAAAAATTCACGACACTGGAAGCTCCTCAACTTTTCATCTTTATTTCAGTGCACTGATATGGATCTCTTTTTTTTTTTTTTATTGAATCTATCAAAAAATCGAGTTCTATTTACTTTTCAAAATTTCTTATTATCTAACATGCACATTCGAGGACAAATTTGAAATTTATTCTTAAGTGCATCTTTCTTTTTTTTTTTTTTTAAAATTCTTTTGTGCTCTTTGTATATAGGTGTCCGGTGAGGATAGTTAAAAAACGTTAAAATTGTTTTAAAGTTTTCTTGAAAATCACATCGAAAGATACAGAGTAACGCTGAACTTTTTTTTTTTTCTTTCATTAGCTAAGCGAGACAAAAGCTTCTACCATTTATTATATATATATATAATTTTTTTTAGCATCTAGTCTAGAATTCGTTAAAAGAACACTGCCTTGGTTTTCAATATATTTACAAGTATAGTGCAATCGCATGACTTAACTATTTATATAGAAGATCGTTTCTCGATTTTCTATAATTTAAAATTCGAGAATTATTCTTTCATTTTTTTTTTCTTCTTTTTGCTAAATAATTCTACTACTTTATTTTTGTTTTTAATTATTATTTAGACTTCGAACGACATCTCTCTCGCAGAAAAATAAAATAATAAAATTTTCATCATTCTTCCTCGAAAAAAAAATTTTTCACTTAATACTACAAAATTCCATATATTATTTTTTATTTATATATATATATATATATATATATATATATATATATATATATATATATATATATATATATATATATATATATATTAGAATTCTAGAAACTGAAACTAGTTTCGTGAATTTTTTCTCATTTACTCAAATATTTTCATCATTTTGTCAAATACAAATGTTTTCTGTTTATTTATTTTTTTAAATACATTGTATTTTTTAAATTTACAAATTTTACTGGTTCTATGGTAATTTTTTTTTATATAATTCGTGTCTCACCATCATTATTAACAAAATTAAACGAATTCTCCGTTCGACTTTTTTTATTGCAAGATCGAAAAAAAAATTATTCAAGTTTAAAATAAATTTCAATTTTGTAAAAAAATTATCTTTTTCTTGTGAAAAGAAAAATAATTTGTTTTTTTTATTACTAAAGATAATTATGTACTTTATATAATGAATGAACGTGATTTGAAAAAACAAAAAACGTGAAAAAAAAAAAAATATTAAAACGGAACGCAAACGTAAGCAGAAAACATTGTTGATTTATTTTGTAATATTAATCATCGATACAGTATCTTTATTTTAATATGAACTTCTATGAAATACCTACAATAAAAAGTATTTATATTTTTTTTCTCATTCTTCCATTTACTACAGGTGTAGTTGGTAAACTTTTTTTTTCTTTTTTTTAAATTTTAATTTATTAATAATCTCACTTTGTCACATGAAAACCGAGGTATATCATGCGAACTTTTATGCTATCATTTAAATTGTCCTCTTGTTTTTTTTTTTTTTTTTACAATTTTTGAAAATTATGAATTAAGTTGATAGTTTGGAATTGACACTCATATAAGGTTATTGAAGTAGCCTTTCGTAGTTAATAATTGCACCGATGTGACACGGCTCCGAAACACATTTTCTGATGCCTCAATGTAGCACATCATTGTTTACAGTTTATCACACTCTTCTTTTTTTTCTTCTTTTTTTTTTTAATAATATAAACTCGAATAATTACAATGTCATACCGGATTCTCCTTTTTTTTGTGACATTGAATTTTTTTCGCCGATTTTATAATTGTAATAGAATGTAATATAACAGTATTAATTATTACGCGTACTGTGAGGCAAAGAACGCCAAGGTTGATACTCGCTGCTTATAATTTTTTAAAAAAATTATTATAAAAAATTTGATTTTCAAAAGGAAAAACTTTCAATTTTCACAATTTACGAAATTCAATTTTTTTCAATGTCTCAAAACACCAGTGAAATGTTCACTAATAAAAAATTATTTACAAAGGCGAAAAAAAAATTACATAATTTTTTTCTAATTAGAAATGATTATTGAAAATAATATTGAAAAATAATGGAAAAAAAGAAGTTGATAAAAGTAATTATTTTATGCACATTTCAGTGGTGTGAGAATTTTTTTTTTTTTTTAAAGTCAATTAAAGCAGCAGAATCAACTTCAGCAAATTGCATCTTAGGCCAAACTCGTTAACACACAGTCGATTGTGCACCAATACAATTGTAACATTATTCGTAAACTTATTCATTTATCGATAAGAAATTAACTTTATCTCTCAATTCCTATCACGAGGACTTTCTATATAAATATTCTAAATTCTAAGATGTGAGATAAAAGCTAAATTCTATATATGCCTCGCTAAATTGCAGAAACCAATTTGAAATTTTGACTAGAATTAATATGATCTTTTTTTTTTATCGAGTTCACCACTGGATTTTTTAATTATTATTATTATTATTCTCTAGTACAATTATCATTAGAATTACAATTAAATTTCCAATACATGATTTATCATTTAAAAAACTAAACTAAATATTAAAAATTTTAATTCAAGAAAACTAATTTTCCAAATGATGCTCTCGATATTGGAACTATACTAAAAAAAAAAAAAATAGTAATACATAGTTGTAGTAATTGAGAAGTAATTTTAATTCGAATCGCATTCAAAAATTCTTCGTACTATAGAATTCAGCTTTAAGATTATTGGAATTTCATTTTCTTAGCCCGAAATTGTCACGAGAGATAAATATTAATCATTAATTACAGATAATACACATGTATAATCGAAGAGATCTGTAACGACACGTGACAAAATGTGTCTGGAATTAAATGCTCGATTACGACTTAGATATTTGGTATAACAAGAGAAGGAGAAGTTCAACTTTAAGTGCCCTTTGATTTAAAAATTGTGTGATGTCACTTCAACTTTCATATTCAATCGAATTTCAAATCTCGATTCATTTTTTTCTTTTCTTAAAAAATTCATAAACATTTAAAATTGATTTCATATTTTCTAATCGTTTTATTAATAAATCGAAATTCATTTACGAAATAAATTACTGACTAATTTCAATTTCAGAGATAATTCTAAAATTCATTCTTCTTAAATAAGTAGATTTTAAAAAGGAAATATAAATCCGGAACTTTTTGTAATTACGAAAAAAAAAATATGTAAATTTGTCCTTCCCCTTTACACGATTTTTTTTTTTTTTTTATAAAATATTTAATGAGTTTGGTCTTCATGGTTTTTTTTCTTGCTGTCTTTTTTTTACGGAAATATTTTTTAAAAGCATTTTTAATGCCCTAACAATTTTTTTTAAATTTTTAATACAAAAAAACGAATATCAGACACTAAAAATTCGCAATATATATTTTTTTTCAATAATTCTCATTTTAATAGAATTTGACTAAAATTTTAAGAAGAAATTGAAACGCAAGAAATCCGAGTCCATAGCAAGAAAATTTTATATTCAATTCTGTAAACTATCTTCTTTTATTAATAAAACGTGTTAGTGGATTTTTTTTTTGCGTTACAGTCTTTATGATAAGGATGTGTGGATTTTTTTTTTTAAATGACAGTCTTTTTACTATTTAAAAGTTAGGCACAATATTTCGTACAAGTATATATGATTGTTTCTACGTATGAGGCACGTAAGATATTTTTTTGTTTGTTTTTTGTTTTCCAAACGATTCAAGAAGTTTGTTAATCATAAACATAATACTTTGTTAAAATTTAGATTAAAAAAGAAAAAAAAATTTGTGAATTTTGAAACAAAATTTTCAAAAAATTTGAGATTTTTCATTTGATTTTAAATGGGCAATATATTTTATAGGACTGTCACTGTGAATTAGTTAATAATTGTTCGACCTACAAAGCTTCAACATATAAAATATTCAATTTTCATTCAAATTTTGTCCCTTGACTAAAAACTAATTAATGTCGACTGCAGAGACAACCAATTTCAAAAACAATTAATAATAATTCTATTAAATTTAAAAATAGAAAATAAAATTATTCCAATTTAAAATAGAAAAATTTAAATAAATAAAAGAATTCGGAATTCTTGCGTTTCTGTAAACTCGCCATATTCAGTGTTATAAAGTCATTCAAGAATTTAATAAATATAATAAATAGCAACGTAACTATCTATATAGGCTAACAATGACATATACACTTTTTTTTCTGTACAATGCAAGGGTGATCTTTTAAATATACATTTCTCATATCGAGTGATTGATAAGTGATGAAATTTTACCAATGACGCATTTATGATGCACGTCGCCGCCTTGATTTATAATTTAATAATAATAATCATAATAATAATAATTAAAATTATTAATTTGAACAGTGTATTTATTATTATAACCCATAGTCTTTCATGACACCGTATTATTTATCTCAACGTTTATTTATATATAATATAGTCAACAAAACATTAACATTACGCGTCATCTTTTTTTTTTCCTTTTTTTTTCTTTCTCTTGAATATTTCGACTATTTAATTAATTATGTATAATATTTATATTATGTATAATGCATATTATCAGGATGATCATCGATCAAAATCTCCGTGTTTTTCATGCCATTCTAACTATACATCGTGAAGTACATTTACAATTTATTTTCAACGCGAGTGCCTTGAATGAGATTCAATTTTCAAATTTTACACAAACAAGCGCATATGGGAAATTTGTTTCTCATTCGAGGGTGTTTTTTTTTTTTTTTTTTTTTAATATTTTTTTGCCGTTGTTTTTATTTATTGCTTTAAATTAATTTTTTTTCGTAACACCTATATTTATAATGTAATATTTATTGCTGCAGCAAAATGGCGATATATTTTTTTATTTTTCAAACTCTGCATAATATAGATTTTCGTATCTTGATTTTGGCCGAAATTCTTTTTATTTTGCATTCTTTTTTTTTTTTTTCTTTTTTAATAAAGCCTCCTTAGAAAATCTGCACTAACTACCTAGAGAGCGAGTTTGAAAATTTTCTAAAATTTCAGAGATATTCAGAGGAGACTGATAATTATGCAAAATTTGCCAACATTTTTTTTTTTCGAATTTCATTGTCTTTTTGAAATATTGGGCGCTTTTTTTTCCGCGATCCGAATTAGCGAGAGTTGCCTTTTAAATTTAATTCCAGCAATTTTTTTTTTTAATAAATAAAATATTTTAATAAATTAAATATATATTAATAAAATATTTAAAATAAATTATTGAATTTAAATACAAAAGTGTTTCTTTCGTTCTTTTATTCTAATTTTTTTTTGTAAATATTCCCTCTATTTTCAATAAAAATTGTCATGTTTATGAAAATGTTTTTTTAATTTTTTTTTTAGAATCTTCTCTCCGCATTTTTGTTTTTTTTTAAATTCAAAATTATTATAATTTAGTTTTCTATAATCTTTTCATAAAATTTTTTCTTTCACAGAATCGAACGTAATCAAGTTTTGTAAATTTAAATATAAATTACTTATTAGTAAAATAAAAATAAATTCATTCGCTACTTAAAATTATAATTTAAAATAAAATTAAGTACAAATATCGTGCAATAAAAATAAAAAAAAAATCACAGATGCAAAATACAATATAAAAATAATAATACTTTCAGTAGAAATTAAATTATTTTGTAAATTTGTAAAAAATTTGTAAATTGCTGGAAATAAAAATAAAAGATCCGCGAGAGCAAGAGAATTTGAATCTAAAAACTACGCGTATCGTTTAGTAATGAATTTTAACCATTGATCAAAAATTTTAGGTAGCAATAAGCTACACGTTTTGAGATACAAAATATTTTTCAAAACAAAACTTCACTAACACTAGCCTAGTGTCTAAATGGGCTACGGTATATTTTTTTTTTTTATATAATTTATAAGTATAATGTAATTTATGTATATGCACATGAATATTGTGTCTTTCCCTCTTTTTTTTCAATTAAATATCAGAATGTTTTTTTTTCTCCGTGCAATAACTACTTCACTGTTTTGTGTTTTATAACGCGCAGAAAAAGAGATATGATAAAAATATGAAGAATACCGAGTGCTGCTGAATTATGTAAATTTGTAAGGCCAGTGGTAAATATTGGATGATAAATAAAAATGATGATGATGATGATTCTAATAAGTGCGATGACAACGATGATGAAAATGCCATCCTGGCCTGATGATGATGATGATGATGATTAAGACTACATCAAAGTGAATTTTCGATCTCCAGGTTTTCTGGCGATATGCGTCAACGTGTGCAGCTTCACTTTGTCGGAAGAAGATACATGATCTCTCTGAAAGGCAAGCTCGATCTCGACGTCTTCTTACCTCCCTGAAAATAAAAGTCTCATCAATTTTTCTATTCTATTAATTTAAATCTAATTAATGTTTATTTCCAGACGAAATTTTTTTTTTGTTTTTTTTCAAAGATTATACCTGTTTTTAGATGTTCACAGTCCAAAATATCCACCAATGGTGGTTGCCACAACAATGGCAAGAATGGTGAGGCAAATCAAGATCATGATCTTCTTCTGCTCTCAGCAACAAATCCACAAAAAAATTCATTATCAATCACGAATAATAATTAAATATTATAAACTACTTTTTTACATTCTCTACTCTAAATATTTACTTTGGTGTGCAGGTTGTGACTCTCTTTTTCAATATGCTCTTTATATTTTTAATATCAAATTTTTACTAAAATTTTCAATTCACATAAATATTTTTTTTTTTTTTTTGGTTGCGAATTTCTAATTTTATTTCATTGCATTTAATTTCTATAATAATTTTTTCTTTTCTTTGGAAATATTTTTTTTTTTCTAATTTCTTTTCTCATTCATATTTCATTGTTTTCTCAGCAAACATTGCACACTGTTCCATCACTAGTTTCTAAACAATTCTACATAAAAAAAAAAATTTAAAACATGTTTGCTGAGTGATAATAATACTTATATATCTATTTTTTTATATAAAACTGAAAAATTAATTTTAAAAAAGAATTCGAAAGAATTAACTGAAAAAATCTAAAAACAAAGACATTTATTTACACAATTGTTATACATTGATAATAGATTTGAATAATCGTTGACTCGAGGACAATATGAAAGAAAACATCTCGCTTAATAAACTAATAATATGCTTCGACTATTCACATTGCAAAATATTTAACCGCCTAAGGAAATATTCAATATTTTAATTAATTAGAATTTACTCCCCTTTTTTTTTCTTTTACAAAAAAGAAAAATTTTTTACCAATAAAAAAATGCTTTATCAAAATTTACATTTTTCTTTATATATTTCCCATGTGCGGTTAGTATTTATTTAAAAAAAAAAAAACCGTCCCTGCTTAGTTTTCTTTTTAATTTTTTAAATCTTCCCCATGGCAATTAAATTACTGATATTTATAAATATTTGCAATATTAATTAAATTATAAATTAATTTTCGTAACATTAATTAATTTAATTACTTTGGTAAAAAAAATTAGTTGTTATTGTTTTTTGAGGGATGAAATAAATAATAAACTAAGAAAGGACGTGATTTTCGATCGTAATAAATTATATAACACAGATTGGTTACGTATAAGGCAAAAATATATTAATTTACTTAAAAAAAAAAAAGAAATGCAACGTCGACAGAGAAAATATATTTTTTTTTCTTAGGGAGGAGGAGGGGGCAGCTTCGTATACTTACATAGAGTTAGAAAACAAAAAGGTACAGAAGCACGACATTGAACTACGCTCAATATCCATACTTACTTGAAAAACTTTTGTCGTCTCTGAAATCGTCTTAGCAATCTTCTGTTTTGCCTAGAGCTTCGAATATCTTCCTGAATCATTAAATTTTTCGCAGCAGTATACTTCCTGAACGTAGATTTTTATTTTTTTATTGTCTCGCCTAAACCCTCTTCCATGTATTCTTAAATCTTTCTCATTTTTTAAGATCCTCTCAAAAGAAATCTCCTTTTTATTTATTTTTTTTTTTACACTTATCTTCCATTCCTTGTTATCTTCGGCTTTTTTTTAAAAAAATTGTTCCTTCCACTTCTTTTAATGTTTTTAATTCACTTCTTTTTATTTCCTTTAGATAACTTATTTCCTCTTCATTTTTTTAAATTTTTTTTGGTCAATTTTCACTTTCTTATTATTATTATTATTAATTCTTATATTCTAATTAACTTTTTTCCTCTCCATCCTTTTTTTCAATATTTTTTCTGCTTTTTTTCTATTTCCCTATTTTTCGTTTCTTGTGTTTTTAATTCTCAATCAAATTGAATTCGAACTGTCATTATTTAAATTGTTTTTTTTTTTTTAATTAACTTCGTTATTTTGTAAATTATACCGAAATTATTGAGATTTTCCTTATTTAGAGCATTCTTGTTCAAGTTTTCTCTTGAAATAATTTTTTTTCCATTTTTTAACATCTTTATTCGTCACTATCGACTAATTTTTGGGGTGCTGATAATAATTATTATACGAAGAGTATTGCGAAGTATTTATGAATGAAAGTTACGCTATTTATAATTATTTATAATATTTACAATATTTTTTTTTCTCGAAACCTCTTCTTTTTTTTCATTAATTTTTTGTTCGAAGAGTTAATTACAAACCACAAAAATTAGCGTAATTTCTTTTTTTTTTAGTGAAAAAATCGAATTTATTGAAATTTAATTTAAAATTGAAATATTTTTCTATTTGAATAATTATTACAGTGTTTAAATTGAAATAATTCGATTTTTTTCACTTTTACGTACATTATTTGTCCATCTCAATAAATTTAAGAGAAAAAAAAAATTACATAAAAAAGAGATATTGCACCTATTTTGTTGAAGCAGTTTATAAAATTGCTTCTGGGTGACAAATTAATGGAATGTGGAAAAAGAGCCAGTCTAAGTTTCCTTTCCAGTCACCTTCAACACTTTTTTCTATATAATATATATTTATATATATATTTATTTAGAAAAAAAAAACAAATCTAATTTCTACAACACTTAGACTCGATATCGATACTTCCCCCTCTTTTGTCGACCCTGCAAGATCGATATTTATGATCTTAAAGAGTACAAACAATTTTTCTACTGAACATAAATAATTATATATATATATATATTATGTACATAAAGTAGCCTCCAGAGATGTTTAATTATATATGCCCTTTTTTTTCATCGATAACTTAATAACGACAATATAACATAATTATTTTAAAATAGTGCGAAAAAAAATACTGTTACGCATTTCTTTTTTTTAAATATAAAAATGCGTTCACTTGAAAAAGTGTATCTTGACTTAGAGCTTTGATATTAAAATGCATTATCAAAATGCAAATCAGTTTTTTTTTTCTTTTAACAGAATCGAAAAACTGATCAAAAAAATAAGAGAAAAATCTCTCCTTAGCACATAATTAATAATTTTTTTTTTTTAAATCGCTACGAGAGAAAAAATATTATTTGTCTAAACTAAGAATATTTTCTATTTAAAGATTTGTATTGCTTTTTCTTTTTTTTTTTTAAATATTAAATTATTTAGTTTAAATTTTTTCAATATTTCGAAATTTTAAAATTAATGAATTTTAATTGAATCGATCAATTTTCTAAATTGTAAAGAATATATTTTTTCTCCAGTAGCATTTGAGAGAGAGACATTTTCTCAATTGAAATTGAATTTCGACATTTGTTTCAATGGAGAGATTATTATGTACAGAAAAATTGAGTAAAGTATATATATATATATTTTTCTTTTATAGCAAGACGACGATCGCTGATTTTTTGGGGAGAACGAAAGATTGTGTTTTTTTTTTGTATTTTGTGTGTATGTGTGTGTGAATGAATTTCGATTCGCAGGAACATCCAGGAATTATTTTTTTTTCTTTTTTGGTGATTAATAATAATTTTGGAACATCTGGTATTTCAAGGACGAATTGAAATTGGGAGATGAATAAATTTGTGCACAAAAATGGTGCACTTGTGTCACTGGTCTCAAATCGAGGAGTCGATGGCCATCCATGAGATCAGCTCAAACTAGTTACCAAAATGATTATCAAAATGATGACCGCCACTGTAAGGCAGACAACGATCAGGATCAATTTCTGTAAAAAAAAAAAACATTTGCATTTTAATTCTATTCGTTTTTTTTTTTTTTAACAATCGATTTTCCCCTCGCAAAAAAAAATGACTTTTTAAACTGAAACTTCTTTAAAAGAGTCAATTTTTCTTGAGGAAAAAATCATGATAAATATTCTGTTTCGAAAATTTGGAATTTTTCAAAAAAATTTTTTTATATAAATAAATTCTGTGTAAAAATTCGAATTTTTTCAAATAATTTCGAAATTAAGTGAAAATTTTTTTAAAAATTATGAATTTTCAAATAATTGATTTTTAATTTTTGAGACAGAATATTTTTTTTTTTACTTGTTATCTTGCAATCTGCAATTCTCTACCAAAGTGATTGTTCCTTTATTGGCAGTGAATCTTGAATGCGAATAGTAGAGTATAGTTTTGAAGACATACAAACACAAGTTTCGAATAATAGAAGTTAGAAATTGTAAGGGAAATATGATAATATCACACGTTTTATAGTTAGCGTGCGTTTTAATGTTATAGTCGTGCTATTTAGAGATGAAATATAGTGAAAAGCATTATTGTTATTATTATTTTTTTTTTCTGTAACATTTAGGCTGAACATTGCACGAATATATATATATAATACTTGAAACCATAAGTGAAACCTCACATTGCTTGAGAAAAATATTATTTTCTTGATTATGTAAATTTTACTTTTATAAAGATTTTCTTTAACTGTTTTTTGAGTTTGCAATATTAATAAAATCTTTCATAAAGAACTAACTTTCTGAATAAAAAAAAGACACTTTACTTTATCTTCAAATGCAAAAAAAAAGTTTCATTATTTCATAAATATTTAGAAAATATTTTTTTATAATTGAAAATTTCTTTTGAAGAGAATATTTTTTTTTTTAAAACAAAATAGAATTGATTAATTTTCAAATATTTAAATAATTGTAATAAAAATTATTTGGGATAATTTTTCAATTTTTTTTTTTTGAAACAGATTTTCAAAAAGCAAGCACAGAGAGGTTCACCTTCTTTTTTTTTTTTTCACAAACAAAATTATTCGATGATCATTTAATAAAGAGACAATAAATATACAATTGACACTTTAACAACACAAGTCAAGTACACTTTGGACAAGTTTCAAGAACAAAATAAAAAAAAAAAAAAAAACAGTGAGTGAAAACATGAAAGCTATTCAATTTTGAAATTATTCATGAGAAAACATTTTCGTCACACAAAAAAATAATTCTCATTTAAAATTTTCTCAAAGCTTTTCTTGCTGTTGTTTTTTTTTAAAGTGAAAATCGATTTTTTTCGGGAAATAGAAACTTCTTTTTTTTTTAATAAAATATAGCGACGAATACTTACAGCTGAGAGGGACAAAGTGTGAATTTTTTTTTATCCGGTAAATCACGATGCGTGGTTAGTATTTGCTTTTTTGGATTAATTTTTTTTTTCGGTGCTAAGCTGGTGTTATCGTTGGATTAATAAATATGCGATTATTGTTGGCGTAACTATAAAAAAGTCTTGTTAATTTTTTTTTTTATGTCCTGTATACAAGAATTTTTCGGTGACGGTTTCAGTCAAACAATCCACGCGTCGATACGATTCGCGTTTTATTTTTTATTTTTGTTGCTCGATTTTACGAGATTATCGTCCATTTTTCGCCAGTTATTATTATTTATTTTTCTAGAAAAAAGCGATTAATTATTTCCATTTCGTAATTCGTATCCTCTGGCTGTTTTGAAATTCGAATTTTTTTTTTTTTTTTTGAGGATTATAAATTTTTTTTTTTGTCACCAATCAGAAGTGCGTTCTCATTTTTTTTTTCGCTGCAACGATTTTGCTACTTTCTGAGTTTTTTTTTTCGAAATGTAATATTTATATATATATTTATGTATATTTTTTTTTTAGTTTTTATTTTTCTGTTCTCCCCTCATGTCTAGCTATCTATCTATTTGTCTATCTATCTATTGCTCTCTCTCTCTCTCTCTCTCACATTCTTTTATCTGTCTCTCTATACGTCTACGGCCATTTAGAATGACGGAAGAAATGCTCCTACAATGGAGATCAATATGACCAGAGATACTGCGACGCAGATCATAATCATGATCATTTTCTGTGGACAAAAAGCAGAATCGATATCAGTCAGCATTGTTGTATGAATAAAACGATCCGATAACGATCAAATTTGTTTTTTTTTTGACGAAAGAGAAATTAATTGGGAATGGAAAAAAAAGAGAAGAGAGAAAATATAAATATGTAGAATTTTCAAGAAAATATATATACGAAACAAACGAGCATTGTCAATTTTTGCGAGCGCACCAAGATCTGGGCAAAGCTCAAAAACCCTTCATTATTATTTTTTTTTTCCCTTCCCAGTCACTATTCTTTGTTCTTAGGCTTTCGTTTCTTTTTTTTTCTCTCTTTTTGTTATCAAGAGAAAACCACAATTTTTTTTTTTATATCGTGATGAAAAGAAAATTAAAAAAAAAATTTAAATATTAGTAAAATGAATTTTGCTTTGCCTGGATCTTTTTGTCAAGCCTATTATTTAATTAGGTGCATTAATTAACAAAAAAAAATAATAATTTTTTTTTTAAGAAGTGCGAAGAAACTAAAAAATAAATTTTTTTCTAAAGAGAAAATTTGAAATAAATATCGAGGAAAAAAAGATGAATTTTCGATGCTCACGATTTATATATATGTTGTGATGACTGAGTTTAGCGAATCGTTATTTAAATATCATTACATCATGACCGGACGTTTTATATTTGCCTTGTCAGTGTGACGCTATCATGCACTTTAAAAGCGAGTCGAGAAACTAGATAAAAACTATTTTTATATAATGTAGAATGCTGAAAATCATAATATGTACAATATTAGAAGAAATAATTATAAATTCATAAATATTATAAAGAAGAAATTTCGAATTTCAAACGAAGAAAAATACAAATTTTTATAGGGAGAAAAAAGAAAATGGCAAAAAAAACTTTACATATTCAAAGAAATGTAAAAAAAAAAATGTTTCAAGGAAATTTTGTTCTAACAAAGTATTTTGTGATGTAATTCTATAAAGTGTAATCTACAAATCTCTTTAAACATTCCATTTCGCATTTCCTATTTTTCCAAACTAAAAAATTAATCTAAATTTCAAAAAAATTTTATTATTCCTTTTTTTCAATAACAATCTAGAAAATCATTCAATTAAATAAAATTAAAAATTTGAGATTAGTTGATAACAAATAAATATTTACTTGAACCAAATTATTATCCAAAATAAAGTAAATTGTCAATAATAAATTTTCTAATTAAACAAATTATTCTAATTTTAATTTCGAAATTATTTTAAAAAAATAATAAATCCAAAAATTCATAATTTTATATGAAAAATTAAAATTAATTAATAAAAATTTCTATGAAATTTAGATAATTAAATTTTTTAAGGCAGAAAACAACTTAATAAGACCTGTTTGGGTGTTCTAAGCATTCAAGTATATCTAATAACATCGCTAATTACTACGAAACTAATGTTGATACACTATAAGGGGTGGGTGTATGTTGCGGGGGTAATTAAAATTAAACAATATAGCAAATCATGCTACGTGCTTGCCGCCTGTTGAAATTCTCTATCAGCTTCGAAAATTATAATCAACACAATAATCGATGCAATTACCAAAAACACGCGTAAGGATGAGACTCTTGCTTCTGATGCTCGTTGTCGCTTGATTTTTTTTTTCAGAGAGGGAGCAAAAGAATATAATTCTTTTGTTTTTCATCGCTAAACACTTATAGACGAATGACGACTACACAAAAATCATCCTACTTCGTCGCTTTCAACTACACATTTCAATTATTTTTAAATATCAATTACGAACATTCAAATTTTTTCGCATATCCGCTTTAACAATAACGTGTGTGTATTTTTTTTTCTGTCAACAATTAACACATCTAAACACTGACAATTTTTTTTTTTTACAATTATTTTCATTTTTTATTTCCAATAAAACTATGGAATATTTAAAAAATTAAATGAAAATTTTTCTGATTAAAAGAAAAACTAATTTTTTTTTTGTATTCAAAGAAATGACAGATTTTTTCTTCTTTAAGAATTTTTTTTTTTTATTTCAATTGAGGGGATATAAAAAAAGTAATTATTTTTTGAAAGAGAAAAATCGAAGGTATTTTTCAGTCTTTCATTCGCAGAAGTGGGAATTAGTTTTTAACTTCGAGTTTGCATTTGTAAGTTATCTGAGTTTCATGTTATATCAACGAGTTTAACACTCCCTCACGAAATGGAAAATGAAAATTCAATAAAAAAAAATTGATATAACTTTTAAAATTTTTTTGAAATAAAATATTATATTAAAAATTAAATTTGATTTTGCAAACCTGTGAATTTTAAATAAAAAAATTTGTCATTTCTTTGTTTCCTTCGAAGCAGTAAAAAAAAAATCAAGTAAAATTCTTTTCAAAAAAAAAGAAAGAAAAGATAAAAGAAATCTACTTGTGAATAATTTAGAAAGAATTTAAAAATGCTTCGAGGACAGTAAGAAAAAAAAAACAATCACTATAAATATCTATAGACTAAAACTACTACTACTACTTTTTTTTTTTTTTTTGTTTAATTTGGGTTATCGATTTGATTTAGCTTTCTAGTAATCAAAGATCGCACTTGAACTTGATAACGAAAGATTAAAATTATCATAACTAGAAAATTCAAAATGATAATTTTAGATTAGAAACAAAATTTTTTAAACAATTTTTGTAAATTGCAAATTTTATCTTCTCATTCAAGATTAAAAAAAAATTACACATAATTAAATTGAACCATTAATTTTTTACCAATTGTTTCGTCAAATAGAAAATTAAAATATTCAAATAAAAAAAAATTTTTTTTAATTATTTACGAAATTTTACAAGTGCGAACTTATATTTCGAATATGAAAAACCAGAAAAGCCTCTCTTGAACTTTTTTTTTTTATATTAATTTTAAATATGCATTCGTGGATTGACATATAAAACGAAAGTGATACACACACACGCACACTCACCAGACGTAGAAATTTACAATATACAAAACAAATTGGCAAAACGGCTCGCCATAAAAAATACAACATTAAACACACAAAACACGTCGTATACAAATATAGATATATACGAGCAGTTGTTTTTAAAATGAAAATTTTAGTGTAATTTTTTTTTTTTTTGAATTTACAAAAAACCTTTTTCTCTAAAGTATTTTTTTGAAAAAGGAATTTTTTTTAAATTTTATGTACAAGAGTTGTGTAAAAGTAGAGGTGATGATTGAACACATAAAAATTTATACACAGAGGACAAAACGACGTTTAAACAATATTTAGTTAAATAGTCAGCGGTTTTGTAAAGTTAGAGCAATAGTGGACAGAGGCACAATCAGCACACCCATGTTAAGAGACGAGGCACACTAAATTTTTTTTATATATGGTATAGTTTCATGATTAGTTTTGTGGGCAGTGGGGAGGGGGGGGGCACAAAAAATATTAATTACAAAAACTAAGAAGAGAGAATTTTTAGTAAAATGTTAACGTAAGCATCGATTCGATGGCAAAAAGCGAATCGTTTTAACGAATTTATTTCTTGAAAAGTAAAAAAAAAAAAATGATTTTTCACACAAGAAATAAATTCGTCAATTTAAATTACAGATGAGCATTCTTAATTTTTTTTTAAAGAAAATATGATGAATGTAGAATGATAAACTTAAATATAATTTTTGATAATTTTGGAGAAAATATTGATTTCGAATAGAAATATAATTCCAGTAATAGTTGGACTGAAATTTTTTTATGAGAGAGAAAAAGGGCTTAAAGAAGAAAAAAAAAAGTGATCAATTAGATGTGAACAAATACAAGAGTTTATGAGAGTTTGAGAATGACTTACCCGTCGGGCTTTGCTTTGATACTTGAGTGCTTTTTTGGTGTCCTGTGTGGCCGTTTGAACATAATCCACTGCGTGTTCCACGTGGTATTCTATGCGATCTATCATCTCACCCTGAAAAGACATGACTTGAATTATTTACGTGATTTTCCCTCAAGTCTATATTTTTTTTTTCGCGTTCAAAAACACCGATTTAGAATCTTATTGGGGAAAAAGAAAAAAGAAAAATTATTTTTATTTTCCCACAAAATTGTAAAATTTTGAAAAAATTCAAAACTTTATATTTAAAAAATTTTTAAAACAAAAGAAAAAACTGAATTAAAATTATAAATGAAATTTTTACCTGACTTTCGACAAGCATTGCCATGTCCATGAACATGTCGTGAAGTTCCCTGATGGAATTTTCTAATTTAACAATGTCAGCGTGACGCGCCTCAATATCTGCAAGAGTTTGTTTCGCTTGTTGCGTTTCCATAATAATCTGTAAAAAATATTAAACTATTATCATATTTAAGAAAGAGAGCAAAATTCGAATTACAAAAATAATTCTCACATTTAACCATCGAATTACCCAGTTTTTATATTTAATCCAATGGTATTATATGATTTTCCTTTTTTTTAAAATGTTAATTAAATTTCTAATAAATAATTAATTTCATTAATAAATAAATTTCATTAAATAATAATTGACTTACTAAGAGAAATTAATTTAAAGTTAATTTTTTTTCCCCCCCATCATTACCCTTTGTCTTTTTTTCCCCCCTATTTCGATTTAAATGACGAAAAAAGAAGAAGATCCTCAGGATAAGAGGAATCGTTTCTCTCTTATCATTAACAACTCACCCCTTGCGTGAACACAGCTGGATTTCCTTGTTCCAGCATTTCCTCGAGTTCTTCATTAGTGGTCGTTCTACCCGCTGAAAATTGAACAAAATTAATTAATATCCATTTTTTTTCCTATTTTATTTTAATAAAATTTTCTTCATTATTTTTTTAAAAAAAAAGTCATTTTCTCTTATTATTGCTTATTTAATATAAAAAAAAAAAAAATTAGATTTTTTTTCTAAAACTGAATTTAATGAAATTGAAAATAAAATTTGAATCGTTTTTGTGAGAAAATCACCACTTGCATAAAATGGAGAAAATCAAAACGCTTACTAATTTCGAGTTGTCGTTGTATTCTTCCCTTACACCGCTCCCTATAATCAGTCTGCGTCCGATTGTACTCTGTCATCACCTCAACAAATTTCCTAGACAACGTCGAGTGTTGTGTCTTGCGTATCCTAAGATCTGCCGACGATTTGTTCGTGTGCTCCTCTTGCTCGATGTTTTGCTCTATTACTAAAATTTCAAAAACAAAAAAAAATTATTATTTTATAATTTTTTCTTTCGATTTTCGAAAAATTAATTAAAAATAAAACAGAAACGTACCTTTTAACTTTGCCCTAACTTTATTCGCTGTTTTCTTAATATCAGCCATCAGATCTTCCAGTTCCATTTTGACCTCTGTAACAAGCGGAAAAAGAAAGGAAATTAATTTCTAATAATTTTTGAAAATTTTATTTAATTTTTCCAATCGTCAAATAAAATATATTAACTAAAAGAAAATTTTTCTAAATAAATTGTATAATTTTTTTTTTAATTTATTTATTTATTAAAATATGAAAAAAAAATAAAAATTGATATCGAATGGCAAAAAAAAAGGGAAAATTAAGAATGCAATCTGGCGACATTCCAGAAAATCTCGGAAGCATGCGGTCAAAATGCAAATTTACTTTATCTCTGGATGGGAGAATTCGCGGTAGAATACAAGGTATGAAACGGAATTTGATTGTACCATAACAGCGAATTAATCTCCCATATAACAGGTTCAGATTATCGGCTTATGCAATAATAGAATCAAATTCAGCCCAAAAACAGTTCCGCACACAAACCAAATTGTATCCAGAATTTAGCGTATTATTTCAAAATTAATAATTTATTAATTAATCGAAATTATTATATATTATTTAATTATATATCATTTTTTAAATTTGCTATATTAATTTTTAATTTGAAAAATTTTCCATTTTAATGAATTTTTAATGGGGGGGGGAAATAAATTAAAAATCAAACTAATTTTCAAAATTTTTCTTTATGAGTATTTAAAGCTTCTTGTTAAATTACAATGGCACATAAATTGGATCAGTTTGCATTCTCGGTTTGGTTGTTCTGAAATTAAATGCCTTCCTCTATTGATGAAAAGTTCAAAACTCAGAAACTCATCGAAAGTTCGAGAAACGATCTTGGGCTGGATATATATGGAAAATATGAAAATTTAATAAACCTCACTTCGAGAATCATTAAACTTTACTATTATTACGCTTTAAAATTTTCTATTATATTATTTTTTAATTATTATTTTTTGTTATTAATTTTCCATTATTATTTTTTTTTCCAACGGAATTAGTTTTTTTTTTTCCTCGGAATAAAAAAAAATATTTTTAACAATAGAAAACATTAATTATATATATGTATTTGAATTTATTATTTCTTGAGAGTTCAAAATAGAATATAAAAGATGATTGAAATGAATCCAAGGGAGATTTTTTTCTTTTTTAAGAAGACATTGTATATATATATATATATATATATATATGGGGGTTAAGATCGAAATTCGTGGATAAGCCTTTAGGGTGAAAGTGGGTCAATAAGGTGCGATAGACGTGCGGTGTTACCTACTTGAATGTTACTTCTTCAGAATCTCTTTTCCGTTTTCCATCTTATAAAACCCTTCACCAGTATTAAAAAAAGAAGAAGATTTTCACTAAATCTCTCAAAAAATTCTTGACTTTCTTTTTCCAAAAAAAAAAAAAAAATTAATAATAAAATAAAAATTTATAACAAAAATCAAATAAATGAAATCAATTAATAAAAAAATTTTCAAAAAATTAAATTATTACAAAAAATTTTCGAATTAAATTATTTCTAAATTTATTTTGTAAAAAAAAAAAATTTCGAAAAAACATATTTGAGATTCTATTTTATTCTTTATATAAGAATGATTTGATTAAATTGTTTCGTCGGTTTTGACACAAAATCGAAAATATGATTAATTTTTTTTTTTTTTTTCTTATTTCGGTATTTGCGCAAACTCTCTTTTTATATAGTTGTACAATTTCAGAATATTATCCGACAGGAAACATGAATCTATCGTTCGGAGGGGGATTTTATTCCCTCCTGGGAATTTGAGACACATGTGAATTTTATTTTTTTTTGCGAATTTTTTTTTCAAATCCAAGTTTTCTTCTCTCTCATTTTGTCAATATCAATCAATTTCTAGTAAAAATTATTATTTTTTTTTTTAACTATTTCGCGTTCAATTTAATTTTTATTAAAAAAAAAAAGAATTGTTATAAAGAAACTCTTTGACTTTATGGGAAAAAAAAAAAAATTGGAAAATAATTTTAAAAAATTGATTCAAAGGGAAATTTTTTCTATCAATGTAAGTTTGAAATGGATTTTATATTTCACCATCTGAAAAAAGGATTTCTTTACTTTTCTTATAAAAGAGACTTCTTATTCAAGGCGACAAAAAAGAACTTCTTTTTTTTTCGTTATATATTATTAAAGAAAAGTTTTGCGTTATCAGAAGCAGTGAAATAAAAATTATTCCTTTCAGTTTATTTTCCTTCAAAACCAAAAATTCATTCAACTGTAAATTTTTGACTATTCTGATATATAATAATTATTTTAAATTCAAACGATTTTCGGAATGTGAAAATAAAAAATTCAAAAAAAAAAATTAATTTAATCACATTTTTATTTATTTTATTTATTTAGGTATATTTATTTAATTAATTAATTTATTATTATTTAATATTTATTTTTATTGTAAGAAAATTATTCTTCCCTTTATAATTTATAAATAAAAAAATAATAATAAATAAATAAAAAAAAAGTATTCAAGTGAATTATTTTAAGTTTAAATAGATATATTTAAGTTGTATTTGGTTGAATTATTTTGCCATAAATTGTGTAAATATTTTGTGGACATTATTGACTGTGACAAGCGATACGGAAGTGTTCCGGATACTTTTCGAGCGTTTCAGTTGCACATTCAACATTATATTGGATTCGTCTATATAAATTCCCCCGAGAAGAAATATCGTGAAAAAGAAGGACGAAATGTCATATGTGACAAATTTTGATTGGATGGAAAATATATTTTTTTTTCCAAAACGAAAATTTATAGTAAAAATCAAAGAATATTTAATAAAATTAAAAATCATTCTTTCTATTAAATTATTTTTTAAATAAATAAAATAAAAACAATTTTTTTCTAACTTTATCAAAAAAAAAAAAAAAAAAAAAAAAAGATTGCATAGTACAACAAGTATTAAAACTTTACCATTTTCCATTGTTTAAGAGAGAAAGAGAATAAAAAAAAAGAAATTAAAAAGATTAAAAAAGTAACTGTGAAACTTTGTTTCAGGTTGAAGGAGGTAATAATTTTTTAAGGATAAGAAAATCCAACTCTCACCAGGATAGTAAATTTCAGAATTATATTCCCTACACCCCTAAAGGTTAGAAATAAAAAGATAATTATATAATGAAAGACAAAGATTTAAGGGGAATAAGTGTGTGAAAATTCGATATTCTTTTCTCATATATGGGATTTGAAAAGGCGCGAGAAAAAGAGAATAAAATTAGGTTAATGTGATTGTGGAAGCATGCCAGACCTATTTCAATATATATATAACTAGAAAAACCAGAAGTATACTTTCTTCTTGAAACAAAAATGAAACGATTATAAAGTTTATGTCATTATACATTAAAGAATAATATAAATTTCGAATTCTTGCCAAAAAAAAATAAGTCTGTCAAGGTCTACGACCCCAGTTAATAAAATTTATACAGTAATACCTTTCGAATTGGATATTGAATATAAAATTAAAATTTATTTTGAGGTTTTACTGTACAATACAAATTTTATTAACTAAATTAAAAATTTTATTTTTAAAAAGTAAATAAAAAAATATAAATAATAAAAAAAAATAATTAAATACAGATTTTTAGTTTTTATCAAAATGTCTACAAAAGGTTTTACTGTACTATCATCGGTAGGAAAATTCAATTTTTTTTTTCTTTCATTATAATTTATTTTATTTTCCATATAAAAGAGGGAACTTCTGTGTTCAAAAATGGTTTCACTGTATTATTAACAAGACACCAAAATCCAGTCCAGAGGGAATTCTATACACTATACAACATCTATTTCTAAATCCAAAGATTAATTCAAGAGGTACTACTGTATTATTAAAAAGCACCGCGCGCTTCATGTCTAATTCTGAACAATTTATACTAATTTATTTATATACACAAAACCGTAATACAAATCAACTATCATGTTTATATTATTATTTTTTTATATAGAAAATTAAAAAAGTTCATTAAAAAAAAAAATTCAATTAGAAAAATTCATTAAATACAAAAAATAAATAAAATAAAAAATAATAAAAGAAATAAAAAAGTAAAAAAATAAAAATAATAAAATAAAATAAAAAATAAAAAAATGTGTAACAAAATATATTTATTGGTAGGAACAAATATATCAAATTTATTTTTGCTCAATATCATATCATTTATATATATAGAAAAAAAAATAAGAACAGTAAACTTTTGTGTCTCTTTTCTCTATATTTTGTTAAAGTTTATTGTCTTTCTATCTTCGAGTTCGTATATTTTATATATATATATCTAGACGATCGTAAGGTTTCTGATTGATCAAACCTGCCAAAGAGTAGCTATACAGAAAATCTAGTTTCAATTCTCTGATATAATGGAACATTCAATAACGATCGCGCGCGTATATCGTTATATCGATTAAAGAACTTTTTTTTTTACATAAATTCTTCTCTAAATAGCTATTATATAGAAAAAAAACTATAATATACATTTCTCTCTCGAATATAAACGTCAATGGCACTTCAAAATCAAGTGCCTCTATATATAAATAATTCTTGAATCTATTATATATTCATGTTCGAAATAAACGAGAATTGTCAGTTATAATATTTCAATAATTAATCAAAATTTGTATATATATATATATATATATTAAAAATAAAAGAGAAAATTTTTATAAAAAAATTGATGAAAATAATAAAAATAATAATAATAATAATAATAATAATAATAAATATATTATAATATTAATAATATCATATACCCAGAGAAAAGATATATATATATAAATTTATCTCAGAACCAAATAAATATTTTTTTTGTTTCAAAAATAAATTTTATTTCAGTTATTAAATAAAAATTTTAATTGCGTTAAATAAAATTTTAGTTGCGCTAAATACATATTTTAATTCCTCTAAATAAATTTTTATTTACGCTGAATAATTTTTTTTTAGTTTAATACATAAATAAAAAATTATTAGCCTCTAAGAGACAAATATTATATATTTGCTTCAAATAAAATTTTCATTATCTCAAATAAACGGCAATAAAATATTTCT